TTTATTATATTTTTTTTTTTCATTGTACCTTCTAAAATTTGTATAGTAGACAGAAGATTTGTTTGGAGCATGAGAATGGACAAGATGTCTACAAGTTAATTTTCAATGAATCTTCTTGTAGCCTTTGAGCTCTTTTTGTTTCCTCTACAACTAATTCATCTCTTTTGTGGCATTGTCATTTAGGACACTGACGTGACTCAGTCGTTGTATGTTAAATCACGCAAATATAAAATTTATAAAACTAGAAAATACAAATTTTTAGATATTTAGAAGTATTTCAAAATAAATATATCAATTATAATTCAATAAAAATTCTAAAAATAGCGGTAATTTTCCAGGTCGATCACAGGGATGTAATATAATATCTGGTAATTATTCAGAATTTTTCTCAATGAATACAATTTTCTTATGAATTTTATACTAGGAAATAAAAAGGAAATATATTTAAAATTAACGAAAAAAAGGAAATAAGGGTGCGGGCATCAGGATGACGTCAGCGCCCGGCGAACGCGAATCAGGCGGAAACAGAGTTCCGCCCCGGCGATTCTTACGTAAGCGATTACAAATGACTTAATTAATCAAATTAAGATCTGTAAAAGCCGAAAGAATCGTAATTTAACAAAGTATAGTTTGGTAAATTAAAATCACACAAAGTATCACTAAATAAAGTGTAAATTAAATTGAAAGCAAGGAAACAAAGTTCCGGCGTTGCGACGTCGATGCGTCGGCGATGCACCAGAATCTTGAGCGTTTGGGAGGATCGTCGTGCAGTGTCCACGGCCTCGAAGGCTCTCCTTGGACAAAGACGACGTGGGCAATCTCTAGATCTTCTCGCAAAGTCTAGAGATCAATGAAGTGGGTCGTCGAATCGTCTCCGGCGGCTGTCACCCGGCGGAGCGGAAAAACGGCGACTTTGGGGCTCTTCGGCGGCTGTCACCCGACGGAGAGGAGCTGGATGGAGGTGGGGTGCATGTTAGGGAGCTTCATCCTCCGGTCCGCGCAGTAAGAGGAGGCTCTTCATCGCATCTGGTATGCTCTCAAGAGGTGGCGACTGGTCTCCCGGCGGATCGTCCTCTTCCCTGACGACGGCTTGTTCGTCGATCAATCGGAGATGATTTACTCGATGGATTCACGATCCTTTTATCGCAAATCGTTTAGCAATTTTAGTAGCAATGCTTTGCGAATCGCGTTGACGAGATTTTCGCCGATGATCCAGCGATTCTCGTTGCTTAATCCTTCATCGGCGATCTGCAGGAAAGTCGTGATAATCAGATAAAAATATATGAATTTTGATTCTGAGAGGATTCAAACCCGCGCCGGTCGCCCGCCTCTTCTGAGGAAGGTGTGACGGGGGTTTAGTCCCACATCAGTTGTACGCCAATTTTTCGGGCGAATATATAGTAATATATAGCAAAGTCCCTTCTCGCACGTGTATGACCACTCCTTGCCCAACAGCTGGCTGGCCACCGGTGACGTGGAAGGGGAGTGGCGTATGCATGCCCTGTCGGTCCCCAAGCTAAGCCGCTCGAGCCCCTGCTCGTGGCTTACTCCCCGACTATGCTTCTGACCCGCTTGCGGGCACGGCTGGCCGGCAGGTCCCCCCATTTTTGCAATATTTTTATTTTTATTTCTTGTTCTTCATTTATCTCAAAAGTAAGACTGTAAAAATCGTATAAAATCACATAATTACCCAAAAATTCACGTTAATCAATTGAAAACCAAAAATCATTCTTAAACACAAATATAAGTCTATTTATCATGAGTTAAGGCTAAAAATATATTATTTACTAATTATTAACTCATAATAATGAAGACTTATCAAACACCTTACCTTAGTTTTCTCTTAATAATTTTTTATGTACAAGTCATGTCAATTAGGTAAACATCATCGTGCTTTATACTTAAGTCAAGATAGGATTCCATCCACAACACTCTTTAACCTCATTCATTGTGATGTTTGGGGCCTCTCTAATATTCTATCTATCTCAAATCATTGTTATTATATTGTCTTTATTGATGACTACACTTGGGTGAGTTGGCTCTATCTTCTCTAAGATCATAGTATAATTGTTCACTTCAATGTCTAGGCCATTACTTAGTCTATGCTTAAGATTCTTCGTCTCGATAATGTATTGGAGTTGGTTAAAGATTTGCTTTACACATTTTGTGATGATCGTTGTACTCTTCATCAGATCATGTGTCCACACACATCCTAACAAAATGATATTGTTGAATGAAAATATCGTCAACTACTTGACATTGTTCGCACACTACTCATTGAAATAAATACTCCTCATTATCTATATTCTAATGCTCTCCTGATAGCAACATATCTTTAGACTTAACTTACATCTTCTCCACTTGATGGGGCTATTTTATTTCATCGTCCTTCACCTAATTCTTCTCTTTTTTTCTTACCCCTCGTGTCTTTGAATCTACTATGATCTAAAACCACTCTCCTTCTTTTTCTAAATTAGCCTCTCATACTCTCAAAAAGGTCTTTGTTGATTACTCATAGACACAAAAGAGTTATCAAGTTTATTTTCCTGATACTCGTCGCTATGTAACATCGGTTGACATTTACTTTGTTGATTTTCCTCCTATGGTAATCATTGCAAATCCTTCTCTTACTCTTTCCACTTATCTAGTTTCTGTCTCGTTAACTCCTCTTTCGACACCTTTGACTTCATCATCATTTGACTCTACTCTAGGATCACAATCATCTTCATCCTCTGCCAACGAGCCTCTTTCAATCATCTCTTCTGACACTCAAGTGGATGACCTTCATCTTTCTATTGCACTCTATAAAAGTATATGTGTATGCACTAGCCATCACATTTCCTACATTATTTTTTATGACTGTCTTTCTCTTTCCTTTCATACCTTTGCTCTTTTCGTGACCTCTAAGTTGATTCCACAATTGTATGTTGAAGTTGCATAAATACATGAATGGAAGGTCATCATGGACCTCTAAGTTGATTCCACATCATATGCATACATCAAAAAAACTTTTAGTAGAGGGCTTATCTATCGAAGACATGAGCATCTTCGGATTGAAGCCTACTCGGATGTAGAATAGGCTGATGACTAAAGAGATCTCAAGTCCACCACTAGTTATTGCATATATGTGAGTGATAACCTTGTCACGTGACACTCTAGGAAGTAGAAGGTGATATCTTGCTCTAGTATTAAGTTTGAGTATTACATTATGACTGAAACGTGATCGAGATATTGTGGCTAAGTTCACTCTTCAAAGAATTTGATATCTCATTTCCTACACCAATACCTTTATAGTGTGATAATCAGACTGCCATCTTCATTATTGAGAATCCTACGTTTCATGAGCATATGAAATACATTGAGATTGATTGTCATTACATCTAGGATAAGGTAATGTTAGGTGTTATCTCTATTCTACACGTTATCTCATCTTATCAATTGGTGGACATTTCACCAAGAGTCTTGTAGAAATCTCTTACGACACAATGTGCACCAAGTTAGGTAAATTTTACTTGTATGCTCCAACTTGAGGGAGAGTATTAGAATAGGCCCACTATGCCCACCAAGCCCATTTTGGACTTATCCTTTTCAGGTCCCTATTCATCCTCCACGATCTCCCCTTCTCCTTCTCTCTCTCTTTCTTCTCTTCTTCTATATAACCTCATGTACTCCTCTCCTTCAAGACATCCATTTAGGAGTTTTCTCTTCCTCTTGTCAACACATATTTTAACAAAAATGACACAATAAATTGATGAAAATCTAGGAAAACACTATTGTTCGTCTCTTTGTAGAAAGAGGAAGAGAAAAGTTTGCTTTTTGCCTTAAATCAGAGGTTTTTATATTCCCATTAGATTTATAATCCATTACATGCAGTGAGGAGTCAACTTGCTAACAAATCATTTGATTTTCAATGAGAATCAGCATTTGTTTCTCCGTCCATTTTCTTGCCCATTTTATGTTTGTTTCAGGCCATTTTCAATCATTTCTGAATGTTTTACTCATTTTTGCACATTTCTATAATCATTCTAATTTAATTAAATAAATTGACACAATTTCCATAACAAGCTCATGGTTCCCCTATAAACCAATACATAAAATGAAAACTTAAGAAAAATATCTATATACAAAATGAATTTAAACTACCAAATTCTGATTTTGACCTTAATAATGATAAACTTAAAGATAAAAATGTCAAGTAAAACATGTTAACATATAATTAGGAATCTTAAAAATATAAACATGTCATAAATGTTTGTAAAAGTCATACATTAAGCATGTATTTTATGCAAAAAATCTAAATTAAGCTTTACTTGGTTTCTCATTAAATCTAAATCATTTAACATGAATTAATACACTAAATATACTAGTTATGCATTACCTATCACATAATAATGACATGTTATCAACAAAGCTTCCTCTAATAGTATAATCCTTCATGCTCATATGCATTGACAGTTGTTTTTTGGTCTTCAAGTTTTGGTTGAGACATAAATTAGAGAAGAAGGTTGTGACACCTTGAAGATCCAACCTAAATTTGATAATGGAAACAAGATCAAAAAGAAATTAAGGAATATAGAGGATTGACTTAAGAGAGAGCTTAGTGGATGAGGACAATGATTCTATGTCTAAATTTGATGCTATAGAATCATCTACTAAGGTAACTAATAAGTCTTCATTATCATGAGTTATTAATTAATTAATAATAAATTTTTAGCCTTAATTTATAATAAATAAACTTATATTCATGTTAAATTATGAAAAGTAGATTTTAGTTTATTATTGTGAATTTTTAGTTAATTATGTGATTTTATATGAATTTATATAATTCTATAATCCTATTTTTGAGATAAATAAATAAAAATAAAATAAAATAAAAAGAAAGAAAAAGAGAGAAACTCATTGGCCAACTAGGCCCCCAAGTGGGTTGGTAGGTCAGTCATGTGGAGCCATGAGCACGGGCTCAAGTAACTAAGGACATGCTAATAAAGGACACATGTTCATCACTCTCCTTGCATGTCATCGGTGGCCAATCGAGCATGGGGTAAGGAGTGGTCATAAAGATTTACATTTTTGTTTGAATGGAACAGTTTCTTTTGTTTTGGTAGACCTAGTGACACATCAACCACACCCCTTAATTTTTTGTTTAACCAAGAAGGCAAGGCCCTCTTAGTTTCTTTAATTCAATTCATGATGCGAAAAAGAAACTCATTGATTCGTAAATCTCGTATTACTATATATTCATCTCAAAATTTGGCTTATAATTGATGTGGGACTAAAAGCTACAGTCACACCTTTCCCAAAACATTTTAATGACTTTTGTACCTCAAATATTCCTGATTTGTTAGAATGAGGTACCTTGATGACATCACTTTATAATAATATTTGTGTACTTATTTCACTCTCTCTCATATAGACGACGACAAACGATGGTTCTTATCTTACTAAAGCCAAAATTTATATTTTTCATCTAATAAAATAATAATTTTCTTATAGACTGTCGATGAAAGATTAAGCTATTATAATCACTCAATCATCGACAAAAATCTTGTGCATGTGATTTTTGGAATATTGTTATTAAAATTATTTAATGATTCATGATAAAAAAGTTACAAATCTATTGAGTAAATCATCTTTAATTAATTGACAAATAAGTCTCTTTCTAAGAGCATATTAGATGCAATAGAAAGCCTACTCTTGTTGTATAAATCTGAAAATGAAACTCCCTAAGACGCACCTCACCTTCATCTAGCTCATCTCTAATAGATGATTGACACTAAAAAACTACAAAGTCGTCATTTTTCTACTTCACCGGGTAACAGTTGTCGAAGACGATTCAACAACTCATTTCATTGATCTCTAGACTTCATAAGAAGATCTAGAGATTGCCCATGTTATTTTTGTCTAAAGATAACCTTTGAGGTCATAGAAACTACATGACAATCCTTTCGAAAGTTCAAGATTTTGATATATTACTCATACATTGCCACTCAACGCCAAAACATTATTTTACTATTTTTTTAACTAATTTAACTTTCACCATTATTTTTTAGATTTCAAGAAAATATCCAATGAATGTCCAAGTTATCTATATCTAAGGAGAGCCCTTAAGATTGTGGACATCGTATAATAATCATCCCAAACATATAGAATTTTGGTGATCGCTATCATGAGGTTGAAACTCTATCTTTCTTACTTTTAACTTAATTTTTACTTAATTTAGTGACACTTTTCATGATTTCATTACTAAAATGTTCTTCATTTAATTATGATTCTTATCACTTTTATAGATCTTAATTTGACCCATTAAATCATCTATAATTGTTTACATAAGAATCACTTGACATAACTTTATTTTCTCCTGATTTGTATTCATCAGATATTGACATCATCTTGAAGTTCATGATGAAGTCAATTTAGAGGTTAGATATGTAGTCGTGATGCAATTAAGTTCATGTAAATAATATTTATGAAACCTCACTCTTCTATTTAGGATAAGGGTCGATCTTTAGGGAGCATGAGTAATGAGAGTAAGAATTTTAGTTATTTTATTTCTTATATATCTATAAATATACATGAGGTTGTGAAGGATGGAATTAATCTAACAAGAGTAAAGATAAGAGAAATAAAAAGTATGGCAAAAAGAAAAGAATAGATTTAATGCAATAGAATGATAGACTAAATGGTAAAACTAGTTCAAACTAAGAGTTAATCTATCTATAAAGAAGATTACAAAGATGTCTCAAATCTAGATCTTGCACAGACCTTGTTGTGCATCAGTCCTAGGCCGAGTGGTGCTTGATTCATGATGATCTTAATGCACTTCATGTAGTCTCTTCTCCACCACAATCTTGGGCATGATAATATTGTTGATCAGGCCTTGATTTTCCTCTTTTTTTCTTCAACAAGCCACTACTAGAGAGAAAGTCAAAAAGTGTCCTCTAAAATGAGGGTGAGATGTCTTAATCTTCTCAAGAATTAGGCCCTCTAATAGATAGTTCTAATTAATAATTGACTCTCTTGGTAGATGGTTTAGATTCTTCTATGAGAATGGTGCTCTAATCATTCTCTTAATCTCATCTTTAGGTGCCCTAAGATAGGCGGCCTAAATCTCATCTCTTGATAACCCTTTTAGGTCCAAATGGGCTAAGGTCAAAGTGATGCCCTCTCTTAGGCCTATAAACATATTTGGTTAGCCCTTTCTATAGACTTAGGCTTTTTCTTGGGCTAAAAGCGTGGGCTTCTTTCATTACTTTCAACTCATAATAAGAATTGATCTAAGTCCTTGTAATCAAATAATTAATAAGAAAATGTGAGTGAATTATCACTTAGATTTCATAAAAGTCAAGTATGATTAGTCTCATAATATAAATAAAATAATCTATAATAAAAATTAAATAATAAAATATTATAAATATCATAATGGGTCGATAACACATATAATTATATTATTTACCTATTAATAACATCTATATATAAAATATTAATTGCATAGATATAACTACTAATTTATAATTATCAGTCCTCACCCTTATTTTCCTTTTTTGTAAATTTTAAATATATTTTATTTTTATTGCTTAGTCTAAAATTTATAAAAACTCATATCCTTTGTGAAATTTTTGAAATATTATATGATATTATATTACATCCATGGGATCAACTTGAATTATAATGAATATATTTATTAAAAAATACTTTAAAATGTTTAAAAATTAATATTTTTTACTTTTATAAATTTTAAATTTACATGATTTATTATACAATTACTAACTCATGTCAATAACACTAGGGAGATGATGATGACTAAAATAAGATCTCAAGTTATGAAATATATTTGTTATTTTATTAGTGGAACCGTAGTTAAAAAGATAATATGACAATTCATTATAAAGTGTTAAAGATGTGCTAAAGATATGTGGAGTACTGCACATCACTTAGTAAGATTCTTGCAGTGGGGTCTTAGCATATATATGTCCTTGTGGCAGCACATGTGGCTCAACACTACACACATAGTAAGTGTAGCAATCAGCACAACATGCACAACCATGCATAGAAGGTGTGCATACAGATAAGGTACAAGCAATGGACTCTACTTGGAAGATGGAGGCCCTTGACAGCCACTAGCATGATGTAGGATGACATTGGCACTAGAGTGACATAAAACAATCTCTATGATGGATGTATGTAAGCTAGCATGTGCAACATAGGAGCATGGCAAGGCATAGTGGGTGCACATGACAAGTGTTTGATAGAGGCATGAAACACTAGGCAAGATGTGTGGAGTATGTGTGCATGTAACACAGATAAAATAGTGTCATGAGATTTTCACCATGCTTTGGAGATGCTTGATACCACTTTTGTTGTAAACAAAATAATCAAAATTTAAATATTTATAAATTTAATTTAAAGAATAATTAAAATTCCATTTGGGTCAATTCAGGTGGTTCATAGGGAAGATGGCAAATTTCGATATGATTTTTTAACTAAAATATAATATTTTCCATACTTTAATTATTCTAAACTACTTGAACTCTAATCTTTGAGTTTTAATGTGTTCCCATGTCCAACATTGATAAATGACTTATGACCTACAAAAACTCCAACAAAAATGGTAAAGAAAATTAAATAATGAAAAATAAACCTGAACTTGAGAAAAATAGGTGAGGAGAGATAAAATATGATTTTGAGTCAAATATATTAATGTGAATTTTTGGGTAATTATGTAATTTTATACGATTTTTACAATCTTACTTTTGAGATAAATGAAGAACAAGAAATAAAAATAAAAATATTACAAAATGGGGGACCCACCAACCAGTCGGGCCCACAAGCAGGTCAGAAGCGTAGTTGGGGAGTAGCCGCGAGCAAGGGCTCGAGCGGCTTAGCTTAGACTAATAGGGGCACATGTGCGCCACTCTCCTTCCACGTCACCAGTGGCTAGCTGGCTGTGGAGCAAAGAGTAGCCGTATACGCAAGAGAAAGACTTTGCTTACAAAGCTAACATTACTATATATTTGCCCAAAAAATTGGTGCACAACTGATGTGAGACCAAACCCGCATCACACCTTCCTCATAGGTGAACAACCGGCGTGGGTTTGAATCCTCCTAGAGTCAAAATTCATATATTTTTATTTGATTATCGCGACTTTCCTATAGATTGCCGGTGAAGGATTAAGCAATGAGAATCGTTGGATCATTGGTGAAAATCTCGTCAACACGATTCGCGGAGCACTGCTACTAAAATTGCTGAACAATTTGCGATAAAAGGATCGTGAATCCATCGAGTAAATCATTTCTAATTGATCAATGAACAAGCCGTCGTTGGGAAGAGGACGATCCACTGGGAGACGAGTCGCCACCTCCTAAGAGCGTACCAGATGTGATGAATAGCCTCCTCTTGCTACCCAGACCTGAGGATGAAGCTCCCTGACATGCGCCCCACCTCCATCCAACTCCTCTCCGTCGGGTGACAGCTGCCGGAGAGCCGCAAAGTCACTGTCTTTCCGCTTCGCCAGGTGATAGCCTCCGGAGACAATTCGACGACCCACTTCATTGATTTCTAGACTTCGCGAGAAGATCTAGAGATTACCCATGTTGTCTTTATCCAAAGAGAGCCATCGAGGCTGTGGACACTACACAATGATCCTCCCGAACACTCAAGATTCTAGTGCATCGCCAACACATTGCCGTTGCAATGCCGGAACTCTGTTTTCTTGCTTTCAATTTACTTTACGCTTCATTTAGTGATAATTTTTGTGTTTTTAATTTACTAAAATATACTTTGTTCTATTACGATTCTTCTAGCTTTTACCGATCTTAATTTGATCAATTAAATTGTCTATAATCGCTTACCTAAGAATCATTGGGTGGAACTCTATTTTTGCTTGATTTGCACTCGCCAGGTGCCGATGTCATCCTGACATCCGCACCCTTATTTTCCTTTTTCGTGAATTTTAAATATATTTCCTTTTTATTTCTTAGTATAAAATTCATAGAAAATCGTATTCATTGAGAAAAATTCTGAATAATTACCAGATATTATATTACATCCTTATGATCGACCTGGAAAATTACCGATATTTTTGAATTTTGTTTTGAATTATAATTGATAGATTTATTTAAAAATACTTCTAAATATCTAAAAATTCGTATTTTCTAGTTTTATAAATTTTATATTTACATGATTTAATATACAACGACTGAGTCACATCAAATTTTGGCGCTGTTGCCGGGGATGTATTGCATAATAATTAGTATTTTTCTATTTTTCTCTTTGAGTACACAAAAAAACTTAACTCTTGTTTTATTTTCTTTTTCTCAATTTTTATTAGAAAAAGGGAACAAAAAGAAGCACAACAAAGACTGGAGCATTCTGAAGGAGGGTAATAGTTACTAACTTTTTCACTCGAATTTATTAATTTTTATGCATGGTAGAAGATCCTTGCATCCAAGGCTAGAAAATTCTTTCATTATTTCATTGAAAAATAAAAATCCGAAAGAAAAACTAATTTTGATGGATCTTGAAGGAAGCACAAGTCAAACTGAGAACAATCCTATGGCCATGAAAAATCGTTATATCCCTGATTCATTTCAAAGAGCATCCAATATTAGAGTCCCGTTAGCACCCATTGTTAAATTCGAAATAAATCCAAAAAATTTTCAAATGCTCCCTAATTTTCATGGATTACCTTTAGAGGAACCTCATTAGCACTTAGAAAAATTTCATATGGTCTGTGATTTAGTTAATCTCCCTCAAGTTACACTAGAAATTATTAAGATGAAATTATTCCCTCATACACTTAGGGACAAAGCTAGTCATTGACTATCCACATTAGATAGAGAATTAACTAGCTAGAAAGATATAGAACAAGCTTTTCTTCGAAAATTTTATCCCTTAGGAAAAACTCAAAATATGAGAAAACATATATCGAGTTTTTCTCAAAGACTAGGAGAAACTTTGCATGAGACATGGGAAAGATTCAAAGATTTACTTAGAAAGTGTTCTCATCATGTTATACCCAAGTGGCAACTCAATAGAATTTTTTATGATAGATTATTAGAACAACATAGAAATATGGTTGATTTTATATGTAGAGGAGTTTTTATGGAGAAAACTCCTGATGAGATTTACAGTCTTTATGAGAATTTAAGTGAAAATTCTAGAGATCAAGCCTCTTTTGAATTATATGACAGGGATAAGAAGAGAGGAATTTATGAATTGTATCATGATGATGATTCTAAACTTAGAAAAGAGGTTAATCAGATTAATCAAATATTAGAAAAAATTGATTTACTTATTGACAATATTAGAAAGTCTTTTAACCCTCAACTTAATTTGAATAGTACATGTCCTATGTATGGTAAAAATGATTATTCTTAATTTCAATATTATAATTTAGATCAATCATTTCACCCTATGTAAGAACAAGTGCAAGTAGCTCACGATTTTAATAGAAATAGGGAACCTTTTTCAAATTCTTATAATGCTAATTGGAGGAACAATTTTTCATGGAGAGACCCAAATAATATTCAAAATCTAGAAGCACTTAGAGCTAATTCAAACTTTGAATTTTGTCCAAAATAAGAAAATAGATTTCAAAAAAATCAGTCCTCTCAAATCTAACCTGATGCTATGGAAATGATACAACAAATGAGCCAAATGATGCAACAAACTATGAATCAAATGATGCTGCACGAGAAACAAAATATAGAGGCTCTTGAGAATAAGAGAGAAGAGGGACAGCTACCTAGTCAGCCCATAGAAAATTCAAGGAACCGCTCAACAATAGGATTTCAGCAAGGGGAGTCTAGTAGCATGAATCTAGGAAAAAACCCACGAAATGAAAATGTTAGGACAGTGAATGCATTAAGGAGTGGTAAGATCTTACCTGATCCTTATCCCTAAACATTAGAAGAAAAAGAAAACATGGACAAACCAAAATAAAATCAAATAAGAGTAGAAGAGGATTTTATAGATTCTATCAAGGAAATTTCGAAAGAGAGGACAACCATTCCATTTCTTAAAGCTCTAGAGCCTAGACAAATAAAGAAAAAAGAACACAATAAAGAAATAAAGAAAATTTTACAAGATGTGCAAATTAATCTTTCTTTACTTACTACCATTGAACATATTCCTGAATATGCTAGAGTTTTGAAAGAAATGTGTACACCAAAAGGACACCTAGAGTAGAAAAATTATCTATGCATACTAGTGCATTATTATTAAATCAATTACCATATAAATTGAGAGATACAAGTGCCCCTTTAATTTCGTGTGATATTGGTGGATTTATTTTTCAGAATGTATTACTTGACACTAATGCTAGTATTAATTTATTACCTACGAGTATTTGTGATAAATTTAATATTTCTGATCTTAAACCTTCTACTGTTACCTTACAATTTGCTGATAGATCCATAAAACATCCTAAAGGTATTTTAGAAAATGTGATAGTGATAGTTAAAGGGTGTAAATTTCCAGTTGATTTTGTAGTGCTGGAAATAGATTTTAATGGACAGTTTTATACTATACCAATCATCTTAGGGAGACCATTTTTGCATACAGCAAAGATGAATATTTATTTTCCCATAGGTATTGCGAAAATTTCATGTAGAGATCAATCAATAGAAATTAAAATTTTTGAGGTATCAAATGATGTTAAGAAATCCCAAATATATGATTGTCATACCATAGATCTTCTAGATGATTTTGATGATCCAGATGTTATTGATGACTGTGTGTTGGAAGAATTAGAGGAAATAGAGAATATAAATTTAGAAGAAAAGAAAGAAGAAGATCATCTGAATTTAGAGTTGAAACATCTTCCCTCTAGTTTAAAATATATATTTTTGGAGGAAAATAATTCATTTCCTATTATTATTGCAGCTGATTTGAGTGATGAACAGGAAGAAGAATTATTAGATGTACTTCAAAAAAATAAGAAGGTTATGGGCTGGAAAATGGATGATCTAAGGGGCATTGATATGAGTGTATGCATGCATCGTATATATCTAGAGGAAGGGACTAGAATTAACAGGGAACCACAACAAAGATTAAATCCTAACATGATGAAAATTGTAAAAAAAGAAATTTTAAAGTGACTGGTTGCTGATATTATTTATCCTATTTCAGATAGCAAATGGGTTAGTCCTACACAAGTAGTGCCAAAAAAATCAGGGATCACGATTATAAAAAACGAAAATGGGGATGAAATACAAACAAGACTAACTACCGATTGGAGAGTTTGCATTGATTATAGAAAATTAAATTCAGTTACTAGAAAAAATCATTTTCCCCTACCATTTACTAATCAAATTCTAGAAAAATTAACTGGAAAAAACTTTTTTTGTTTTCTAGATGGATACTCTAGTTATAATCAAATTTATATAAACCCTTTAGATCAAGAAAAAATAACTTTCACTTGTCCATTTGGTACTTTTGCTTTTAAATGCATGCCTTTTTGTCTGTGTAATGCTCCAGTCACATTTCAAAGATGTATGCTGTCTATTTTTTCTGATATGATTAGAAAATGCATAGAAATTTTTATGGACGATTTTTTTATTTTTGGTGAATCATTTGATGAATGCTTAAATCATTTACAGTATGTACTTGAGAAATGCATAAAGAAAAAATTAGGGAGTTGGGAGAAATCACATTTTATGTTTAAAGAGGGAGTTGTGTTGGGTTATATTGTGAGTGAAAGGGGTTTAGAGGTGAATAGAGTAAAAATTGATGTTATATCTAAAATGAAACCTCCAAATTCAGTAAAACAAATTAGATCTTTCTTGGGTCATCTAGGTTATTACAGAAAATTTATTCAAGATTTTTCGAAAATTTCTAAACCTCTCACTATGCTATTATCTAAAGATGTGCCTTTTAATTTTGATGAGAAATGTTTTGAGTCTTTTTCCAAAATAAAAAGATTACTTCCTGAGGCACCTATTTTACAAGCTCCTGATTGGTCCCTTCCCTTTGAAATAATGTGTAATGCATCAAATTATGCAGTGAGGGCCATTCTTGGACAAATAAAAGAGTCAAAACCGATAGTAATTTCATATGCTAGTAAAACTATATCTGATGCTCAATTAAATTATACCACGACTGAAAAAGAGTTGTTAGCTATAGTATTTTCGTTAGAAAGGTTTAGATCATATATTTTGGGAGCTAAAATTATTATTTATACTGATCATGCAGTATTAAAATATCTATTAAAAAAGAAAGATGCAAAGCCATGTTTATTAAGATGGATTTTATTATTACAAGAATTTGACTTAGAAATAAAAGATAAAAAAGGTTTCGAAAATGTTTTTACTGACCATCTTTCTAGATTAAGTGATATACGAATAAATGCAGCACCTTTACAAGACACATTTCTAGATGAACAATTGATGATAGTTCAACATCAACCATCACCATAGTATGCACATATTGCAAATTTTCTAGTTTTTAAAAAAACTCTAGAACAGTGGGATAAGAATAAAAAACATCATTTCTTTTCTAAGATTAGAAATTATTTTTAGCATGATCCTGATTTATATTACTTGGGCAATGATCAAATTTTAAGGAGATGTGTTCTTAAAGAAGAATATCATAGCATTATTAACATGTGTCATTCATCTAACTGTGGAGGACATTTCTCTAGACGAAAAATAGCTACAAAAATTTTTCAATGTGGTTTTTATTGGCCTACAATCATTAAATATTCTATAGAATTTAGTAGAACATGTATTTCATGCCAATCTATAGGTAACATGAGTAAAAAAAAATGAAATGCCCATGAGTAACATGTTAGTAGTTGAAATTTTGGATGTATGGGAAATAGATTTCATGGGTCCCTTCTCATCAGCTGAAAAATATGAATATATTTTGCTTGCTGTTGATTATGTGTCGAAGTGGGTGGAAACTATCCTACTAGAACTAATGATCATAAAATCGTAATGAAATTTGTGCAGGAAAATATTTTTTCGAGATTTAGATGTTCTAGAGTGATTATTAATGATGGAGGAACACATTTTACAAATAAACATTTCAGGAAATTGTTGAAAAAGAATAGAGTATACCATAGAGTAGTCACTCCATATCATCCCCAAACAAATGGGCAAGCTGAAGTAGCAAATAAGGAAATTCAGAGAATTTTTAGAAAAAGAGTTAGACCAGAAAGGAAAGATTAGCCCACTAAATTACAAGATGCATTATAGGCTTATAGAACAGCTTATAAAAATCTCATAGGTATGTCCCCATTTCGTCTCATTTTTGAAAAGCCATGTCATCTTCTTGTGAAAATAGAGCATAAAGCATTATGGGCTATAAAAAATTTATGTATGGATGAAAAATCAGCAGGTGGGCATAGAATTTTTCAACTACATGAACTAGAGGAGTTGAGGAATGAAGCTTATGAAAATCATAGAATATATAAAGAAAAAACTAAAACTTTTCATGATAAATACATTAGTAGAAAAAAAATTGATGTTGAACAAAAAGTGTGGTTATATGATTCTAGATTGAAATTATTCTCAGGAAAATTAAAATCAAAATGGAAAAGGCCTTATGTGGTGGAAGCGACATATGATCATGGGGCTGTAATGATTAAAGATCTTAAAAGTTATCATAACTTTAAGGTAAGTGGATAGTGGCTTAAACATTACATAAAACATGAATGCCCTGTAGAAAAAGAAATTTTATTATTAAAAGAAATTCAAGAGTAAGATCAAGGACTCCGCTACATGGGAGGCAACTCATGGTTTTTATTTCATTCTGTTTGATTTTTTTTAAGCTCTGTTTTTCTTAGAATTTTGCAGTAATTGTTTCTGTGTTTGTTTATTTTCAAAAAAGTGTAGAAATAGGAGTGTAAGATGAAGTAGAAAATTAAAAACGAGGTTGAGGTGATGTCTTTCTAAGCTTCATCATTTATGAAAATATTTTTAATGCTTAACTTTGCAAATATGCATGCTTCACTTGAAAATTATATTTTCTGCATATTCTGTTTCGATTTTTCTATGTCATTGAGGACAATGTCATTTTTAAGTTGAGGGGTAAAGTATTCATTATTAATTTATGCTGTAAGACGATTAAGAATATGTGTTTACATTTTATTCAACTTAGAAGAGCAACTAAAAAAAATAAAAATAACATAAAATTCAGAAAAACTATAACATCTATTTTCTAGTTTTCTGTCAGAAACAATAGACTGTCAAAAATAGTAGACAAAAAATAGCTCGAAATTTAAAATTGTAGAAGACTCTTTTCTCACATTTCAATCCCCTAGATATATATTACTGAAATTCGAAATTAAAACTATAAAGAGGATAGTTTTGATTTATTTTTGACAAATTTATTGCTGCTAAAAATAGAATCGAAAATAGAAAATAGAACTGTCAAAACTATCTAATTTACAAATTCTTTACATCATATTGCATGCATGAAAAATTAAATCAATTAGATTGATTGATACCAAAAAATACTAGGAAGATTATTATTGAGTCAAAAGAATGATCTAGTAGCATGGAGGGTTTTTCTAGGTTTTTGCCATACTAGGTTTTTTGGCAAAACAGAATGATCTAGTAGCAAAAGAATGTGAAAAATCTAGAAACGAAGAGTACACATGGAGGGTGTGAGACATCATTCTCATTGTCGAAAATCATACATAGAAAAACACTTGCTGAAAAATAAGTGGATAAAGTGAAAGCCCTGAAAATGAAGAGTACACATGGAGGGTGTGAGACATCATTCTTATTGTTGTAATTTGTCTATAGGAAAAGTTACTTATCCACTATATATTAAAAAAAAAAAGAAAGAAGAAATATAGTGCAAACTTCAAAAATCAAGTCATAGAAAAAGGGAAATGTAAAATCAATATTATTCTTGGATAAGTATTGATAATTGGAACATCTTGTAAATACATCTATGAGTGAAGAAGTGATAAAGATGTGAATAGAAAAAGTGAAGTCTAAATTGTTATTCCAATGAGTGTTTAAACATTTAAATGCTTGACATCATTCTTAAATACTTGATATAAGAATCCAAAGTGTTTAAAGGTGCATTATTTCTAATTATATTTTTTTTTCTGTATTGAAATATGATGTTTGAGATTTGTAAAATTTTATTTTCGTAATTCCATTGCTAAGGGACTAGCAATGATTTAAGTTGGGGGGTGTGATAAGTCTTTATTATCATGAGTTAATAATTTGTAAATAATATAGTTTTAGCTTTAACTCATGATAAATAGACTTATATTTCTATTAAAGAATGATTTGTGATTTTCAGTCGATTAATGTGAATTTTTGGGTAATTATGTAATTTTATACAATTTTTATAGTCTTACTTTTGAGATAAGTAAAGAACAAGAAATCAAAATAAAAATATTGCAAAATGGGAGACCCGCCGACCAGCCAGGCCCGCAAGCGGGTCAGAAGCGTAGTCCAGGAGTAGCTACGAGCAGGGGCTCGAGTAGCTTAGCTTGGATTGATAGGGGCACGTGTGCACTGCTCCCCTTCCACGTCACTAGTGGCCAGCTGGTTGTGGGGCAAGGAGTGGTCGTACACGCGAGAGAAGGACTTTGCATACAAAGCTAACATTACTATCTATTCGCCTGAAAAATCAGCACACAACTGATGTGGGACTAAACTCGCATCACACCTTCCTCACAGGCGGGCGACTAGCGCGGGTTCATATATTTTTATCTGATTATCGTGACTTTCCTACAGATCACCGGTGAAGGATTAAACAATGAGAATTGTTGGATCATCGACAAAAATCTCGTCAACACGATTCGCGGAGCATTACTACTAAAATTATTGAATGATTTGCGATAAAAGGATCACGAATCAATTGAGTAAATCATCTTCGATTGATCGACGAACAAGCCGTTGTTGGGAAGAGGACGATCCACCGGGAGACAAGTCGCCACCTCTTGAGAGCATACCAGATGCAATGAAGAGCCTCCTCTTGCTGCGCAGACCTGAGGATGAAGCTTCCTGACATGCGCACCTTCAAGGCGAGCCTTCTTGACAAGCTCCTTCTTTGTCCAAGGAGAGCCTTCAAGGCTAAGGGCACTACACAACGATCCTCTCGAATGCTCAGGATTCCAGTGCATTGTCGACGCATTGCCGTCGCGATGCCGGATCTCTGTTTTTCTGCTTTCAATTTACTTTGTGCTTCATTTAGTGATAATTTTTGTGTTTTTAATTTACTAAAATAGACTTTATTCTATTATGATTTTTCTAGCTTTTATAGATCTTAATTTGATCAATTAAATCATCTATAATCACTTACGTAAGAATCACTGAGTGGAACCCTATTTCTGCCTAATTCGCGCTCGCCGGGTGCTGACATCATCCTGATGTCTGCACCCTTATTTCCCTTTTTCGTGAATTTTAAATATATTTCCTTTTTATTTCCTAGTATAAAATTCATAGAAAATTGTATTCATTGAGAAACATTTTAATAATTACTAGATATTATATTACATCCGTGTGATCAACCTAGAAAATTATTGCTATTTTTGGAATTTTTATTGAATTATAATTGATAGATTTATTTAGAAATACTTCTAAATATCCAAAAATTTGTATTTTCTAGTTTTATAAATTTAATATTTATATGATTTAATATACAACGACTGAAAAGTGGTTTTGAATTGATTAACATAAATTTTTAGGTAATTATGTGATTTTATATGATTTTTATAGTCTTACTTTTGAGATAAATAAAGAACAAGAAATAAAAATTAAAATATTGCGAAATAGGGGGACCCACTGGCCAACTGAGCCCGCAAGTAGGTCAGAAGCGTAGTCAAGGAGTAGTCACGAGCTGGGGCTCGAGCGGCTTGAATCGATGGAGGCATGTGTGCACCACTCCCCTTCCACATTACCGGTGACCAGCTAGCTATGGGGCAAGGAGTGGTTGTACATGCGCAAGAAAGAGACTTTGCTTAGTAATGTAACATTACTATATATTTGCCTGAAAATTTGGCACACAATCGATGTGAGACTAAACTCATCACCTTCCTCATAAGAGGTGGGGGCAACCAGCATGGGTTCAAATCCTCCTAGAGCCAGAACTCATATTTTTATCTGATTATCACGACTTTCCTACAAATCGCCAGTGAAGGATTAAGCAACCAGAATTGCTAGATCATCGACGAAAATCTCGTCAACACAATTTGCAGAGCATTATTACTCAAAATTACTAAAGGATTCACAATAAAAAGATCATGAATCCATCGAGTAAATCATCTCCGATTGATCAACAAATAAGCCATCGTTGGGAAGAGGATGATCCACTAAGAGACGAGTCACCACCTCTTGAGAATATACCAAATGTGATGAAGAGCCTCCTCTTGCTATGCGGACCTGAAAATGAAGCTCCCTGACACATGCCCCACCTCCATCCAACTCTTCTCCATCAAGTGACAGCCACCGGAGAGCCGCAAAGTTACTGCTTTTCTGCTCCACCGGGTGACACCTACTAGAGACGATTCGATGACCCATTTCATTAATCTCTAAACTTCGCAAGGAGATCTAAAGATTGTCCACGTTGTGTTTGTCCAAGGAGAGCCTTTGAGGCTGTAGACACTACATGACGATCCTCTCAAATGATCAAGATTATGGTGCATCACTGACATATCACCGTTGCAATGTCGGAACTTTATTTTCTTGCTTTCAATTTACTTTACACTTCATTTAGTGCTAATTTTTGTGATTTTAATTTACCAAAATGTACTTTGTTCTATTACGATTCTTTTGCTTTTACCGATCTTAATTTGATTAATTAAATCATTTGTAATCACTTACGTAAGAATTGTCGAGTAGAACTCTATTTCTACACCCTTATTTCACTTTTTCGTAAATTTTAAATATATTTCCTTTTTATTTCCTAGTATAAAATTTATAGAAAATCATATTCATTGAGAAAAATTCATAATAATTACTAGATATTATATTTCAACCCTTTGATCGACTTGAAAAACTACTGCTATTTTTGATTGTTTTATTAAATTATAATTGATATATTTGTTCAGAAATACTTATAAATATTCAAAAAATCATATTTTCTAGTTTTATAAATTTTAAATTTACATGATTTACTATACAATGACTGAGTCACATCAAATTTTGGCACTGTTGATAGGGATATATTGCATAATATTTAGTATTTTTCTATTTTTTCTTAGAGTATACAAAAAAATTTAACTTTTGTTTTATTTTCTTTTGACTGATTTATTTAAGAAAAAAGGAACGAAAAGAAGCAAGGCAAGGACTGGAGCATACTAAAGGAGGATAACAATTACTAAACTTTTCCCTCAAATTTATTGATTTTTTATGCATGGTAGAAGATCCTTGCATCCAAGGCTAGAAAATCTTTTCATTATTTAATTCAAGACTAAAAATTCGAAAGAAAATTAATTTTGATAGATCCTAAAGGAAGTATAGGTCAAACTGAGAATAATACTATGGCCATGAAAAATCATTATATCCCTGATTCATTTTAAAGAGCATCAAATATTAGAGTCCCATTAGCACCCACTATTAAATTCAAAATAAATCTAAGAATTTTTCAAATACTCCCAAATTTTCATGGATTATCTTTAGAGGAACCTCATTACCACTTAGAAAAAATCTATATGGTATGTGATTTAATTAATCTCCCTCAAGTTATACTGAAAATTATTAAGATAAAATTATTTTCTCATACACTTAAGGACAAAGCTAGTCATTGGCTATCCACATTAGATAGAGAATTAATTAGCTGAAAAGACATAGAATAGACTTTTCTTCAAAAAAAAATTCCCTTAGGAAAAACTCAAAATATGAGAAAACATATATGAAAATTTTCTCAAAGACCAGGAGAAACTTTGTATGAGACATAGGAAAAATTCAAAAATTTACTTAGAATATGTCTTCATCATGCTATACCCAAGTGATAGCTCAATAGAATTTTTTATGATAAATTATTAGAATAACATAGAAATATGGTTGATTCTATATGTGGAAGAATTTTTATGGAGAAAACCTCTGATGAGATTTATAGTCTTTATGAGAATTTAAGTGAAAATTCTACACATCAAGCCTTTTTTGAATTATATGATGGGGATAAGAAGAGAGGAATTTATGAATTACATCATGATGATGATTTTAAATTTAGAAATGAGGTTAATCAGATTAATCAAATATTAGAAAAACTTGATTTACTTATTGACAATATTAAAAAGCCTCTTAACTCTCAATCTAATTCACATAGTACATGTCCTATGTATGGTGAAAATGATTATTCTAAATTTCAATGCTATAATTATGATCAATCATTTCACTCTATGCAAGAACAAGTGCAAGTAGCTCACGGTTTTAATAGAAACTGAGAATCTTTTTCAAATTCTTATAATCCTAATTTGAGAAATAATTTTTCATGGAGAGACCCAAATAATATTCAAAATTCAGAAGTACTTAGACCCAATTCAAACTCTAAATTTTGTCCAAAATAAGAAAACAAATTTCAGAAAAATCAATCCTCTCAAACCCAACATGACACTACTGAAATGATGCAGCAAATGAGCCAAATGATGCAATAAACTATGAATCAAATGATGTAACAAATTATGAATCAAATAATGCTACACCAGAAATAAATTATAGAGGCTTTTGAGAATAAGAGAGAAGAAGGATAGCTACCTAGTCAACCTATAAAAAATCCAAGGAACTACCTAACAATAGGATTTTAGTAAGGAGAGTCAAGCTAGATAAATTTTAAAAAAAACCCACGAAATGAAAATGTTAGGATATTGAATACATTGAGTGAGAATATTTTACTTGATCCTTATTTCTAATTATTAGAAGAAATTGATGAACCATTAGAAATAAATGAGAATATTAACACTGAACATATAGTAGTAGAAAATTTGAATAAAATTATTTATTGCTCACAATTGATTAATGAATATAGTGATGATGATGAGAAGAAAGAGCTCTTATATGAAGAAACAATAGTTGATCATGGAAAAATCATCTAAATTTTAGTAGAAGGGAGTAAGGACAGAAATGAAGAGAAATATGTTCTAGGTGAGGAAAAACTAGTTGATTTGGGAAATGTAGGAGACAAAATTAATAAATTTCATCATAACTTTGCAGCCATAGATGTTGATAGTGAAGATGATGATGTATATCATATACTGAAATTAAAAGATAGCTCTTGAGAAAATGAAGAATTTGATAAGTTGAGAAATGAAAAACTAGAAAAAGAGTTGATTCAAGTAATGGGGAGAAACAAAAATAATGGATATGAATATAGAGATAATTTTGAAGGGGAAAAGTTTAATTTTACTGAATTCATTAGATTTGAGATTAAATAAGACAATCTTTCCATCCTTCAAAACCCACAGCCCATTAGAATTACTTCTAAGCTTGAAATATTTCACTCCTCACAAATTGAACAAATATGTATGGAAGATAAAATGGAGTAGGGGAAGATTATGAAAATAGAAGACATTAAGGAATGGGTGAATGGAAGAATTAGAGATATCAATTTAGATGAAAAAAATTTAGATTGGGTAAGAGCTAATTCAAAAATTATATGCCCTGATCACATTTTATGGTCTATTAATAGAAAGTATTTATTAATGAATGAGAGCCTTACCAAAAAAGATAGAAATAAGGAAAGATTCTTTTCAAAATGAAAATATTATTTTTGAGAAAAAATTTATTAATTTCTATTTTTTTTTAGTTGAAAGTATGTCAAGGTATATATATGAAGTATATAAATTTATGCTAAATCTGAAAAAGCATATCATGAAACTTACCTTGGGATACAAATATATTTTGATGGCCATAGATCATCTTATATGATCTAAGAGCTGTCCAACTGAAGACATTAAATTCAGTGTTGCATGGGAGGCAACCCATGATTTTTTTTTATTATGTTTGATTTTTTTAAGCTCTTTTTTTCGTAGAATTTTACAATATTTGTTTCTATATTTGTTTTTTCGAAAAAGTGCAAGAGGAGGAGTGTAAGATGAAGTGAAAAATTAAAAATGAGGTTGAGGTGATGTCTTTCTGAGCTTCATCATTTATGAAAATATTTTTAATACTTAACTTTGCACATATGTATGATTCACTTGAAAATTATATTTTCTGCATATTCTGTTTCGATTTTTTTGTGTCATTGAGGACAATGTCATTTTTAAGTTGGGGGGTGAAGTATTCATTATTAATTTATGCTGTAGGACGATTAAGAATATGTGTTTGCATTTTATTCAACTTAGAACAGCAACTAAAAAAATAAAAACAAAATAAAATTCAGAAAAACTACAACATCTATTTTCTAGTTTCCTGTTAGGAACAATAGACTATCAAAAATAACAGATAAAAAAATAGCCCAAAATTTGAAATTCTAGAGACTCTTTTCTCACATTTCAATCCCCTAGATATATATTACTGAAATTTGAAATTATAGCTATAAAGAGGATAGTTTTGATTTATTTTTGACAATTTATTGTGCTAAAATAGAAATAAAAATAGAAAATAGAACTGTCAAAACTATCTAATTTACAAATTTCTTACATCATATTGCATGCATGAAAAATCAAAATCAATTATATTGATTGATATCAAATAGATACTAAGAAGATTATTATTGAGTCAAAAGAATGATCTAGTAGCAAGAAATGTTGAAATACTCCTTGGATATATGATAAATAACATGGATTTGATTTTACAAATTTTCACTTCATGATCTTGATGAATAATATTTACTTGATGTGAAAATTTAATTGATCATTTGAGTTTAATAGAGATTTTTGCACCCTGATCCATAAGACTTGTGAGGAGAAATCACTTATTTCAAAAAAAAAAAGAGAGAGTGATGTAAAAAATTTAGAAACGAAGAGTACACATGGAGGGTGTGAGACATCATTCTCATTGTCGAAAATAATGTATAGAAAAACATTTGTTGTAAAATAAGTGGATTAAGTGAAAGCCTTGAAAATGAAGAGTACACGTGGAGAGTGTGAGACATCATTCTTATTGTCGAAATTTGTCTACAAGAAAAACTACTTATCCACTATAGATAAAAATAAAAATAAAAAAGAAGGAAGAAATATAGTGTAAACTTAAAAAATTAAGTCATAGAAAAAAGGAAATGTATGATCAATATTATTCTTAGATGAGTATTGATAATTAGAACATCTTATAAATACATCTATGAGTGAAGAAGTGATAAAGATGTGAATAGAAGAAGTAAAGTCTAAATTGTTATTCCAATGAGAGTTTAAACATTTTAGTGTTTGACATCATTCCTAAATACATGATATAAGAATCCAAAGTGTCTAAAGGTGCATCATTTCTAATTGCATTTTTTTTTCTATATTGAAATATGATGTTTGAGATTTATAAAATTTTATTTTCGTAATTCTATTGCTAAGGGACTAGCAATGATTTAAGTTGGAGAGTGTCATAAGTCTTCATTATCATGAGTTAATAATTAGTAAATAATATATTTTTAGCCTTAACTCATGATAAATAGATTTATATTTGTGTTAAAGTGTGAATAGTAATTTTCAGTTGATTAATGTAAATGTTGGGATAATTATGTGATTTTATATGATTTTTACAATCTTACTTTTGAGATAAATAAATAACAAAAAATAAAAATAAAAATATTGCAAAATGGGAGAACTTGCCAGCCAATTGGGCCCGCAAGCGGGTCGGAAGTGCAGTCGGGGAGTAGCCGCGAGCTGAGGCCCGAGTGGCTTGAACTGATGGGGCCACATGTGCACCACTCCCCTTCCACGTCACCGGTGGCCAGCTAGTTGTGGGGCAAAGAGTGATCGTACACGCGAGAGGACTTTGCTTACAAAGCTAACATTACTATATATTTGCCCAAAATCGTGATGAAGTTTGTGTAGGAAAATATTTTTTCAAGATTTGGATGTCCTAGAGTGATTATTAGTGATGGAGGAACACATTTTACAAATAAACATTTCAGAGAACTATTGAAAAAGAATAGAGTATGCTATAGAGCAGTCACTCCATATCATCCCCAAACAAATGGGCAAGTTGAAATAGCAAATAAGGAAATTCAGAGAATTTTTAGAAAAATAGTTAGACCAGATAGGAAAGATTGGCCCACTAAATTACAAGATGCATTATAGGCTTATAGAACAGCTTATAAAAATCCCATAGGTATGTCCCCATTTCGTCTCATTTTTGAAAAGCCATGTCATCTTCTTGTGGAAATAGAGCATAAAGCATTATGGGCTATAAAAAATTTATGTATGGATGAAAAATCAGCTGGTGGGCATAGAATTTTTAATTACATGAACTAGAGGAGTTGAGGAATGAAGCTTATGAAAATCATAGAATACATAAAGAAAACAACTAAAACTTTTCATGATAAATACATTAGTAGAAAAAAAATTAATGTTGGACAAAAAGTGCGGTTATATGATTCTAGGCTGAAATTATTTTCAGAAAAATTAAAATCAAAATAGAAAAAGCCTTATGTGGTGGAAGAGACATATGATCATGGGGCTGTAATGATTAAAGATCTTAAAAGTGATCATAACTTTAAGGTAAATGAACAACGGCTTAAATTCTATTTTTCTTAGAATTTCACAGTACTTATTTTTGTATTTATTTTTTTTTAGAAAAGTGCAAGAGGAGGAGTGTAAGATGAAGTGGAAAATTAAAAACGAGGTTGAGGTGATGTCTTTTTGAGCTTCATCATTTATGAAAATATTTTTAATGATTAACTTTGCAGATATGTATGCTTTACTTGAAAATTATATTTTTTACATATTCTGTTTCGATTTTTCTATCTCATTGAGGACAATGTCATTTTTATGTTGGGGGGTGAAGTATTCATTATTAATTTATGCTGTAGGACGATTAAGAACATGTGTTTGCATTTTATTCAACTTAGAACAGCAACTAAAAAAATAAAAATAAAATAAAATTCAGAAAAATTGTAACATCTATTTTCTGGTTTTCTGTCAAAGACAATAGACTGTCAAAAGCAGTAGACAAAAAACAGCCTGAAATTTGAAATTCTAGAAGACCCTTTTCTCACATTTCAATCCCCTAGATATATATTACTGAAATTCGAAATTAAAACTATAAAGAGGATAGTTTTGATTTATTTTTGACAAATTTATTGTGGCTAAAAATAAACTGAAAAAAGAAAATAGAACTGTCAGAACTATCTAATTTACAAATTCTTTACATCATATTACATGCATGAAAAATTAAATCAATTAGATTGATTGATACCAAAAGATACTAGGAAGATTATTATTGAGTCAAAAGAATGATCTAGTAGTATGAAATGTTGGAATACTCTTTGGATACATGATAGATAACATGGATTTGATTTTACAAATTTTCACTTCATGATCTTAATGGATAGTATTTACTTGATGTGAAAATTTGATTGATCATTTAAATTTAATGGAGATTTTTGCACCCTGATCTATAGGATTAATGAGGAGAAATCACTTATTTCGAAAAAAAAAGAGAGAGCAATGTGAAAAATCTAGAAACGAAGAGTACACATGGAGGGTGTGAGACATCATTCTCATTGTCGAAAATCGTGCATAGAAAAACACTTGCTGAAAAATAAGTGGATAAAGTGAAAGCCCTGAAAATGAAGAGTACACATGGAGGGTGTGAGACATCATTCTTATTGTCGAAATTTGTCTACAGGAAAAGCTACTTATCCACTATATATATAAAAAAAAAAAGAAGAAGGAAGAAATATAGTGCAAACTTCAAAAATCAAGTCATAGAAAAAGGGAAATGTAAGATCAATATTATTCTTGGATGAGTATTGATAATTGGAACATCTTGTAAATACATCTATGAGTGAAGAAGTGATAAAGATGTGAATAGAAGAAGTGAAGTCTAGATTGTTATTCCAAGGAGTGTTTAAACATTTAAGTGCTTGACATCATTCTTAAATACTTGATATAAGAATCCAAAGTGTTTAAAGGTGCATCATTTCTAATTGTATTTCTTTTCTGTATTGAAATATGATGTTTGAGATTTGTAAATTTTTATTTTCGTAATTCCATTGCTAAGAGACTAGCAATGATTTAAGTTGGGGGGTGTGATAAGTCTTCATTATCATGAGTTAATAATTAGTAAATAATATAGTTTTAGCCTTAACTCATGATAAATAGACTTATATTTGTGTTAAAGCATGAAAAGTGGTTTTCAGTTGATTAATCTAGAAACGAAGAGTACACATGGAGGGTGTGAGACATCATTCTCATTGTCGAAAATCGTGCATAGAAAAACACTTGCTGAAAAATAAGTAGATAAAATAAAAGCCTTGAAAATGAAGAGTACACATGGAGGGTGTGAGACATCATTCTTATTGTTGAAACTTGTCTACAGGAAAAACTACTTACCCACTATATATAAAAAAAAAAGAAGGAAGAAATATAGTACAAACTTTAAAAATCAAGTAATAAAAAAAAGGAAATGTAGGATCAATATTATTCTTAGATGCATATTGAGAATCTAATTTGTTTAAAGGTCCATCATTTCGAATTGTATTTTTATATATATATTAAAATATGATGTTTGAGATTTGTAAAATTTTATTTTCGTAATTCTATTACTAAGGGACTAGCAATGATTTAAGTTGGGGGGTGTGATAAGTCTTCATTATCATGAGTTAATAATTAGTAAATAATATAGTTTTAGCCTTAACTCATGATAAATAGATTTATATTTGTGTTAAAGTATGATTTGTGGTTTTCAGTTGACTGACGTGAATTTTTGGGTAATTATGTGATTTTATACGATTTTTACAGTCTTACTTTTGAGATAAATGAAGAATAAGAATAAAAATAAAAATATTACAAAATGGGGGGACCAGCCGGCCAGTCGGGCTTGCAAGCAAGTCAAAAGCTGTGAAGCAAGGAGTGATCATACACGTGAGAGTAGTGACTTTGCTTACAAAGCTAACATTACTATATATTCGTTCGAAAAATCGGCGCACAACCGATGTGGGACTAAACCTGTGTCACACCTTCCTCACAGGCGGGTGACCGGTGAGGGTTTGAATCCTCCCAAAGTTAAAATTCATATATTTTTATTTGATTATTGCGACTTTCTTACATATCGCTAGTGAAGGATTAAGTAACAATAATCGCTGAATCATCGGCAAAAATCTCATCAACGCAATTTGCAGAGCATTACTACTAAAATTGCTAAACGATTCACGATAAAAGGATCGCAATCTATCGAGTAAATCATCTCTGATTGATCGACGAACAAGCCGTCATCAAGAAGAGGACGATCCGCCGAGAGACGAGTCGCCACCTCTTGAAAGCATACTAGATGCGATGAAGAGCCTCCTCTTGCTGCGCGGACCTGAAGATGAAGCTTCCTGACACGCGCACCACCTCCATTCAGCTCCTCTCTGTCGGGTGACAGATGCCAAAGAGTTGCAAAGTCATCATTTTTCTGCTCCACTGGGTGACAGTCGCCGGAGATGACTTGACGACTCATTTCACTAATCTCTAGACTTCGCGAGAAGATCTAGAGATTACCCATGTTGTCTTTGTCCAAGGTGAGCCTTCGAGGCCATGGACACTGCACGACGATCCTCCTGAACGCTCAGGACTCCAATGCATTGCCATCATGATGCCGGAACTCTATTTTCTTGCTTTCAATTTATTTTACACTTTATTTAGTGATAATTTTTGTGTTTTTAATTTACCAAAATATACTCTATTCTATTATGATTCTTTTGGCTTTTACAGATCTTAATTTGATTAATTAAATCATCTATAATCACTTACGTAAGAATCACCAGGCGGAACTCTATTTCTGCCTAATTCACGTTCGTCAAGTGTTGATGTCATCCTGACATTCGCACCCTTATTTCCTTTTCTCGTGAATTTTAAATATATTTTCTATTCAATTCTTAGTATAAAATTCATAGAAAATCATATTCTTTGAGGAAAATTCTGAATAATTACTAGATAGTATATTACATCCCTGTGATTGACTTGGAAAATTACTACTATTTTTGGAAGTTTTATTGAATTATAATTGATATATTTATTCAAAAATACTTTTAAATATCTGAAAATTCATATTTTCTAGTTTTATAAATTTTATATTTGCATGATTTAATATACAACGATTGAGTCACATCACCACCTTACCCACTAGCTCAGCCACCCAAGATCACCAGCCCAATAAGTTTCATAATTGACATGACTCAGTCATTGTATATTAAATCACACAAATCTAAAATTTATAAAACTAGAAAATACAAATTTTTAGATATTTAGAAGTATTTCTAAATAAATATATTAATTATAATTCAATAAAACTTCCAAAAATAGCAACAATTTTCCAAGTCGATCACAAAGATGTAATATAATATCTAGTAATTATTCAGAATTTTTCTCAATGAATACGATTTTATATGAATTTTATACTAAGAATTGAAAAGGAAATATATTTAAAATTCACAATAAAAAAAGAAATAAGGGTGCGAATGTCAAGATGACATCAGCACCCGGCAAACACGAATCAGGCAGAAATAGAGTTCTGCTTGACAATTCTTACGTAAGTGATTATAGATGATTTAATTAATCAAATTAAGATCTGTAAAAGCCAATAGAATCGTAATTGAATAAAGTATATTTTGGTAAATTAAAAACACAAAAAATATGACTAAATGAAGCATAAAGTAAGTTGAAAGTAGGAAAACAAAGTTCCGGCATTGCGACAGTGATGCGTCGATGATGCACCGGAATCTTGAGCGCTCGGGAGGATCGTTGTGTAGTGTCCACAGCTTCGAAGGCTCTTCTTGGACAAAGACAACGTGGGCAATCTCTAAATCTTATCGCAAAGTCTAGAGATCCCTGAAATGGGTCATCGAGACATCTCAGGGGGCTGTCACTTGGCAGAGCGGAAAAATGGCGACTTTACAGCTCTTCGACGACTATCACCCGACAGAGAGGAGTTGGATGGAGGTGGGGAGCGTGTCAGGGAGCTTCATCCTCAAGTCTGCGCAGCAAGAGGAGGCTCTTCATCGCATCTGGTACGCTCTCAGGAGGTGACAACTCGTCTCCTAGCAGATTGTTCTCTTCCTAACGACAGCTTGTTTGTCGATCAATCGGAGATGATTTACTCAATGGATTACAATCCTTTTATCGTTAATTATTCAGCAATTTTAGTAGCAATGCTCCACGAATTGCGTTGACGAGATTTTTGTCAATGATCTAGCGATTCTCGTTGCTTAATCCTTTATTGGCGATCTGCAAGAAAGTCGTGATAATCAAATAAAAATATATGAATTTTAACTCTGGAAGGTGTGATGCGGGTTTAGTCCCACATCAGTTGTGCGTCGATTTTCCGGGCGAATATATAGTAATGTTAGCTTTGTAAGTAAAGTCACTACTCTCGCGTGTACGACCACTCTTTACCCCACAGCTGGCTGGCCACCGGTGACATGGAAGGGGAGTGGCGCACACGTGCCCCTATCAGTCCAAGCCAAGCTGCTCGAGCCCCTACTCGCAGCTACTCTCCGACTATGCTTCCGACCTACTTGCGGGACCAGCTGGCCGGCAGGTCCTCCCATTTTGCAATATTTTTATTTTTATTTCTTATTTTTTATTTATCTCAAAAGTAAGACTATAAAAATCCTATAAAATCACATAATTACCCAAAAATTTACCTTAATCAACTAAAAACCACTTTTTACGCTTTAACACAAATATAAGTCTATTTATCATGAGTTAAGACTAAAACTATATTATTTAGTAATTATTAACTCATGATAATGAAGACTTATCAATAATCCTAAGGTCACTCCTTTCTCACTACCCATTATTAATCTTAGACCCATTAAATGACACTAGTCAGGCCCACCAAGCCTAACCTAGCAGGTTGTCCCATAGCAGATGGGGAATGAGTATGAGCTCATTTCAATCCTCTATCTTGTAGTTATTTTGTAAAGTAATATCATCACAAATCGAATACTGAACAAGAAGAATTACAACTGGTGGAATAAATCCATCAAGATCTACTTTAAAGGACTACTATAGACTAAAACAAGGTGAGAACAATTTCAGTCAAATAGTTTTGGCAAAACAACTGAACTAAGTCAAGATTTACATTATTTGTTTCCTATCTCTAGTGATGTTTGAGTGATGTAAAAGCTACAAGATCAGATGGTAGTTTAAAATTTTCATGGTGGTCTCAGGGTGATGTGATGATGTTCATAGTCAAATTGTGTCTAGGGTTGTGTTGTCATCACTCATAGAAACATACCAATATATCTCTTATTTCTTTGGATATTGAGAACTTGAAGATTATTTCCACACCCATAGAGGCCATATCTTTGGTACATGCTCATCACTCTTCTCATGTGCATATTGGTGGTGGTTGCTTAGGGAATGATGGAGGCAAGACATATGGAGCTTGCCAATAATACAAATGTACTCATTGTCATAGAAAGGGACATGCCAAGGACACATGTTATGAACTTCATGTGAAACATACTAATAGAGTTAATTTGGTTGCTTTAGAAGAGGAGGGGGATAATTAAGTCATCCATCAAATGACTGTCTCAAATGAAGAGTATGCTCAAATTCTCTAAGCTCGTGCCTTTATGCACATTGATCATTGTAGGCTAGTATGTCCTAATGCACATTGATCGTTGTAGCCTATGTACTTTATCCTAAATATATAATTGAACTTTTGAAATATAATTGTGAAATATGAACTTAGTCCAAGTTGAATCCATAAGGATGATTTGATTTATTTTTATACAAATCTCATATTCTCCAAAGGCAAATAATTTCTAGACTCATTAAATACAAATATTTAAGACAAATTATTTTTTTCTAAAAAAATATAAAAAATTGACAAATAAAAAAAAAGGGTTTAAGGTGAATCTCCACTATCTCCCTAACGTGATGATGCAACACTATATCCACAAGATTGTGAAAATACTCCTTTGTGCTGAAGAGAGAGAAAGAGAGAGAGAGAATAAAGAAAAAAGGGAGAGTAGAGAGAAGAATAGTAAGGAGAGAAGAGAGGAGCAATAGAGGAGAGGAAAGAGTGAGAATGATGTAGTGGGAGAAGAGGGGGCACAACCAATTGAAGGGAGTTGATTGGTCAAAGATGGCATGTAAAATAAAGAGAGAGGTAGAGACAAAGAAATAGAAAAAGAAAATTCGGGATTGAGAGAGTTCTTAGTTGTGGAAGGGAGGTTTTGCTCATAGCAGAAATTATCAGCAAAAAGGGAGGAGAAATCAATAAAAAAATATAAAAATTGATTAAAAGGGGAAGATAAGGAAGAAAATAAGATGTTAGATGAGAGAAAACAGTGAAAAGTAAAGGAAAAAGGCCATAGAAGATTCTAACTCACCAGCATATGAGTTTCAACTTGTGAGAGAGAAATCATCAAAGAAATTGATATTTTTGGTGAAGGAAATAAAATAATGGAATGAAAACAAGATTAAAAAATAGGGAAAGTAGTGAGCAAGAGATTGGATGCAAGATTGAAAGAAAAATGATTAAAAAAGGAGAAAATTCACCAAAGAATGAGAAGTTTCTCACCAAGATGAGAGAAATAATGATTTCTAGTAAATTAAATTGGTGAAAGATGATTAAAAAATAAATAATTTTAATGAGATGAAAATCGAAAGAAGTGATGTAGTCAAAGTCAACAAATCAACACTTTGACCAAGAGGCAAGGTCAACTATATATGCTAAAGGTGAAGTTGAATTTGAGGAGAGCTGAACTGAAATTTAGCCCAAGTCTAGGTCAATAAGAGGGCCCATTTGGAAGAGGTGCTTCTACCAACTTCCAATAACTACCCCAACTTCCATCCAAAAGAATCCAAGGAAGGAATGTCTATAACTATGAGATAACTGCCTCCACATGCACCATTTGAACCACAAAAATTTATGTTTCCAAGGGTGGGTTAGATAACTCTTCAAAGCAACCTTTGGAAGAACCAACACCCCTTAAGTGGTCAATAAGAATAAGGCATAACCATGACTTCTATGTTTAATCCTATTCTCCTATAAATGGGGAGATGAACTCTTATGTGGGGAACCAATTGATGAAACCTTCTTGTGTGACGATTTTTTTCTTCAATTTTCACCCTTATCTTAGAGGGGGGTCGTGACAGTCAATACCTCATCTTTGGGGAGGCCATGAGGATTAACTACCATTTTCATTCCACCCTTCTCATCCTTTCCTTCTATTTTTCACCGCTTTCTGAAATCATTGAAACTCTATCTAAAGTCTGCAAGCACAGTCGGATTACATCTCTTCATATCAAGGTGCGTTGACTTTTCATCTTTGGTGGTATTTATGAACTGATCTTTAATTCTCTATTTGCAATTGCACTTGTATGTCCCATAGGCCAGCCATGAAATTGTTAATTAGTGATCCTAAAACCCTAATCTGGATTTGATCTGATTCATTAAATCCTACACATCCTTAATCATTGGATAGGAGATCCTATTTTCAATACTTTGCACAATTCAATTAAGTCAAAATTAATAACTACTATACTTTAAAATTTGCGTGAATTTTTCTAGTCCCCTTGTGAGTTGGTCTAGACTGATTTAAATACACTTTATTAATTTGTCTTGCATAAAGAAGGGAAGGAAAGAGGGAGAAAGAGAGAAAAGCTTGCTTGAAAAGAGAAAACCTACTGATGGGAGAGAATGATGAAGTGATAGAAAACAACAAAAAGGTGAGAATTGAAGGAGATTTAACCTACTGATAAGAGAGAATGACGAAGTGATAGAAAACAACAAAAAGGTGAGAACATAAGGGGATTTGAGAGGGTTCAAAAGCTGCATAAAAGGTTAGGAACATGAAAAAGGGAGGAACTTACCAAAAACGTACAAAAATGAACTCTACCTATCTATCACCCAAGAAGAGAGCATGAAAGGGAGAGCGAGAAAGTCGATTGACTCTCACTAGTCGCTCTCTCTCTTTCTCTCCTTTCTCTCTTGATCTCTCATTCTGTGGGCATAGGAAGGAAGGTGCGATCGTCATGAAACCACTAAAGGTTCCCCTAACGCCGTCTACCTCACACTTCACTCATACTATTTTAAGTTGTCTCAGCCGCGCAGTTAAATGTTTATCCGGCTTCCATCAGCCGCGCAGTTAAATCGTCCGCATCTGTGCCGTAAGAGTTATGCACGCCCGTCGGATGTTCGACAAGACAAGCTCCGCCAATCCCAATGCCAATGCGCCCACGTCAGCATCTTGGATGACGTGCCAGGATCGTATACGTACGATGACGTAATCACTGTCGTCTGTACGACTTAATGGTAGAACTCGATTCGGCTGCACTCGGGTGAGTGGCAAAATGCGCGTTGAGAATTATTTGGCAATAAAAAGTTGAACTGGAAAATTTTGATGTCATAACAGGATCTGCAGGATGACGTCATACATGGAATGCGGAAATTTCCGACTGGACACTACCTCTTCTGGAAATTTAAGGTCTTTATGCTGAAGGCGAAGATGGACGCGAAAAGCACGCTGAAGGCGACAACCGCCGTCGCCACCGCCCACAAGAAGTCGTGTTCAAAGCCAAAGTAGTTCTTTAGGAACACGTCCACTGGCTCATCCTCGACGATCGCCGAAATGTCCCCGAACTGCGAGGCGATCAGGCCATAGAGAGTCCACGCCATGGGGCAAGCCCAACTGTACCATCTCCACCAGATGGGAATCCTCTGCGAACGAGAGAGACAGAGAGAGGCGTGAGCAGAAGGGTCCCGCACGGAGAGAGGCCATGGAGGACAGGAGGTGCTCACCGGTCGGGGGATCAAGAAGCCGGAAAAGAGGTTCCATATGCCGTAGAAGGCGCCGGAGACGATGGCAGCGACGTTGTGGTTGGGGGTCATCCCCACGGCCATCATCCCGGATAAGGTGAAGTAGAGGAAGGTGAAGTACATGAAGAAGATGTACCAGCAGAACTTGGCCGCCGTCCACTCGAACCCGATCATTGCATAGACGATGAGCCCGTACACCACGGCCTGAAGTAGGATGTATGGCAGCTCGATCACCACCTGCGAGATACCCGATGGAGCGTGGTGAGCAAAGAAGGGCTCCACACTGGCGAGGAGGAGGATCTCGAAAGGTTTTTCTTAGCTCATAATTCACCTGGCCAAACGCGTACGGTAAAGCCGAGTACATCCCGGCAGCTATCTCCCGGTAGAATACTGTTCTTTCGACGCTGACCACTGGCTGAACTGTCTGCGCGTTTTGTATCCCTATGAACAGGACAGCGCAGTACATGGAACCCAAGGCGTTAAACAGATCCTGTTTCTTCTCCCTGAAACCAAACATTTCCAAGATTTGAATCATGCTAGAAAAACAGAAGCACACCGGAAGATTAATTACATCGAAAGAATCGAGTACAGCCATGCAAGGAATTGGGCTGTAAAATTTAAGATCGATCGATATAAGTCTGACTTCCGACTGATTTGGACTTTTATGTCTCTCAAAAAATCTAATGGCATATGCGCACATATCAAACCGTGTAAGCTGGTTAGGTTAGGTTAAGTTACGTTAGGTTAGGTTAGGTTAGATTAGGTTACCTTCGGGATCCCAATCCCCAGAAGATTGTGCCGAACAACAAGGCGATGACGGTCGTGAAGAAAAGCCTCATGGCAGTGTAAGAAGGATTCCGCCAGTACGACAGATGCTGCTTCCACAGGCAAGCCATGCACTGCGTGAAGAAGGTCCGTGAATACTGTGTGGGGAAGTCAAGGTCGCTCGAACCGGGAGCAGGCACGCTCAGCTCCCTTATTAGACTCTTGTTCCTCCTGCCATTGGCATCAACAGGTTATAATGCCGCAGAATTAGGTCGTCCACTCAAGCCAAAGATGAGCGGAGTAGGATCACGTATGTTTTAATCCCGAGTTATCTTACGATTCGATCGGAACAGGAAACGGGAGATATATCATCTACTCACTGGTAAAGCTCCGAGTTCTTATATAACTCGCTGAAACTGACACCAAGAACGTCTTCTTGTCCCAGAGTCGTCATCTCCAACATCCATGTCGCGGGGTTGTAACCGTCTTTGATCTTGATAATTCCATGGATACCCTACGAACAATGATTCACAGTCATATCGTCAATAATACCGTTTTTCAAAGAAGCCGCATTACCCAAAAGAGAGGGGAAACGGAAGCTGTTATCGCCGAAATGTCACCTCAAAGTACTTGATCAGCTCGCAAGATTGGCGTCCCAGCGGACCAATGTATATCTCTTCTCCTCCCCGCTTCATCAGGAAGAGCTGCAGGCAAACTGAGAGCATGAAGTCTAGAGAGAGAATCCGTGAGAAATGTCGGAAGAATGCTGAAGAAAGTCTCGTTACCTCGTCGAAAGCTTCGAATATGTCTATGCTGGGCTGATGAATGGTGCACACGACTGTCCTTCCTGTATCAACGGTATTCCTCACCGTTCTCATGACGATGGCGGCCGCCCTAGCATCAAGACCAGAGGTGGGCTCGTCCATGAAAATTATGGACGGGTTGGAGACGAGCTCGACGGCGATAGTCAGCCTCTTCCTCTGCTCCGTCGAGAGGCCACTGACGCCGGGCAGCCCAACGTGCGCTTCCCTCAACTGTGTCAGCTCCACGAGCTCCATGATCTCCTCGCAGAACATCTGCCCACCCACCCGATAGTTGCAGGAGCGAGGTTTATCACCACGATTCCACAATACAAACACGAAGATACATATCTCCAACGTATCCTTGTACCTTCCTCGTGTTGGAGTCGACCTCGGCCGGTAGACGCAGCCAGGCAGAGTACAGGAGCGACTCGCCGACGGTGACGTGTGGCGAGTGGATATCGTTCTGCTCACAGTAACCAGATATGCGAGCGAACGTCTCCTGCTTCTTGGGGTACCCGGATATGGTTATGCTCCCTTCGATATGTCCTCCCGTCTTTCTCCCAGACAGTACGTCCATCAGCGTCGTCTTTCCGGCGCCGCTGACTCCCATTAGAGCTGTGAGAACTCCTGGTCGGAAGGATCCGCTCACGCCCTTCAGAAGCTCCAATCTGTCGGCTACAACACCTTCCGTTTTCATTTCCTGCGAGGAACATCAATCAAAAGGTTTCATCTCTCTCTTCACTCGTGAGAATATTCTTACATAACTTGTCAATGAACGTGCTTCTAAATAGAACGATGCTTACCGCTGGCATGTCGACCGAATATCTGATGTCCTCAAACTCCATGGAAAGGGGGACAAAAGGAAGAACCATCCCTTTCCTGTCCGGATTTAAGCCTCCGGCTCCCTTGGGAACAGATGCCTTATCATCACTCTTCCCTGTCCGCAGACAAATCTCAAAGCTCGATTAGAGGTGACAACAGATGGCGGAAAAATAAACCTTCTACACGGGGCATCGGACGAATGGTTGGTTACCACGGAATCGCTCTCCTCTGGACGATAGCTCAAGCGATTGCACAGTCAAGTTCTCGTGCTTCTCATTCAGTGACTCTTCAGATACGGCCGCCTGACCCTTTTCGAGTGCTGCAAGAATCAGACGCAGAGAAACATGAGCAGGGATTCTGCGCATTAACGAAAAGATTTAATGTATTTGGACGAGCTGGCTAGTTGAGCTTATGAACGGAGGAGGGAACCCACGGTTGAGGTACTGGAGAGCTAGAGTGATAAAGACGTTGAACAAAAGCATGTATCCAGCGAGTGCTCCCACTCCAATCCAATACCATTTTGCTTCAGTGAAGACGCTGCGGGACCTCAAGACTAAGATTCCTAGAGGCTCTGTGGTTCCCGGGAGAATCTGTGGAGTCCATATCATGTCAAGCACGGGCATTAGCTCCCCTTGACTAAAGGCTAGACCAGAGGAAAATATTCTGGTCATCAAAGTCAAACTCAGGTGCAAGTAGTATATGTTTCAGTTAAAAACTCCAAAGATTCGATTTGATCCGAAAATATTCTACAAAATAGCGTCACGTGAACTTCAGAAGGGAGATGCGCGCCAGATGGCTGTATCAAACACCACAAGAATAACCCCGCGATCATTGATTGAAAATAAATCTAATATTATATCCGTAATAGGCTCAATTTGAAGATCGGGTCATCCGATGACGAACTCTTAAATCAATTGGCAGTGAGTAGAGCTAAACTTAATCTAACGTAGTTTGAAGGTCAATCAATCTCATAAAATTAGGCGCTATCCTGGCAGCTCTCGTACCGCTCACCTTGCTCCAGCTTTTGCCGAGGAATTCATTGATGAAGACCCCGTACTGCGCGTACATCATAGGAGAGACCCACATCCCCCATTTCCACCATTTCTTCACATTATCTGTACGAGGAAAGAGAACGGGTCATCACCTATCTGTGTGGAGGAGTTCCGGACGAAACGGTTCATCTAGCCTGTTCGTCGGATCCTACCTCGAGCGAGAACGAACCCACCCAGCACCATCACGACGAGCACGGCGAAAGATCCAAACGTGTTTGCGATCACCATGTTTCCGCCCAGCGCAGCCACCAGCCGGAAAAGACCATTCGCCATCTGGCTCGTCAGAAGAAGCAGAAGGTATTGCTTGAATAATCTGAATAAAGAGGAATTCCCAGGTCAAGGCCGATACGGTCGGGGATCAAAGGTCCTGATGTTCAAAATCCATGGGGGCCTTCACCTTGCTGCTCTCGGATCGAAACCGATGGCGTAGTAGGTCACGAACACCCAGACTGCAACTTCGACGAAGGTTATGGGGATCTTCAACACCCACGACGGCAGGGCGTAGGCCCATGCGGGGTAGAACAGAAGGTCCCTCTGCTTGTAGAAAACTGGGAGCTTGGCTACGGTCATGGCGAGCTCCGCTAACCCATTGAACATAACGATGATGACGGAGAAGAAGAGTGCTCCCATGAAGATGTTTCCATCAGCCACCGAGTCCCGAGGCATCTTCGTCCTCAGGAAAACCGTCGTGGTGAGGAAGCTCAGTAGGAGAATCTGAGTTAATTAGGAGACAGGATCAGAGAGCCAGACGAGGACCAGGAAGGGGAAGGGAGGAGAACCAGTACCTGGAAGGACCTGAAAACGTAGACGAAGGAATTCCGCTTCATGAGAAGCAGCTCTCTCTCGATGCAAGCCTTCAGTAGCTCCTTCTTGCTGACGCCGTATTTGGACGTGGTCAGAGCCGCAGGGTGGCTCTTGGTCCTGTCGAACGGCACCGCGAGCTCCTTCGTCACATCCTTCCCCACATGGAAGGCCTTAAAGGAATCGGTGAAGTCGTTCACCGGCACGAATCGGTAAGGCTCCCCGTGGCGGGCCCAGTACTGCCCTTGGTCCTTTCTCGACGTCACCTGGAGAAGATTTTCAAGATAAAATTTCGAACTTTGCCTTCCGAGAAGATCATCGAAAAGTTTTCACGGAAACAGGGGAGACGCTGACCTCTTGAAGGAAGTCGGCGATGCCCTTCCTCTCAGGGCACTTGAAGCCCATGAACTCGAAGAACTCGAGGACATCCTCGCGGGGGCCTTGGTAGACGATCTGCCCATCGGAGAGGAGGATGATGTCGTCGAAGAGGTCGTACGTCTCCGGCGCCGGCTGGAGCAGCGAGATGAGGGCAGTTCCCCCGAGGATGTGGATTGACTGCCTCAGAGCCTTTACGATCTGGAAGGTGGTCGAGCTATCCAGACCGGTTGATATCTCGTCCATGAACAGAGCTCTCGCGGGTCCAACCATCATCTCCCCTGCGATGGTTCAGCGGAGGCTTCTTTAATAGGGAGAAAAAGAATGGAAGAAGGGTCTTCAGAACTATCTCTCTCTCTCGCTCGCTCGCTCTCTACCTGTGGTGACGCGCTTCCTTTGGCCCCCGGAGATACCCCTCACCATCTCATCACCTACCATGGTGTCAGCACAGATGTCCAACCCTAGGATCTGCAGGAGGAAGCTTCGTATTGAATAAGAAGCCAGGAGTCAACGATGGAACTGAGAAAGTTGCAAAGGTAATCGGAGACCTGCCTTGAGGATGTAGTCTGTCACTACGCTGGCTTGTTGGCCTTCCATTGCAATCGCCTGTTTTGGGGAAGTAAGCCGTCAGTCCCACAAGCGAATTTGAGAGAGAGAGGGCAGTCTTAACGAAGAGTTCTTACCTTCGTGAAGACGTCGATGTCGGGATCTGGCTTGATGTTGGCGGCCTTCTCTCTCCTCGACAACTCCGACAGTATCTCTGCGATCACAGTAGGAAATTATGTAATTCGTAGTATACGAGGCAGTTTCAGGTAGAAACCAGGTGGAACAGAGCTCACCGTAGGGCGTTCCTACGCCCTGACATCTGGCAGAGAAGTCGAGCGTTTCCCGAACAGTCATCTCCCCGATGTGGATATCATACTGACTGACGTAGGCGGATGTTCTTTCCGGGACGAACTCGTCCAGTCCATGCCCATTGTACGTTATTTTCCCAGAAACCTTCTCTCCCCAAAAAACGCAGAGCTCGCAACTCAGCCGACAAATCGGTGGAAGAGAATCATGAAGACGTAGAAGAACGAGAGCAAGAAGGGACCTTGACGTCTGAGCCCCGCTTCCCAGCGAGAGCCAGCAAAAATGATGTCTTCCCAGAGCCCGGGGGACCCAAAAGCAGAGTCATCCTGAAGAACAGTAAAGACTGAGCTTAGGGGAAATTGTGAAAGCCATAGGCTTTGGGAGCGAGGGAGCTCGATCATTCTCATTTTCCACACCTGCAAGGTTTGATGATGCCCCTGAGATTGTGAAGGATGGAGATCGGCCTCTTCCTGCTGGACAGGATGCGGAGCCCGGCCGCCGCCACCTGCAAAAACTCTAGCGTTCGAATCAGGCCCGCAGGGGGGAAACCACAGCGCCATTGTTGAATCCTTCGAGAAAAGCTCTACTTCTAGGATGTTCATGACGGAGTTGAAGACGGTAGGCAGCGCTCTCCCCCCCACGTGAGCCTCCGCTGTGATGTTGAGGTCCTCGAAACGCACTTCGATCGTCGGAAGATCGATACCCACCCTGATACGAACCAGGGGAAAAAAAACAAGCTCGGTCTTCCGCAAAAAAGTTTCCAGGGGAGATGATTCTAGGCGACGACCGGAATCAGAAACTGTCACAAGAGAGGACGAGGGTTTATACATTACTTACCGATCAATGCGATTTCTGAGCTTCAACAGGAACCTTTCGTTGTCCTCGTCGGCAATCCTGACCAGCCTCTCGAGCAGGGTCTTCCTCTCCTGGTTCCCGAGGTCCTTGATCTCGATCCCCCTGTGCTCGCCTTCGGCGCCGACGAGGATGCCCTTCCTTATGCAGCTGTAAGTGGGGAGCTTCTCCAGGGCCGCCCATTTCAGCGCCTCTTCGTCGTCCTCCTCCCTGAACGACCTGGAGAAGACGTCCTCGGCTTCGCTCCAGCTGTTCTGTCTCAGGCTCCCGACCCTGTATACGCTGCTGCCAGTCTCCATCCCTGCGGAGCAGAAGATGGAGGCTCTGCAGCTGTTCTTGAGCCGCCGGCCTCACCCCGCTGGTTCGAGAGGGAGAGAATGCGCGTTGGTTAAACCCCACTGGGCAGAAAACAGAACCCTGTTCAATGCGGAGGAAGCGAACATGTCGAGAGCGAGAGAGAGAGAGAGAGAGAGAATGCAGTCTAGAAGTAGGGTAGTGATGATTGATCCGAACTTTCATGATCAGATAAACAAAAGGTCGTGTTGATTAAAAGGCATACAAAAAGAGTCCCGATGACGTCAGAGGGAGCTGCCCACGTGAGGTCAGTTTCGGTGACAGCTCTCCCAAGCCGAGGGCGCCGGGTCCGCCGACACCGCGATTTTATGGGGCCTGGATTCATCACATCCGTCAGATCCCATTCGGGGGGGTCGTTGAACGGCCCGGATGATTTAATCGCACCGGCTTCGGCGAGAGCCGTCTAGCCAGCACCCCGTCGTCTAGAGAGAGAGAGGTTGGACTTCGGAGCTAAATCCTGTTCAAGCCCGGACCCAACTTAGGGGAGAAATTATTTACCCCATCAAATAATTTATTTTCTTAAGAACCCACATCTAGAAGGAATCGAACCAGATAAACTGTGATGCATGATTTTTCCGGGGGGGCGGGGGGTGAAGAGAGCTAGAAGCTAGTGGCCGGAATGATCACACCAGCCGGCGCCGGCCCTAATGGCGGCAGATTATCCGCCGTCGCCTTCAATGGGCTCTGCAGTACACGCGGTGAAACTCCTTGGAGGGCGGCCGACGGCCGGCGACAGGCGGCGCCTGCTTCGGCGGCCGCCTCTGCGAGAGGTCAGAATTGAAGGAGCTGCGGCACCAGCTCAGCCCTCTCGGGGTAATCCGATCTCGATCAGCTCTGACCAGGCCCGGTCTAATCCTGCGACTCGAAAAGCCCGTCTCCGGTGTTCTGGGGCCCATCAAATCAATACAACTCGGAATAAATAGGAATTTATCAACGCATGGAAATAAGAAATCCAAGATTGGGTGGAAGGGGATCTTCACTATCTATCCGATGGGGTATAATCGTCGATTCCTGTTCACACTTGGTACAACGAGCGGCTGCCAAGTGGAGCTTGTAGAAGAATGAAGGCCTATCTACAGCCGGGCCCTGTTCTCGACAGCCACCTGGATTCTGCCGATGAAGTCGCCGAGGGCCATGTTGCCGAGCTCCCCGGAGAAGCGGGACCTGACGGTGACGGTGCGGGTCTCGACCTCCTTGGGCCCCACCACCACCATCAGCGGCACCTTCTGCTTCTCCGCGTTCCTGATGAGCTTCGGCAGCCGCTCCCCCTGGCAGAGCTCCGCTCTCACCCCGGAGGACTTCAGCTGCGAGAGGACCTCGTTGCAGTAGTCAACCTGAAACGCCGGCGCAAGTGAGCGCGGTAAATATAGCAAAGGCAGGTACATACTATGCATGGGTGGTGGCGATTAGAGGAGAGAAGAAACCTCGTTGTCGGTGACGGGGAGAACGCGGGCTTGGGTGGGAGAAAGCCAAAGGGGGAAGTCCCCGGCGTAGTGCTCGATCAGGACTCCGAAGAATCTTTCCAAAGACCCCAGGATGGCTCTGTGGATCATGATCGGCCTCCTTTTCTCGGAGTTTGAATCGACGTACGAAATGTCAAACCGGTTCGGCAGATTGAAGTCCACCTGCAATCAGTCAACGGGAGGAAATCATCAACAGAAGAAAAGCACGGAGGGGGCTGGACTTCACAGACCAACATGACGCCCCAGAGAAGGAAAGCGTGCCTGAACAGTGGAGCATTGCCACTTTCTCCCCAGAGCGTCTTGAATTTTTAGGTCTATTTTGGGGCCATAGAAAGCCCCTCCGCCTTCGTCGATCTGGTATGCCCAACCCTTGTCATCAAGAGCATCTTGAAGGGCAGTTGTTGCCTTCTCCCAGATGTCGTCGTCGCCCACGGATTTCTCAGGTCTCGTTGACAGGTTGACTTCGTACTTCATGAAACCGAATTGCAGTAATATTTCTTCAGTTAGGTCAAGAACCCCCCTGATTTCATCCCTGATTTGGTCCTCTAAACAGAAAATATGTGCATCATCCTGCATCACGGATGGAAATATATCAGAAACATGCATTGTCATATTGTCTCATAGTCAATGAAACAACAGAAGACAATGATCCAGAAGCTACCGAAATATTAAAAAAATAAAAATAAAAAAAGCTTTTGCATACACAGGGCTTTTAGTCAAGTTTTAATAAAAAATAATTCACAAGACGCAAGCCAAGTTTGAATATTCTGCAACATGAAAATGATTTACTAAGAGCCTTTCACCACGCTAAAAGAAAATCAAGAACCTTGGATTCAGGATTCAATCTTTCCACATTTTCCACCTCTTGGTGAAAGGTGGAACCTGTGCAAACCAACCACCTTTATGAACAACTTTCATTAGGCCGCTCATAGTTTATCAAGCCAAACTACACCAAAGAGATTGTAATAGTCTACCGTTCTCAGTGAATCTCATAAAATAGATCGATAGAACATAAAAGACCAGGGCATATAACTTTGGGGAAGGTGCTAATCATATGAAATAACGTACACTTGGAATTTACTAAGAGTAAATCTAAGGTGAAATATCAAAATTTCACTACCCAATGAAAGCAGAAAGACTTTGTCATAATAAATCAGTGTGTTTTAAAAAAAAAGCCAACCGTTATTAATTTGTTTCATTCTGAGACTCAAAACTGCACCAGAAAGGGTGTCCGGAAGAAATAAACAAAGAAGAAAAGACCAAACATAGAGAATGGTGTTCGATCACTAATCGGTGTGCCGTATCACCATCTGTAGCATTGAATGACGTAAGTAACTTCGAAGAAGAGGTGAGGGGAACCGAACAAAGAGTAGCCATACAGTCAAAAAATGAAAGAAAAGCCACTTGACATGGAAAATAATAAAAGAATATAACCATAATTTACAAAAAGATTTCGTACCTGGGTAAAACCTCTCACACGGAATAATCCATGCATGCTGCCAGATAATTCATATCTATATACTGTCCCCAGCTCTGCCAATCTAATTGGGAAGTCCCTGTAAGAATGGAGCTTCCTCTTGTATATTAAAATGTGATATGGACAATTCATAGGTCGAAGTTGGTACTTTTCATCTTCAATTTTCATTTGATCAAACATATTTTCTTTGTAGAAATCCAGGTGGCCGCTAATTCTCCAAAGGTCAACCTTGGCTACATGAGGTGTATACAGAAGCTCATAACCATGTTGTATGTGTACTTTCTTCCATGAATCCTCAATTAGATGTCGCACTACTGCACCTTTTGGATGCCAAAAGACCAAGCCCCCCCCTGCGTCATCCTACAATTTTTCAAGAGAAGATCCAATCATTCAATGCACGAATGATGTTCTTCAACATCATATTTCAGGACAAGATAAAGCGGGACATTAACACTTTGATAACAGGGCAGTTGTGTACACTGTTGGACAGCGAAAATTAGAATTTTGATGAGCAGATATTTTTAACATTACCAAAGACGTTCAGCATATAATGAAGAATCTAAAAAAGAAGGATGAAGAGACCAAGACAGAAGCATTATACACCTTTCAAAGCAACACATTAAAGAATACAATCCTGAAGATAGAGATAGGACTATACAAAGCAATCCATTATTTCAAAATGATAATGTCCTAATATATTTGTTCGAGCACATCAATCTATTTCTCACCATCATCTGCATTCAAACAGGGAGCATGAGCTGATAGAGCTAAAATCTTTCTCAGAATGGCAGACTACACGAAGCTAAGGCGTCACCATGACTACAGACTCGCAAGTTGAATGACAGATGGAAGAGAAGATAGTGCTCTTGCAATCATGAATTGAAAGCACAAAATTAAATGACCAACTTGACCAAAAAATATCCAGTTCAGCAGAAGAACTGGGTGAAAGCGTCTAAACCCAGCAAGGCATGAATTTCTTTTAACTAAATAGATAGTCTAACAAAATCCCAGTAGAAGTAACCTAATCTTATAAACAACACTATGAAAAAAATGGGAATGAAAGGGAAAAGAAAACATGATGCACAACTAGGTTTGACGTAGAAAACATGGAATCACCGAAATACGTATGGATCTGCAAAATACATTCATAGAATTGAAATTTCCATGAACTCTCTCTACGAAATCTCAATTTCAGCCATTTATGGTCACAGTTCAGATAGGACTCAAGATAATTTATAAAATCGGGCATCAGAAGAGACCCACCCAACCTCGTTTTACCTGCTTTAGCGGCTAATTTTTTGTTTTAGGTAGCAAGTATACAAAGACAAATACAACTTAATTTTGAACGGTACCCAATCCCGAACCAGACATTTATTAAACCCCAAAACATTTTCACGTTCCCCAAATACAACTTAATCATAATATATTAGTACAGAATCTCGAAGCAACCCCACGTAATACAGCCAGTCATCATTTTTTCAGTGTATTATCACGTTCCCCACGTCACTATGAATGACTCTCACGTGTTCAAGCTGTTTTGTACATCAAAAAGTGAATCTGGAGAACTAAAAGTAGGTGGAAATCGTCAACACAATAGCAGATAGTATCAGAAGGGGAAAGACAAAAAAAACCCAGAAAAAATGAACCAAGTTGAAGATAGAGCAATATTATGCAAACTAAAAATGGCACTAAATCGATTGAGAGACCCCAAAACTGACGTGCAAAACAGCCCTTCGTTATTCTGTCAATGAAACATTTTCTCGAGTTTCGGATCCCTCATTTTGTTTCTAATAACAAGGGAGGTTAGCAAATCTTATTAACAAAAATACAAGGTTATCATGGGTTGCCAGGAAACCTCTTCCCCATTCAGGGAATCTGGGACCTTTCTTCCCAAAGATCCATTTCCTGAGCTAACCACCCCATTGCCATTGGGTAAGGTCCCCTGTCTAAGGTGCCTAACTGATAAGCCTCCACGCACATATTCTAGAAGCAAGAAGGCCCAAGCCCAATAAGACAGTAACGGTCAGCATTACTGAGGGAAGGAGCAGTTATGGCAAGAGAATAAATACCTAAATAAGGCGAAGGGAAGAGGACAGAATATAGGGACGAGAGGAGGAGGCAAGAAGGACGGGAGAGGAGAAATCGGTGATAGTATCTCGTGGATCTACAAAAGGGTTTGGAGGGTTACATGGGACCAACTCATCTGTTCTTGGTTCTTCTACTGTTCTTTCTCTTTATTTCTTTCTGTTCAAGAGACTGTTTTCATCTAATACGAATTATTCGTCGTTCTTTGATCTGGGATCTTATCCCTAACTATCAAGAAGAATATCCTTCTAGTGAGCCTCTGAGAAGAGCTAGATGTCTTTCAAACAGGACATAACATATTAGCGTCTCCAAGCAGAAATCGGCATTCATGCCATGTTAGAAATAATGTTAGTAGGGCACAATTTTACAGAAATCTAATTCTAAAAATACTTCTGATCATCAGACTTTGACTCCTCCCATTTCCAGCTACAACAAAAATCTAAGCATGTGTTTGACTAAGACCCTTTTTCTACCTGATTTCTCCTTCTGTTCTTCCTGAATCATCAAGTTGGAAAACCAATGTTATAATCCAGCCCAATTAGTAGATAATTATAGGGAAAGTAGCCATAAGGCCAAGCTGCAGTACAACATATAGGTATCCAATTCCACGATAAGTTGAAGACGATGTCTTCAGCATAAATTTGTAGAACATATAAACAGAATATAATGGGTTTTTCCTCATACATAACTACAGTAAAAAGGATACCTCCGTCATAAACAGGAAAAAATGAGCCATCAAAATCCCTCCAAATTTAATGATAATTAAGGCATAAGGAAGCTAGGACACTGCACCATCAGTTTAGTTTCAACTATAATATCCCATGAAGAACCGGAGGGAAAAGAGAGTTTTATTGGACCAAGAGTTTGCTTGACCACAACAATGTGAAAGGTAATGTGCCAAGCAACAGGTCAAAATAACATTCGACAGGAAATGAGTTGGTGAAAATCCCACAAAGTCTGAGGGAAGGTTAAAAAAATGTCGATTTGTTGCATGGTTTAAACTAGTATAAGAAGGGAAAGTACTCATCGATTACTTAGAATGTGTAAAATGGAGAGGGATTCTTGATCCACGGGCTGGGAAAACTACCAGCATCAGATTCTTTAACAGACAATTTATCAAATCTTCAAACTTGAGGCATATCAATAAATGTAAAGCTGAAAATAACTCCTATGAGATGTGCATCAGTAAATGTCCATAATGAATGAAAAAATCCATTAGACAAAAACTTCAACCAAACAATCTCCACAAAGATGATTTTTTTTTTATCAGGTACCTGTATTGAAAACAGGTCAAGGTCCTGACCCAAGCGTCTATGATCACGACGCTTTGCCTCCTCCTTATAATGAAGGTAAGCTTTCAACTGTTCCTGAGTCTCCCATGCTGTGCCATAAATTCTCTGAAGCATTTGATTCTTTTCATCTCCTCTCCAATAGGCCCCTGCCACAGATTCAAGTTCAACCGCATTCTTGTCTATGTTTCCAGTGGAATCTACATGAGGCCCAGCACAAAGATCCCACCATTCGTTTCCTATGAGAGAAGATAAAGAGGTAGCATTAGCTTAAATTCAGCGTTCAGAACAATGCTGTGTTATTATAAAACATAAGAATAAACTGGATGACAGAAAGAATCTGAAGCAACCTATATGATAAATGGTGATAGGTTCTTCCTTTATACTCTCCAAAATCTCCAGCTTGTAAGGCTCATTGATCGCCAATATTCTCCTCTGAGCTTCATCTCTGGAAACTTCTTCTCTTACTAACGGTAAATTTCGGTTTACAATGCGATCCTACAGATGATGTAAGAAATGAATTCCGTACCCTGAAACAATACGCTAATGAATATTTTGCCAATCTAATAGACCTCTCACTAAGAACAAACAGAAACGGCCCCTTACGTACCATCTCTTTCTTAATTCTTTTCAAATCCTTGTCTGTTAATGGCTCAATATCAAAGTCATAATAGAACCCACTGTCAATCCATGGACCAATCGTCACCTTAGCGGTTGGGAAGAGCTTCTGGACAGCCATTGCCATTACATGCGCACACTGGAGTCACACATAATGCAACTAGTCAAGAAGATGCATCATTATAGATAAGAAAAAAAGGTGAGCAAGACCGAGAAACTGGAAAATATTCGAATGAATGACAATTAAAATTATCAAAAAAACATAATAACGCATATCAACCAAAAATAACAAGAAGTGGAAAGGCATCCCCATCAACTAATGTAGGACTGATATATCATTAAAGTAGGGCCAAAAAATCACTATCAAACTTTGGACAAAATTGATGCATAATAATAATCATGCTCAACAATCGGTACCTGCTCAACTCTGAATATGCATAATCTTCCACCTTCTTATGAGATGATATAGTTCGTAAAGTTCATCATGTAGACTTTCAAAGCGATAAAGTCCCAAAAGAAACAATACCAGTGCCTCATTTCTTTTCGAATGCTCCCTAGTATATTGCATTATCCTTTGAAATTTAGAAGTACACTTAAGATTAATTTGTTTAATTCTTTTTTTAGCGAAATGTAAAACACAATGGCAGCTACTACCAAATGCTACCCTCCTTAGTTATATAAAATAAAATATTTCTCTTCTGAAAAGTGGCAAGCATCATTGACCTGCTAAAGAAAACAGATAAAATAAGAACAATATGGTGAGAATTGTTATTATGAGTTCATCTCATCTCAATGGTCAGAGGAGCGCAAGCTTCAAAAAGAATGTTTTTCTGGCTCATTATTCCACAACACACGAAAACGTTGTGAAATATTTGACACAAAATTAATGGTATTAATTTTCCAGAGCAAAAAAACGAATCCCAGTCAGCTTTACATTCCAAGTGTCCATTGGGCTGAGGACTGAATGATTGACCAACCACCAATTGATGCAATCTATTCTTGTCTTAAATTATTAGTTATTTTCCCAAAATACTCTTTCATGTCTCATCATAACCTTAACTTTTGTTCAATGCTTGTCAATTGCACATGCTTTTTAAGAGAGATCATCAGAGACAACCTTCATTGTTAACCCTTAGCTCATCCACCATTTCGAAACAATGACCAGTGAAGAGTTTACTGCTTTAACTTTTCCAAAAAAATTATTATATTATGAACATGATAACAAAAGTAAATAATCAAATACTCTTTTCTAATCCATAGCGTCATCCTTCATCATCCAAATGGGATAGCAGAGTCCATATACACCGAAAAATACTTTTAAAGAAGATGAAAAACATGCATTCCTTCAAAATCCTCATCCTTTTAATAAATCCTCAACAGGAGAGTGAGAGTTCAAATTCGTGGACCGAAACATCTAGCTTTAACGATCCAGCAGAAGAGCGTGCATTTATTTCGGCTAAAAGACTTCGAAGTAAATTTTTACATGTCACAGAGAATCAAGTGACGCAACGCAAAAAGTCACTTGAATGTAAAGTTGATTGCCACAGCAAATAAATCAAGCAACGTAATGCAGAAAACCCCGACGGTAGCAAAAAACCTCGAGGCACCACTCGAGACCGCCTGAGGAGAAGGGAGGGAGCGAATTGATCTAATCCCAACTAAAATGAAGAAGCAGAGAAGAATAGAGCCTGCATACTGTATGGCGGATCCGGAGTAACCTCTCCGAAGATTCGTTGGTGGGAAGGACGACTCCCTCCTCTTCCAACACCTCTCCCGAGGCTTTCTCCTCCTTCTGAACACCGGTCTCGGGGGACGCAACTGCGCGAGTGAAGAACGAGGCGCCCCTCGACCTTCTGGCGACGGCCACCGCCCTGAACCCCACGACATCGCCCCGCCCCGCACCGGAGTAGCGCCGGAGGTGTGAAGGTGCAGGAGAGCAAGGACTTCGCGTCTGGGAAACGAAGGCGGAGATGAGGGAGGGCGACGCTGTCGCCATCCTCGCGAGCACGTTCATGGCGGCTCTCCTCCGAGCTTCTCACCTTCTAATCCCCCTCTCCCTCTCCCACTCTCTCCCCTCCTCATATTTTGTCCGCCGTGGGCTTCTCTCCCTCTCCATTTTTTTTCCCATTTTCTGTGTAAGAATACAGAGCCCAGTGCGGCACACGTTACCTTAACCTACACCATAATATATCGCCAAAGTAAGCCAAAGTCTGGAATCGGACCCGCGTTGGATCAGTTCGGCTGATTTCACTTTTCCCTATTTTTTACGTTCTCGGGTAGATTAACTGATAAAATTGGAGCTTTTTCAGCTTTGGGCGTCTAAAAGAAAAATCAAATCTTGAAAAACGCCTCTATTTTTTTTTAGTTTTTTTTTTTAATCTGAAGCTCATGCCAAGAGTCAAATTATTGGCGGGATGAAGCATCAGAGTGGATCAAGATGGGCCTATCTTCGCCCCACTGAGCTCTCATATTTTCGGCATGCCCGACCCGTTGACCCTTCAACAGAAAGTCAAATAATATAGATTCTTCAAGACTCAATATTCAATATATTGCCATTTCCAAACAAAAGAAAAAGAGTAATATACGGGCTAGAAAGAAGCACTCCTTGTTCTTCAGTGAACGGTGGTGGAGCCTCTCATTAAAAAGAAAAAATCCCTTCATTGACTTGTGTGATTAATCCAACAAAAATGGAATTCTGTGAGCAACCGAGTTATTCTCCAGATCCAGGTAATCAACAAGCTCCAGATGTACGGAAATAGTAAGCTTCATTGTTCCTACAGATGCAGATGAGAATCCAGAGCAGGAGCATAAGGTTGGATGCCAAGGAAGCTCCTGTTCCAGGAGCTTATAATATCTGAATAATTCTATTAAATAATTATATATTCACTCAAACTTTGTTCAGAAAAGTTCCTGCAATGGGGATTCATGTTGCAATTTCAATCGAGCCACAGAATCATAAATAATTTTGGGAACATCACGGAACATTATTTATCGGAATCTTGAAGTCACTTTTAGCCATGATAATCTGTCATATCAAAAAACTTTTAAAATGGGATAATTACATAAAATTTCTCGATTATTACAATTCTTATTTTTTGGATCATTTTTAAACCACTTCTAGCCCTAAAATGATATTGCTGGAAAAATCTAGAAACAGCATCAATCTGAAAGAGGCAAACGATTAGAAAATCCAACTCCACAATTCTGAAGGGAAACTCGCTCATTAAAGCAAAAACAGGCGATTTATGGAGAATCAGGTAGAAGGATATTCTAAGTTCTTTTCATTGAACATTGGGTTGCAAAGAATATTCATTTAGTAATAAAAAAAGGAGCTGAGTAAGTAAAATCATAAGAGTCTGAAAAAAAAAATGCCCATAGCCAGAAGCTATGCTCTCCCAGAAGATCAGGTAGAAGGAAAAAAGAATTTGTCTCTACAAGTGAGAGTAACTTGGGCAGCTGAGATTTTCCCGGCACAAGAACAATCCAATGGCTGAAATCTGCCAAGCCACGTTTTTTTTTTCTTGCAGAGAGGTCCACATATAACCCTCTTCGCTAAAATATAAGGCAGGCATCTAGTATTAATGGCCATCAATAGAGCAATTGGAAATTGACATAAACAGCAGTTTTTCCTCATATCATGAACAAGAAAGGGGGAAAAAATTCACAGATTTCTCAAATGCTGCTGAAGATCGTCGAGAGAGTTTGGTGGGTACTAACAAAAAGTCAGGCGCCGTCTCTGCTGTAAAAAAAAGAAGGAAGACAAGAATGAAAAGCCCAGAAAACTGTAGCCTCTCTATTCAAAGAAAGTTAGCCAAAAAGGAGATGTGAAGAGCATGTTCATCACATGGAAGTTAAAACAAATCAGTGGAAACCTTAATTTCCCCACCCCTGATCCACTGGCTATTCTCGGATGAATCCAAACCCAGAGGAGTCGATCGGCTCCGCAGGCCTGTTGAATTCCAGCTCTGCCTCCCTCTGCTTCACCTGCAGCGACATCCTCTGGTTTTCCAAGCTCATCCGGTCGTTCTCCAGCTTCATTCTCTCAAGCTCCCGGTCCTTCTTACTGCAGAATCTCTGCCACTTGAACCGACGCTTCTCCAGCTCAAACGCCTTCATCTGGATCTTCATCCTCTCCTCCTGGAGCTGCAGCGTCCTCTTCCTGATCCAGTCCCGTTGCTCCCAGATCGACTTGGTGCCATCCGTGAACACGCCGTCGATCTCAACCTGGAAGCTATCAGAGCTCCTCCCGAATAATTCGGCGTTCCTCTCCTCCACGTCGCCGTCTTCCTCGTAGTCCTCCTCCTCGCTGCCGGCGTCCTCCTCCCCTGGATACCTGCTGGACGCCGCATGCTGCTGAGCACAGCCTCCTCCCTGGGAAGAACTGAGATCATGGGAATGGGGCAGCCGCTGTCCATTGTGGTAGGCGCACATCTCCCTGTAGAAGAGGTGCTTCGAGCTGAGGATCTTCCTGACGTCCTCCTTGGCCTTGGGAGGGACGTGGGGCATCGAATCGAGAAGGGCGGGGTTCTCGACGACCTGGCAAGTGGTTCCCCGACCGAGGATCTCGTTGAGCCTCTTGTACCGCTTGTTCAGGTCGTTGAACTTGTCCTCGCACTGCTGAGGGGAGACGTAGCAGCCCTTCTCGAGCATCATCTTAGAGACGGTCTTCCACTTCCCCTTCTTCTGGAGGACTCCCCCGGGGGCGACGGCGGCGCCGCTGCCGTGCTTCCGCTTCCCCAGCGCGTCGCCGGACTCCGGCGCGCCGTCTTCCTCGACGCAGGCGACAACGGAGATCAGCAGCCGGACCATCTCGTCCGTCCACTTCATGCGCTGCCATGGCAGGCCCTTCTTGGACTTGCCGAGGAGGTCCTCCGCGCCGTTGTCCTCGTTGGTCAGGCTCCGCTCCTCTTCCTCGTCGCTGCCGTTCTGGAAGAGATGGTGGTGGTTGCAGAGGGAGCCGGAGGAAGGGGAAACCCCTTTCCCCTTCTGGGCGGTGCCGATGAGCGAAGGGGAGTCGGAGGAGGGGTCGAGGATCCCCTGCGGATGGTGTTCCGCGCTGAGAGCCATGGCCTGCAACTGGTGGTGCTGGTAGTGATGCTGCTGCGGCTGCTGCTGCTGCTGGTGATGGTGATGGACCTGCGGATCGAGGTCGAGCACGCCGGCCGAAGGGGCGGGGAGCAGCCCCGCCCCCATCATCGAGCTATCCATCTTCTTCCGCTGCCCCCGAATCGTTTCAATCCATCCACAACACCCCCCCCGGAGATGTCCAGCCGGAAACCCTAGACGCAGAAGACAAACCCTAGAACGGCCTCCGGAATGGGGGACACCGCGAATTCCTTCCCAAGAACATACGGTCTCTCTCACTTGGGGGATTCCGTAGATCTTTTGAACTGGGAGAAAGCAGAAAAAACCCCACGAACTCCGCAGAGAGCAGGAAAAAGGTCACGATCTCGCCCTCTCTCTCTCTCTCTCTCGCCTTCTCCCTTCCTCGGTGGTCAGCTTCGGGCGGGATATGAATATCTAAAGCACCTCCGCCCACCCAGATCTGCCAAGTGTCAGTGTTATTTTACTAAAATGCCCTTATCAGACCGAGTCGAACAAACAAAAGTCAACTCGCCTAAAGAGCTCATGGCGGCGCCTCGGTTATCCCCACTGGGACGACTTATCAGCCCCCGCCGTCAAGATCAAATCGCCGTCAAGGTCAACATGGGCCTATTAAACGGTGTAGAGGTAAAACTAATGATTTTGGGTACTGGGCAGACCGATGGATCTTGTTGACAAATTTTAGATAACGTCAATAAATTCTACCACCCCGGTCAAAGTTACAGAGAGCGAGACAGACATGAACAAGGAGTTTTTATTAGCGAGTTCTTCGGTCAACCATAGATTCCATGCACGGAAAAAAGGGCATCTAAGCATTAACAAAAAGTCAAAGTAGGCGTGAAATCATAATCATACCGAGTTGGAGAAGTCCACGGGGCCGCGGGGGTCGTTGACTTGCAGGGGCTTCCGGTAGGACTGGAGCAGGAGAGAGGAGCATACGACGCTGATGGAGGAGGCGGCCATGCAGGCGCCCGCGAGCCACGGCGGCAGGCGGATCCCGGTGAACGGGAAGAGGACGCCGGCGGCCACCGGGACCCCCAGCACGTTGTAGCCCAAGGCCCAGACGTAGTTCAGGCGGATCCTCGCGAGGGTCTTCCGGGAGAGATCGATGGCGGTGGCCACGTCCTCCAGGTTGCTCTTCATGAGCACCACATCCGCCGCCTCTATGGCCACATCCGTACCGGCGCCGATCGCCATCCCCACGTCCGCCGCCACCAGCGCCGGCGAGTCGTTCACCCCGTCGCCCACCATCGCTATCACCAACCCCTTCGCCTGCAGCACAAAGAAACAACCAACCAACCCATCAAGAAGCAGAAGAAGAAATCCTAAACTGTAGAGAGAAAGAGAGACCTGATCTTTCTCACCTGCAACTCTTTGATCTTCTCGGCCTTGCCAAGAGGGCTGGTCTCGGCGAAGACGGTGGTGATGCCGACTTGCTCGGCGATGGCGGTGGCGGTCGCGAGGTTGTCGCCGGTGACCATGATGCTGGAGATGTTGATGGACTTGAGGTAGGAGATGACGAGATCCGCTTCGGGCTTGGGGGGGTCCGCCACGGTGAAAGCTCCGGCGAGGGTGCCGTCGATGGCGACCAGGATGGTGGTCTGAGCTCGGCGCTCGGACTCCAGCATGTAGTCCTCCACTTCGCCGCCGATGGGGACCTGGAACTTGAGCATGAGCCTCCGGTTCCCGACCAGCACGAGCTTCCCGTTGACCCTCCCGCTGACGCCGGCGCCGGGGTGGACCTCGAAATCGTCGGCGGCTGCGGCGGCTTCCGCTCCGCGGTCCGGCGAGAGGCCATACTGCTGGCGGAGCTTCCTGGCATGATCCACGACGGCCTTCGCTAGAGGGTGCTCGCTGTTGGCCTGCACAGAAAGAAAGACGGGCATTGAAAAAGATGAAGAAGATGCTGGGATTAGAAAGACGGGCATAGTAGATTTCCAGGGGCTGACTTCCGCAGCGGCGACCATCTCGCAGAGGTATTGTAGGGGCACATTGGAGAACGCCTTGGAGTTGACCACTACCGGTTTTCCCACCGTAAGGGTTCCCGTTTTGTCGAAGATGATAGTGTTCACCTGCATGGTGAGAGAGATCGTCAGAGAGAGAGAGAGAGAGAGAGAGAAAAGGGGGGGGGGGGGTTGTTGACTTGCCTTGTGGGCCTTCTCCAGGGCATCGCCGCCCTTAATGAGGACACCTTGAGAAGCACCTTTTCCGGTGGCCACCATGACGGCCGTTGGAGTGGCGAGCCCCAGGGCGCATGGACAAGCGACGACTAAAACCGAGATCCCAAACTGCAGGGCCAGCTCAAAAGCGTCCATACCCTTCGGGATCCAACTTCTCGGGTAGAGGTGAGCCTTTCCGGGGATAAGCCAACCGAGCCAAGTGAGCAGAGCAACGACCACGATCTAAAACGACGCAAGACAGAGATCAACCCATATAGTTAACGGCTAGAAACATGGATATTTTCTTCGCATCAGAACATCAGAACTTTAGGCAGCTGATGAGAAAGAACTTACGGTTGGAACGAAGAATTTGGAGATCGTGTCAGCCAATTTCTGAACAGGGGCTCTAGCTAGCTGCGCAGCTTCCACCAGCTGAACAATCCGAGATAAGGCAGTCTCCGACCCGACATGTGTCACCTTCACCAGTATGCATCCATTCTCGTTCACAGTTCCACCAATGACCTGGTTTGAACAGGAAGAACATTACAGCGCACAGATAATGTCAACAAAGGAGGAGTTCGACTGAAATTTTACTAAAATAGGGACCTTGTCTCCGGGTCTCTTTGCAATGGGCTTCGATTCCCCAGTGATCATGCTCTCATTGACATGGCTCTGGCCTCGGACAACAACACCATCAACGGGCACCTTCGTACCAGGGATTATCTTAATTATGTCATTTCTTTGTATCAATTGGGTGCTTATCTCCATCTCCGACATCACATTGCCATCCCTGTCCAGATTTAGTAAAAAGGCAGTATCGGGTGCAAGATCCGTCAACTTCGACAAGGCATCTGAGGTCTTCCCCTTTGCCATCACTTCAAGATATTTTCCCAGAAGAATGAAAGATATCAGCATGGCACTTGTTTCGAAGAAATCTTGGCCTTCAAATGAGTCTGAAGTTGCCGCTTTGATAACAATATATAGGGAGTAGAAGTAGGCAGAATTTGTTCCCAACCCAACAAGAACATCCATGTTAGCAGAACCACGCTTCAGAGCGTGATACGATCCAGCATAAAATCTGAAACAAGATCCACAGGTGTGAAGAGGACATAAACTTGCAAGAAGAAGAAGAGAATGCAGCTACAAAACTTCCCCAATGAGGCAACAAAGGCAGACGAATACGAGAAACGTTTTAATAATGCCTCAGTCTCTTTTCAATTTAGAATTTTGAAACAAGGATTAGCATCAATTTCGCATGAACGATAAACGACAGAAAGGTGTTGCAGTTTCTAGCGGTGAACTTCATTGGACAACTTCAACTGATGTTAGACATTTATACATGCATACACACACACACACACACACACATCGTTGGCTACCGAGCAGCATTTCACTGTTATACGGCGCATAGAACCAGTGGACTGTCTTCATACTACCAAGATGAGCCGAATCAAATCAATGAAAGTATTCCATTGGATTTAAATGTCCACCAAATGCTACTTTAGCAATGACACCATATCAGTCACAAGCTATTTTCTTTATATAACTATATATCATTAAGTTGCTGCTTTTAATATCAGGAAACGCAATGAAAGGCTGCACCAAAAAGAAATCTCTCTTGATATCAACCTGTCTTGGGGGATAGGAATGACACTAATGGAGAAAAAAGACAATCACAAGCATCACATGGAGATGCGTTTTTCAGTGTAAAATAGCAGTCTTCAGAGACTAAGATAAATGGTCGCCTCATAAAGTAATACACTACCTCTGCATAATATATATTATGACAAGTGTCATCATAAATTCAAAAGCACATCGATAACCCACAAGAATTGATTTTATTCCACAAAGTCGAAGGTGAAAATGAGGCAAAGCTGCCGATTTTAAGAATTGTAACGTTTTAAACGGGAAAAAAAGGTAATGATAGCATATGTAAAATATCCATGCATACCTCCACCCAATGATGAATTGAACAGGAGAGCAAAGCACCCATCTGAGTAGCAGTCCCACAGTAAGTTCGTTATAAATCCTCGAGCCTAACCACTTCCCAAATGGATGAATCATAGGGAGAACCATGGAGAAGAGAAACACTGGAATAGAGAACAGGCAGCTCCAAAGAAATTGGTTGCGATAACTGTGAACCTCATGTTGTCTTTCTGTTTCTCTGCGTTTAGGGGTGTACAAGAAAGCATCGTACAAGTTTGGGCTGCGTCCAGCCTCATGAATGCATTGTATGAGAGATCTTGGACCAGCCAGGTCAGAATCATATGTAACAGTTACCCTGTGCCCAACTGCATCCATTTCAACGATATTAACTCCTTCAAGTCCTTCAAGGGATGTTTGAATGATTCTAACATCTTCTATAGAGCGAATACCCTCAATCCTTAAATGAACCTTATTCACATCATCACCCGAGCTAATGAGATCAGTTCCGAATCCAGCATCTTCTATAATTTTTATAAGTTGGACTGAATCAGTAATATTTGGGTCAAAGTGGATTTTCGCTTCTTCAAGTGCAAGACCAACTACAGCTTTTTTCACCCCCTTCACCATACTCAGAGATTGTTCAACAGATTCAGAACAGCTAGTACATGCCATTCCCTTTATTCTAATGCGGCATACAGCTACTTCTTGCTCAGTATTCTCAGCAACTTGAAAATCCAAATCTTCTATCATTTTTCTGATTGTTTGCACCTGAGGAACCAAGTTAGTCCAAATAAAACTATACTTAGCACTCATTAAAAAAAGGCTTTATTGACAGGACAGATGTCCAAATTGGAATATGATGTTTCATTTGAAAAAAAATCATCTAAATTCGTAAGAATTTAAGATAATGCATTGAGGGGCTCGAACTTAAAGCTGTTGTGCACTCATATATATCCAATTTTTTCATCAACAGTCACATTTTTATTATTTCTGACACACCATTTTTGATAATATTTCAGGGTCTATTAATTCTATATAGGGCAAAGAAATATTCCAATCAGTAAGTTGTGGCGTCATCTATTTTCTTCTTCGTTCCCTAATTACCAATATCATCAAATATCTTTCACATAGCTGTAATAGAAAATTGAGTTAAAAAGACATCCGAAGTACTAGGAAGAGCTAAAGAAAGTATGCAAATGGTGGAATGAAAAGGTGAAGAGACGACAAATATCCATCAAGATCACATTTTTGTTCATTGGATACCTCTTGGGAAATCATGATCTTTATAAAAGAAAGAAAACTCATATAAATTTCAACTTAGAAAAAAACTTATGCCTTGTTAGTATTCACTAGATTATCCTAAAAATCCGGTAAACTGTATGACTCCTTAAAGACCATTACAATTCTACTTTCCAGTTCAACTTTCGAAAAGAGGGAGATAGATGGAGAGAGAGACAGGGAGAGATGAGGAGATGTTTAAATGAAATTAAAGCATAACTAATTCTTTCAAAGGCCAACATTCAGCATGTTCACCAAAACGACGGGAAGCCACTTGACTAGAATTGGCTTACGCTGACTAGTTCCGGTCGGTATATAATCACAGCTTTGCCTTCAACTAATGACGCAGCAACGCTTTCAACTCCCCTGTGCTTCCCGATTACGGCTTCTAATGATGACACAGAAGAAGTAGATTTGGTGGCGAAAATTTTCAGCGTGACTGTCTTCGTTTTCCTGCCTTGCTTGACAGAAGGCAGATGGAAATCGACCAAAACACTTTCTGAAGGTGGTAGCAGTGGCTCCCTGAGGCCATTCGGTTCCATTTTTTTTGACCTGAAATTTTTTCAGGATTGCTCGTTATTAGATTGTACGAAAACTTATGGCATAAAATAGATGGATAAACTGAGTCCAGCTTCGCTCCAGGAACCAGAGAGAATACCTACGCGCCCGGCCGGCAGCTTACCGAAAAATCGTTGGAACACCACCGAAATTCTAAAAGGTTCCCTTCTGAATTATCTGTTTTGCTTTTGCTCCAACACAATCAGGAATTATAGATATATGAATAGGCATTCAAACTCATAAATGATACAGAAAGAGCGAGAGAGAGAGAGAGAGAGAATTTGAAGAAAATGAATCAATCAACGTGGATCATCCAGACAGGTCGTACGCATCAAATAATTCTCGAACAGCATCACTTGCCTTCTGTGGTCTGATGTCAAACCAAAATCGTTAAACGCTGACGCCGACACCAGGCCACCCAGTTCCTCCTGGAGGAAGGCGGCTAGGGCTTCAGCTCTTGTCTCCACAGCCTAGACGTAGGAAGGTGGCCTGCGCAGACGAGAAATCCTGCACACTCGATCTCCCCCCCACTTTCCCCTCTGGCGCCAACGGGCCTCCGTTATATCCTCCCCCGCCGTCATTTAAATTTAAATTCTCCTAACCGCAACGTCCTCCCCGCGTTGGAACGGGCTCTTAAGCGAAATAAAATAATTATCCACGAATATGACGTCACTAATGACGGAACCTTTTAACGACACGTGGTGCCTTGGCCACCACGCCAGTTGAGGTCTACTCAGACCGCACCTTGAGGTCACTTTCGAGCGTGCAGCCTAAAGGATGGTCAATGTTTATGATGCTTCGAGATTCTTCCATGCGCGTGAACGGCTAGGATTCGAACAAGGTATGGAAGGCCCATATCGGCCCAATAAAATTGGATGGGATGGGCCGGCCCATTAACAAACTGTCCTCTTTCTCTGTATAACCGGCGGCCTTGAGCGGCATCTTCGGGTTGGAAGCTGGGCGCCGCCTGTGTTGCCCGGCTCTCCCACTGTTCCGGATGGATAGATGCAGAGGAGCGAGTACCTTGGGTAGGGTTTCTGTTTAGGTTCATCCGGGGGGGGAGCTCCTTGCGGAGGGGCGGCGGCGGGAGGAGAAGATGGCGAGAAATCGAGATGCCTGTTTTGTTTCCTCTTCTGTGAAGGTCTCGAGGTGTTCACTCTCGCCGTCGCTCGGATTCGGAGGAGACGACAGCGTCGTCCCGCAGAACTTGTGCTTCTGCCTGGAGAGAGGCGAAGCGGCCGCGCCACTCCCTTTCGCGTCCCGACTCCCTTTCGCCCGTCAGAATCTTAGCTTCCATCTGCAGAGAGCCAGAGACTTGGTTCACCGGTTCGTCTCCTCTGTTCCATTTCCATGCGGCATTGGCTCTTCCATCCCTTTGTCTATCCTCTGTTCTCCGCTCTCGGGGGGGCAGGCCCGGGCGGAGCCCGAGCCTCCAGGCAATTACGCTCGACGGCACGGAAAGGAGGATGAAGAGAGGATCCTCATAAGCGAGGTCTTAATACGGAACAAGGACGGTGACGAGCTTGAAAGGGAAGACCTCGCGGCGGAAGCCTCGGCAGCGCTAAAATCATGCCGCCCAAACTCAGCGCTGACTTTGAGCGAAGTCCAAGAGGACGTGCATAGGATCATTGAGAGCGGATACTTCTTCTCCTGCATGCCTGTGGCTGTTGACACAAGGGACGGCATCCGGCTTGTTTTCCAAGTACATCGCTATCCCAGCTCAAATTTTGGTCGATATCAAAGAAATTTCTACAACACCAATGTCATCTCCGTATAATGCTTCTTACGGACTTGATCCAATGCATAGTCATGTTTTTTTTCTTAACTGCTAACTGGATATTTATTTATTCGAATGAAATTAAGCTGGTTCTTTTGAGTGGGAAGAGGGTTTTGTAAAATTTGAGAGTAGAAACATGCCGGCCGAAAATCTTTGTGACGGTTCTCCAGTGTATTAACGCATTATATAAAATTGGCAAGCGTTGACTTTCTTTCTGGTTGAGGCACGACCGCGTGTACTTCCCGTTATGACATCTTGTCACTGGTTTATACAGCGGACAAAGGTCCATGGGTATAGCCTTCGAGTGACATTGACTGCTGACCCTTGGGGCAGGGAACCAGCTCACATATTAGAAGAGTTGTCGCTATCCCTACTCATTTTTAGCGTGTTGGTGGCCCTCTTTTTATGTTTTCTAAGATAGGAAAAAGTAGATCGGCATGGGTTTTATGAGGTGGTTGCATGATCTCCAGGTGAATCTAATAATCCAAGTCTTTTGGCACTCTTGGTTATGTTTCTGGTAGCTGTGTCTAAACTTTATGGGTCCTATTTACGTTTAACAATAATTTTTTTTCTATGTTTCGCTCAATTTATGGTCTCAGTACAGTAGGAAACTTATTATAGTTTAGTCCTAGAATTTCTCCGTTCTTTGCTGAGGAGTTTAGTCCTAGTATAGTGTGAATTTACCATTGCTACTTGCCCATTCTTTCTTTGGTTATCTTAGTTGATCTTTTTCGCCTCTCTATTTTTTACATGACTTTGTTTGACTTGGTACAAGGTAGAACCGAATCAAGAGTTTCAAGGATTAGTATGTGAGGGAGCAAGTGTGTTACCTTCAAAGTTCTTGGAGGATGCGTTTCGTGGTGGATATGGTAGGTTATGTAGCGTTTTCCCGTACATTGTAACCTTGTTTCCTTGGTTTTTCTACACATTAGAAAGCATTGTCATGTTTACCATGTGAGAGGTTTTATTTGATTGAAGTTTTTGATGTTAAGTTATGCAGGAAAAGTGGTCAATGTACGGCATCTAAATGATGTTGTCAATTCTGTGAATGGATGGTACGCGGAGCATGGGCTTTTTGGTTTGGTCAGTGCTTGCTCAGTTCTGAACTTTTTTTTTATGACAAGATGCTTGTATAAACTAAGTTTTTAGTCATAAATGGGTTTATACTGATTTATTTGCAACTTAGTTTTGACTTGTTTAGATTTTTATAGGTATCAGGTGTGGAGATCCTTTCAGGTGGGATTATCAGACTGAAAATCTCGGAAGCTGTGGTGAATGACATCACATTGAGATTTCTTGACAGAAAAACGTGAGTATATATCCCTTCATTGATGTGTCGCTTTGAAAAGTTGTAAAACGTAGCTGAAATGGTCGAGGCAATGGTTGTTGATTACCCTTCTGATACTGCTAGTGGTGAACCTACTACTGGGAAGACAAAGACTGAGACTGTGCTTCGACAGCTAACTACGAAGAAAGGACAGGTACAAACTGAAATTGTCTCCATCTTCTTTTGTTCCTTTCCTTCTGATTACTGTTACCGTATTTACTGTCTTTTGCGTGGGTGTGCATTTATTTAAAGAGGGGTAGATGAATTCTTTGTGTTTTTTTTTTTTTTTTTTGGAATGTAAGTGTGTTTATCACCATGTCTGTCATCTTTGCACTTTATGACCGAGTGTTTTATTGAGGAAACGGTAGTGTGTTCGTGGATTCAAACAAAGAACTATTTTTTGAATAAGAAATAAGCACTTAAAGTTGTATGAATTTCCACTGTTAATGTGGTGTACCTTCGGTAGCTGTTATCTGTTATTATCCCACAGTTACCCAGTTTGCATTTTCTGGCTTACTCTTTCGTCCTCTGATATTCTATCTGACATTGTTGGAACTTGATAAATGCTGTTGGTGAATTTTGGATTCGACATTTATCAATGGAGTGACAATTTTCCATTCTGTGTCTTCATTATTTGAATCGCAACGCAGGTCTACAGTTTGCTTCAAGGAAAACGAGATGCTGAGACAATATTAACTATGGGAATCATGGAAGATTGTAGTATTATTCCCCAGCCTGCTGGAGGTAAAACTTTTTTAAATGGAACTGGCTGAACCACTCTGTCGATATGGATTTCAAATTATATTATTCAGTATAATTATTTGGTTTCTGTGCTTGAGTGTAACTCTTTGACTTTGTGCTATAAGCATCCAAGTGATCCATTTGCTGAACTTATTATACTGATGACGATTTGGATCATATTTAAGGATATGGTTTCGGATCCTTGAATAAGTAAATGATCATGAATACTTATTAATTAAATAACTAATAACACAATAAGGAAAATTTATTATCATTGTGGGGATTCCACGTAATTTAATTGTATGGAAAATAAAAATAAAAATGATCTAAGAGCATCTTGAAAATAAGAGGGAAAGAGGGAAGCTGGAGAGAAAAGAGAGGGCCAACTTGGCCGCAGTATTGAGCTGCACCTGCAGCTTGCATCAGCGTTGCTCTTTGATAATTATGTTGGGCAGGGGGTACAGAAGTTTACATTTATTGTCCCACACAACTGGCGCAGGGATCAGAGGCCCATCTCGCAGTTTGCGTGCTAATGCACTTCACTTACAATCCTAGAGGCATTCAAGAGAAGTATTTCCATGTTTTTGTATAGAATGAGGGAGCTCGAGCTGTCGCATCGTTGTGTAAAGGTTTTATTTACGGAAGAAATCAGGGTGTTCCTCCACGAAATGTTCATAATTAGGAGGATTAAAAGTTAGACATTTTTCCAAAAAATGACACTAAATCCACTCTATTTTTTCTTTCTCTTTCACGTATGTGATCGATGGAATGAATATTTTCGGAAATGATAATGACTATGGGGGGTAAGCAGCTACACCTCCCAATAACTCCAAATGGTGGCCGTTGTGAGCTAGTTTAGAGTTACGACCTTACTGATGCTAGGGAAGTTGTGGTGGCTGCAAATGCCTTGGACCATTTGGCTGCTGTCGATGAGCATAAATTTTCTCACTAGTCAAAAACGTTTTTTTCTCGTTGATTAATTGCTCGTATCTTTGTCCTTCCATTTTTCTGTGATGCTAAAGGCGGTTACTTTGTCATCTTAGATACTGGAAAGGTTGATGTTATAATGAATCTTGTTGAAAGACCTAATGGAGGTCTATCAGCTGGTGGTGGGATCTCCAGTGGGTATGTGTTCTCACAGCATCATTTGATCGCATTAAAATGGATGTCTGTGCATGAGAACATCAGTTGCTAGGCACAGTTTGTCATATTCATACTTGGTCTCAAAACGTGCAGGATAACTGGTGGCCCTCTATCAGGACTGATTGGGAGGTAAAACTCCAAGCTATGTTGTGCTTCGGTTACCTTACTAATATGACATTCGTTTCCTTCATATTTTTATGTGTACATAGTACTTTTCCATAAATGCTATGGAGTAAAGCTGTTTGATGGTATACATACTATATGATTCTAATCTGTCTTTACATTGAGCACATATCTTTTGAGTCATTCCAAAATAGTGTGCCGTACTTTTGACCTTTTTCTTAGTTGATCCTTGTTGATTTCATCTGTGTCATCAATGAAATAGTTGTATTACCTACCACCCTTTAAGTTGAAGAGGAAAAGAAGTTTTAGGTAAAAACTTCTGCAAAACTAAGAGTTGTTCAGAAGAGATTTTCTTTATTTTTTAGAACTTGGTAGTTGCTGAATTCACTGTGAAACCTACCACAAGTGCGTAGTTGGAAAATACACGCAAAGTACCATGCAGACTCACCTCGGCCGTGACAAGAGGTTCAAGTTCTATTTAAATCATAATACACTGAAATTGCGTACGCAAATGTTTACAAGGTCTCCTCGTCCATGCCGAAGATAACAGAAATCCCTCAGTCAGGTTTCCGAAAGTGATTGCTTGGTTTTGTTTCAATGACTAAGTGCTCTGAGGATCCACTTATTTATTTGCATATAGTGGCAGCTTTCACTTCTGTTACTTTGTACGCAAAACATGGGTCCTTATTAGTGACAGTGACCACTTTTGACAATCCATTCATGTTGTCTATTTTGATTGTTGAACGTATCATTTTCCATTAAGTGGAACGGGTTCTATGGCATTGGGTGACCCTCACCCTCTACCGTTAATTCTGTTTCCCTCCTGAAATTTTCAGGCGGTGAAAAGTCGCAATTTTATTTCCCTGTTTATCTTTGTTCCTCATTCGCTTTGCTGTATAGGTAGACATTCGAGATTGATTATGCTTAAATAATTAGAGGGAAGAAGAGGATGAAAGAATGATGATTCAGTCTAGATCACCACTATGAGATGCTCATTCTTTTATTTTCCTTGTTTGGCTGTCACTGTTTGACCATTGGGTGCATATGCCGTCTGGCATTACTGTGCAAAATGGCTGATGGCAATGTAGCCCTGTAGATTATCCAGTGTTGCTGGTAAATATAAGATAACTGGTATGTGCTCTCATCATGTTACAGTGCCCGGTGTCAAACTGCTGCAGTAGCCATGTTCACTGTCTCCGATGCATTAGTTATCGTTTGTGATAGAATTGATCTTGTACATATAAGATAACATGTGCAACAATCTTCAACAAGTCCATTGCTGAAAGAAGGTCGTGCTTTATTCCATTGATCACATGCTGGTTCTATGAGAAGAAACAATGAAATATGACTGACATGGAACCAACCATATGGTTCAGGGACTGGTATTCCTGGTTGAGCTGGGTTGTTTTCCTGATGCCAAAAGGTTGAAGTCTTCTGGTTTTGATAACATGTTGACAAGATTGTTTAATTGATTGTTAATTCTTGTGAGTGCATGCACTTTCATGACCCACTGCTTCAATTGGACTAATTTAGGTGAGATTTATGGTACGAAATATGAGTAACTTGCCTCATCTTACACTAATAAGTTGATGGGTATACCTTGACATAATCTGCTTACATTTTTGTCCCCAGCATTGCCTATTCTCATCGAAACCTGTTTGGGCGGAACCAGAAGGTCAACTTTTCAATGGAGAAGGGACAAATTGACTCGATAATTCGCATGAATTATACGGATCCGTGGATTGAAGGAGATGATAAGCGAACATCTAGATCAATCATGGTTCAGGTGTTTGAAGAGTTTTTGCTTTCAGTCTTCTCAATTTGTGCGTTGATGCATCTCTGTGAGACATCTTTCTTGTTGTGGAGTAGACTTCGACAACTCCTGGAACACTTGTGCATGGTAATGGTCAATCTGACCATGCTAACGTGACAATTGGACGAGCCACGGCTGGAATTGAGTTTGGTCGACCTCTGAGGCCTAAATGGAGTGGAACAGCTGGGATTTTATTTCAGGTATTTATCTTGATACGCTATTTAATTTGTCCTGCTGGATTCCTGATATCAGTGTTTGACTAGAGATATGGAATTTATCTGCGAATTGGATTAATGATACCAAAGTTTTTGAAATCTCCATCATCTTGCTTCATCCGCATTTCGAAACAAGGCATTCATTCCATGCTCTTTTATGATTTTCCTTGTCATAATATGTGACAATACTACTTAAAGTTTTAATGCAATCAAAGTTCAAAGAAAAATCTAAACTTTTAGTTTGCGTAAAAATCATTCAAATGAAATATTATTTTCCTCTGATCTCATATAGTTTCCACTTATTCCTTTCCACTTTCCCCATTCCCCAGACTACAGTCTGCTCACAACCAAAAACCTTCCAAGTTGAACCACTTGTAGAATTAAAGTGACTGACTGCAACCTTCTGATGTAGCACTGGTAGTGATCCGAAGCCGGGATGGCTTTAATCCATAAATCGCGAATAAAATTTTCGCTGCAATTAATCCTCCCCGCTGAAATTAGCCGTCTTCTAATTTGATCGGATCTAGTCAGAACCATGTGAATAGTATGAGATCAAGTGATCCGTCTTTGTGCCAGTATTTACACTATAAAGTGAAAAAAAAAACAAATAGATGAAAAAACTGTCCCTGTTTGACTTTCAGACACAAGGTTGAAATTATGTTCCCTTGAAAATAAGTGGAAGAATTTCAGGGTTCTTTGTGCATGAACACATGATCGGTGGAATGATGTTTACGAGTGATAGCCAGGTCCTCTGATTGACCTACCACAGGAAGGGATTTATGTGATGTCGTAAAGGTAGCGTTTTGACTGACATAAAGATTAGCCCGAATCTTTCTGGTCAACTATCGCAATTTGACATTTAGGCTTGGATATTAGCTTGAGCTCGATTTCATATGATCCTCGGCTCACTCTCGGTCAGCTGTGGGATGGCCCCATCCAAACCCAATTGTTCTTTCCTGGCTGGGGAGAGATGACCGCGCAAATGAAGAAGAACGTGATCCATGAAACCCGTTGAGTGTGGCAAAAGTGATGGTCCAGCACTGCGTCTAATGACTATACGTATAGTGGGTGGAATGTCCCTGTCTTGCAGTGGGGGGTACCACAAGAAGTTGGGGGGGTTGACTCTTGCCATTCATTCTGGCACAGCTTATACGGTTTCTCACAGTATCTGACGAATTCCACCCAGGAAGACATGCTCTATCTGCCCTCGAGTAGTCCAAAAACTTGTGTTGCCCAGACCCGTATCTCATTCATATAGGATTTCGAGAATTCCGTAAAGGTCAACGGTGTGCAGTACCCGATAAGGTTTGACTTTCTAAAATCCTTTTTGTCCGTTCCATTACTATTCATGCTCTTAAATATTTTGTCCGTGCCAATTAATTAATATTTTGAGTTTCTGCAATTGATTCTGCGCGCGTATCTCTGTTTTTCTCTTCAGCATGCTGGTGCCCGTGATGACAGAGGTAATCCGATGATCAAGGACTTCTACAGCAGCCCGTTGACTGCCAGGTATTTTACCCATTGCGGGACTTGAAGATCATCCATATATACGCTTGCTTCGAGCGCCGTTCCCCATTTTTTTCCCTCTCCTGCATCATGTTTCTTGATTTCTTCTTTGGCTTGAAGTGGCAACAACTATGACGACATGCTGATAGCCAAACTTGAAAGCGTGTATAGCGGCTCGGGTGACCATGGCTCGCCGATGGTCAGCTCTCTTATCCTGGACTTCAATCATGGCGTCATCTCGACTGTTCTCCCGTTGACTTCGATCATGTATGTCCAGTTCGTGTTTTGCATTGAGCAAGGGCTACCAGTCTTTCCGGATTGGCTGTGCTTCAACCGAGTGAACGCTCGCGCCAGGAAGGGCGTAGAAATCGGCCCGACTCGCCTTCTATTGAGGTACGACCTTCTCTTGCCTTCTTCCGTTGACCAAATCGTCCTACTCGCAGCTTTTGTATTCATCGTATCCAAATGTGAAAGTTGACTTTTGTCTCTTATTCCACGTGAGTGAGGGCAGGACAGTGGGACCTCCCTCGAGCCCAATTGGCTGCGAGTGGAGTGAACCCCACCACCTTCGGTCTGCTCTTCTTCTTCTTCTTCTTCTTCTTCTTCTTATTCATGGGTTCATCTCTGCTCTTGCAGTCTCTCTGGGGGGCACGTCGTTGGGAGCTTCTCCCCGCACGAGGCGTTCGCCATCGGCGGCACCAACAGCGTCAGAGGCTACGAAGAAGGCGCCGTGGGCTCCGGGCGCTCCTACGTGGTCGGCAGCGCAGAGATGTCCTTCTCAATGGTGGGCCAACTACTCGCTCGTCCCCGTTTCCCACCTCATTCCCAAGATTCTCTTAGTCGACTCATCTCACCGTTGACTTCTTAGTTCGGACCGGTGGAGGGGGTGGCGTTTGCTGACTACGGAACGGATCTCGGCTCTGGCCCGACAGTACCTGGTAGCCCGCCTTCCTCTCTCTTTCTCTAGCTGGTTTATCTGCTGTAATTAATGGGTTAACTGAAATCGATGCTGACCAGGTGATCCTGCGGGGGCTCGAGGGAAGCCCGGGACCGGCTACGGCTACGGGGCCGGGATCCGCATAGACTCGCCGCTGGGCCCGCTGCGGCTGGAGTATGCCCTCAACGACCGCCGGGCCGCCAGGTTCCATTTCGGGGTTGGCCACCGGAGCTGAGTACTGGGGTTGGGTTGGGCCTGGGCTTATTTGCAGTATGATATAATGGGCCCGGCCCAGTCCGGTCCGGTTCCAGATAATAGTTTCAATCTTTGAAGGAAAGTCAGAGGATAGATACTAAGGAAGCTGGTGGGTCGAAGAGGGGCCAAGGGAGTAAAAGCAGCCGCGGAAACCCAGCCCGTGTACCGTGAGCGGGGTGAGTCGCGCTTTACTGTTGGTGGTTATCATCACCCCTGTCGTTGGCGTACTCCACCCGCATATCTTCTCTCTAGATCCAGGGATAAAGAGAACGAGAGAGAGAGGAGAGACTTCTCGTCAAGTCCACGTGGTGGCGGCGATAAAGGAGGGACGGAGAGGGGGGGTGGGCTGAGAGTGACGTCGCGCCAGCGTGGAAACAGTTCGGTAGTCGACGTCCATTAATATCATTCTGCTCATCCGATGGGACGCATCTCCATTCCTCATGGCGATGCACACGGGGGCTCTCTAGAGAGAGAGAGAGAGAGAGAGGGGCATCAAGCAGGGCGACGGAGGGAGGGAGGGAGGGAGGGATGGATGGAGGGGAAGGAGTCTCGCAGATGCCGCAGGCCACTTGGAAAATTACAGTGAAAGAGATCTCGAGCAGTAAGTAGGAGGGTTTATTGCCCCCCGCGGCAGAGATGGGCACTGTAGCTCGCGGTGCAAGGCAAGTGGAAGGCCCCCTCACCCGCTTTGGCTGGCCTTCGGCACCAGCGAGGAAGCTCGAAGCTCGACTCTCTAAGAAAAACCCACGTGATGAACTCCATGTCGGGCCTCTGAGCTGACTAATCCTCGTCTCCTTGTGCGTAGGAGGAAAAGAAGCCTGAGTAACTCGGTTGGATCGTACGCGCGTTTAATTCCATACATGGTCAACTGTAAATAAGGTTTAGGCAGACAGAATTTGATTCCTGTGATTGATCCATGGCGAGCTCTAGAGGTCTGTAAAGAGGTCGTCATCCTCCTCCTGAAACCCTTGAATTCTTTGACAGGGCCCGCCGGCGCTTTCGGGAAACATGCATGAAGGAGAGAACACGGCATCTACAGCTGCTTGGGATCTCGATTTTGGAGAGCATAGTCGAATGACGGGATCGAAGTCTGCGCCCGGAAACCATGGCGGTCTTCTTTGAAACAGCGGCGTTGACGGCTCGATTGTTCTTGCCACCGGCCAGACGAACGGGAGAAAGAGCCCGGATCTCGGCCGGATCCCTCTTACAGAGATGACGAGCGGATTTTGGGCTATCAGGGCACGTCGATCTGTGGGGGGAACCCGAGTTTTGACTCGAGCGCTCGCATTGCAAGTTGGATGTGGAGACTGTTACGGAATCTTGCTGCTGGAGCTTCGACTAGACTTTTCAGCTCCCTCTGAAGCTTCTAACTTGTGGATCATCTGTCCTCGAAAGCCTAAAACGTACTTTGGGAGTCCTTAACACGCTATCCACGTCGGCATCACGTGAGAAATCGATTGTGGTGACGTGAGTTTGAAGATAGAACAGATAGCTCCTCTCTCTCCTTCTCTCTCTCTCTCTCTGTCACACACACACACATGGCCAATAACCCACCGGCAACTTTAACCCTCCCCAGGATGAGGCGCTGTGTTGTAAAACGAACTGTAAAGAATAACGCGAGCTTCTCTGATCTGAAGGGCCCCTCCACTCACTCGAGAGGATGCTCTTCGTACTACGTCCCCCTCCGCCGGGCCAGCCATACTATATTTGACTTTTAGAGTGATGGTGGCCTCACTCCGAAAGTTCCGACTCAGTTCTACCGCCGGCAGCATGAAGTTTAAGTAGTCTAATCATTCCGATTGAGTTACGCATTTCACTAGAAAAGGGAAGAATGCCGCTCTTTCCCGGTTCCGTCCCTCCCCTTTCTCTCACTAGAAATACCCCAAGATCTCCAGAACGTCCCTTCCTCACCCAACATAGCAACAGTTCTCCCTCCTCTCTCGTGTGACAGCGAGAGGCATTTAGCTGGAGCAAGAGGGAGGCGCACAGAAGGAGGGTTCATTGCTCACGAGAACATGAAAGAGAACGAATCGACTGGTTGTCAGCTCTCTCTTCCCCAATTCCACCATTGGAGATCTTGAACTCCACTATTCGTAAATATTTTTCTATATACCTCGAACCTGTCTGTAGGGCATGCAAACCCTACAATATGAATACTTCTCTGGGTCTCTACAGTTCCTTGGAACATTAGGAACTGTTAGCCATTAATGGTGCTAGCGTATGGTGCCGCCGCAGACCTGACTGCCAGCAAGAAGACTGAATAAACAAGACCTCTCTCCTCTTGGGAGCGCAGAGGACCCACAAGCTCCCCCCCATGGTTGTCAAACCGGTGCTGCACCCCCGCCACAACAGGGACTGCCAGTCTCCATCCTCATTACTAGTAGCTGAGAAATGTGATGAGGTGGACACAGACGGCAGCAAATTCATCAGTCTTTCTCTCTCTGGGTTCTCCATCTGGATGTGAGAGAAGGGCCAAAATCTTGGCACGGCGACAGAGTGAGATGAGGGCCACCGGAGAAAGGAGAGTCAAGAAGAGTAAGACGTTTTGGAGGTGGAAGGGGGGCCATCTGGGTTCTTCAATACACCCCTTCCCGCCGAGAGAGGACATGGATTTTCTCAAGTAGCATCGTAGTCATGTGTAATGGATGTGAAACTCGGCGAGTAAATGCCGTACAGGAGGAAGAGGGTTTGAATCCTCACAGCTGTCAGAGAGATGAACGCCAACGGAGCCCACCGCCGTTTACAAGAGAAACTCCGCCTGCTACACACAAGAGGCATACTTAAACATTCTGCTACTCATGGACCCCAGCATCATAACCATCGCCCGAGAACAACTGTTGAAGAACCAGATGATGGCAACGGAGTCGATGGAAGCCACTGTGGGAGTAAAGGAGTGGGAGAGGGGACAATCCCCTTCCCCGACTCCTCTCTCTTGCGCACGTCACGGTCCCATTGATCTGCTGCACGTGGACCTAGATTTCGAAGACCTTTCTAACTTCAGATGAGCCGTATGCATCGTCCCTAATGATCATCACTATGCATAATCACACCCTAAAACCTCGTACAACGCCTTTTACTGTAACTGGATGTGTTAACTAAAGGTAGGGAGAAGGAACCAAAACCTAACTAGGTAGAAGGAACTCGGCGCCCACATCTGCATGGAGATGAATGCGGAAGGGTATGGCCTTGGGAGAAGGAGCCCGAAGCTTGATGGGAAAGGTGACGGTGGGAACAGTAGGCCGTGGGGTTTGCATGTACTGCAGCACCGGGGAGGAGATGGGGGAGCGGAAGGGGGAGATAAGGGAAAGGACAAGGGAGTAGGGTCGTCGCGGTGGGCATGACGGGCTGTGAAGGCGGTGGCTAACTAGTAGACAGATAGGCTCGCGGTGCTCGAGCCAAGCCGACAGGGCAGCCCACCCGCCGAAGCAAATGCCGGGACGAGAACAAGTGCTTCCCCTCCCAAGCCTTCGTGTTTGTGGCGGGTTGAAAATCAGTTTTTGTTGTACCACTGTACATTCCCATGTCGTCCTCTCTCTCCCTCTCTCTCGTCCTCTCTCTATCTATCTCTATCTCAACTCTGTGCGGGAGACAAAGTCCTAGGTCTAGTGCCAATCTTGTCTTGAGGGTATATTTTTTTTACATCTCGCATATGATCCCGTTCTCTAGTGAGTTTTATTATACGCTCGTGTTGGTTGGTAGGCGCGAGTGTTTATATGGTTTGTCTCGCAAGGTGTGGGATTTTTTTTCTCTTCTTCTAATATACGTAGAAAGAAGGATTAAATTAAACGTTCAACACACGTTTCGATAACAAGTGTTGTTCTTTCGGTCAGAGTATCTCTCATCCCGTTTGTCGCTCTCCACCTCTCTCTCTCTCTCTCTCTCCCCCTCCCCTTTCTGTCAGCCAGGTGATATACTCTCTCCCCCATTTAGTTCACTTTGTTACTCGTTGTTTGAGGCTTTTCTAATCTCTCCCACCTTTACACTTGGTCGTTCTTTTATTTCCTGGGTAGTTCTCTCTCTCTCTCTCTCTCTCTCTCTCTCTCTCTCTCTCTCTCTCTCTCTCTCTCTCTCTCTCTCTCTCCCTCTCTCGCTCTCTCTCTCGCTCTCTCTCTCAATCTATCTCTCTCTCCCCCTCTCTCTATAATACCCGTCCCCGTTCCACAGCCCACTACCCTTCCTTCCTTCCTCAGACGACCCAGCTCCAGGAACCATGACGGATCCCTACACCAATTTCTTCAGAGGCTACTTCAATTACTATCCTTTCTCATCCAATCCCTCTCTGCCTCCTCCACTGGCTCACCCCTCCTACAGCTTCTGCGCAGGCAATTACACCCACGGCTACACCATCAACCCCTCCGGCCACTCACCGCCGTCCTCCCCTCCTCTGAGGGAGGCTCTCCCCCTTCTCAGCCTCAGCCCGACCAGGCACCACGATGACTCCTGCAGCGCCTTGGAGGAGAGTATCGGCGATGACAAGACTAAAGATATGGATGGTGACGATGATGCCGTTACCGTCGCTCTTCACATAGGTCTCCCGAGTCCCACCGCTGCCGATCTGATCTCAAGAGTTTCCTCCACCACAGAGGCCGTCGACAACGAAGCCGACGGCGTCGACGATGGGATCTCTACAGGTTATCCCACTACCGCAATAGGAAGGCTCAACAAGGGTCAGTACTGGATCCCCACACCTTCTCAGATCCTCATCGGCCCTACTCAGTTCGCTTGCCCTGTCTGCTGCAAGACTTTCAACAGATACAACAACATGCAGGTAACATAATTTTTCCCCTTCCTCCCCCGGCGCATCTCCCTCTTGTTTTGAAAATTGTTTTCGGCCTTCGATTTCTGCATGGCATATTGTTATCAAAAGATGAATCCGAGGAGAGGTGTGAGTACAAGTTCCTCTCTCTCTCTCTCTCTCTCTCTCTCTCTCTCTCTCTCTCTCTCTCTCTCGCTCTCGCTCTCGCTCTCTCTCTCCTCTCTCTCCTTCTCTCTCTCTCCCTCCCTCCCTTCTCTCTCTCTCTCTCCATCTCTCGGTCTCCCGCTCTTATGTCGATTGAACCATACAGCAGCAGTATTCCTTATTGCTTTTGAAAATTTTGAAGTTTGTGCTGTGCATTGGCAGTGTGTGGAAAACTGGAGAGATTTTCCGGTGCTCTCAGAAGACGTCACATCTGATTTCTAAGAAACATCTCTCTAATTGTTCTGTTCTTGTGACCTGACCCATAAGAACATGGAGTGAGAGGGAGAGAGAGATGAATCTACCCTCGCTTGTCTTATGGACGGCTGACTGACTCCTGTATAAATCCTCCCTTTCGAATGGTAATGTGTCAGAAAAGGCATCCTTTTCGTTGATATCCCTAGATTGCATGCTGTTTTTTTCTTATAATTTTAAGAACTTACCGACTGTACCTGTCGACAACAGTTCTCATCAGCAACACGCCGTAAAAAGAAGTGCCGTTTGTCATCAGCGTGCACCCAGAAGCCCCACATCATAAGATTCCATAACCTTCTTCTCATCGTCAAGCCCCAACCATCGGCTGCATAGTTATCTCACCCAATACCGGCAGGACAAGAATGAGAAGACCCATTGAGCCTTTTCTTCCACAGAATCAAACTCACAATAAATATGATGACGTTTCCTAGATCGTCCTGCTCTTCTTGATTCCCATCTTTTCGTGACAAATGCATGGGGGAAGACAAGTCACTGTTTGATCGCTCTCTGTGTGTGGATACGAGTAAGGTTTTATATCCGAAAATGAGAAGATTCCTGGAGGAACTCATCTTTGATATCATCTAGTAGAAGTAATACCAGGACATACAGGATCGTCCAGTCCTTGGTCTCCATTCCTCACGTAGTCGGTGCATTCGGTGATTGTTCTCACTAGTTGAATAAGACTGAAACTTTAGTGTAATGGCTGAGTATTTTCTCGGGTGTAACAACAGATGCACATGTGGGGGCATGGATCTCAATACAGGAAGGGCCCGGAGTCTCTCAGAGGAACCCAGCCGACGGCGATGCTTAGATTACCCTGCTACTGCTGTGCACCGGGCTGCAGGAACAACATAGATCATCCAAGATCGAAGCCATTGAAGGATTTTCGGACCCTTCAGACCCATTACAAGAGGAAGCACGGGATAAAGCCGTTCATGTGTCGGAAGTGCGGGAAGGCGTTCGCCGTGAAAGGCGACTGGCGGACACACGAGAAGAACTGTGGGAAGCTCTGGTACTGCATCTGCGGGTCAGATTTCAAGCATAAGAGGTCCCTCAAGGACCACATCAAGGCCTTCGGCCATGGGCACGGCGCCTACGGGATAGACTGCTTCGAGGAGGAAGACGACCCCTCGTCTGAGATCGAACATGACGGTGATCAAGCTCGTTGACGGGGCAAGCAATTCGGAGACGGACAGTGGAGATGGTCTTTGGGTCTATCGTAGGCGCTTATTTAGTTCTCTCTTCACTAGATAACTTGCACCTGTGATATGCCACCTTCTTACCATCCAATTAATTAGAATTTACCGTGCCTCTTTCTCTTTTTTCCAAGTGTTGGTTCCAAAACACGATAATATTGACTTTTTGGTTCTTGTAAATGCAATGCTGGTTCGGGCCGGTACAATTCTTCCCTTCTCTCTCTTTGCCAAACTCTTTTGTTGTCTTGTGTGCCTAGTCGGATTTTCTTCCGCGGGAAGATACGAAGACGAAGAGAAATTCCAGGGGGGAGTGGCTGTTGTGACCATACGTTCTCATTGTTCCGGAGGAACTTCAGTTTCCGATAATCTGGTCTGATTTACTTGCTTGTTGTGTGTCGTCTTCTGCATCGCATAAATGGAGTTTACCTTCGGATTCGAGGTTCTTCGGATCTGTCCGCTATTGCGCTTGTTCTCCTCTTTCTCTCTCTCTCTCTCTCTCTCTCTCTCTTGGTCGTTCGTTCCCTCCTTCCTTTAAATTCATCCTTCTACTACCCGACTATCTCGTAAGTACAGGCTAAGGAAGATCAGCCATCCAGTAATCTGTTTACCCCCGATTGATGCCATTGTCCGGTCCCTTCTTTTCATTTAATCGATATCATTTACGAGCCTACTTCTTAAACCTGATTTGAATCACAAATGCCAACTGCCTGCCTCTCATTGGGACTGAATGATGCTTCTCCTAATTCTATCGTCTCTCACTATCCGCTTCCGACGCACATCGTTGGTCACTTCTTAAACGTTAGAGTGCCGGCCTTCATAGTTCTATCTTCTTCTCCGATTTCTCGCCCTTCCTTATATCCTGATTATTTCTCATTCACTTCGCCGCTCCGAGCTCGCCGGGTATTCACGCGATTAAGATCAATGACACTACGACAGAAGGTCGTGATTTTGGGGATTCCGTTCGATTCCCAAGTTCATTGCTTTCATTGAGTTATCTCCATCAACAAAAATAAAGCATTTTTTTGATGATCTTGAGATTCTTCTGCTCTTTCCCGTCATCTCCGTGAGCTTTGTCTTTGCCCTTTTTTCTCCTTTCTCTTTTTTTTCCCTTTCTGTCACGTAACAATGCCAAACTGCCATTACCGTCCAACCTCTTTCAGTGTTTTACTGTCCACTAAGACTTCGCCCATATCTTTATCATTTAACCTCATTCGTTACCAGGAGAAAGTGAGAATAATCACCGTGATAACAGCCTTTTAGGTATGTTGTCCCTGAGGAGAGCTTCTAAACTCTCAGAAGATCTTCGTTTGATCCTCCTCTTTTCCTTTTTAGAGGGGCTTGTGAGTGGTCTTTCTCGTATTCTGGCTGCCCTTGCGTGCTTTCTTGGATATTCGAGACTCCTGCGGAAGACGTCGTCTAACAGTAGCATGCCTGCAAGGCGAAGCCCGTAAGTATACTTCCATGGATAGGCTTTTCGACGACTGTGTGAGAAAACAGCTTTCAGGTGCATATGATTCCCGGTGCTTTGGGATGGTGGATAGATGTGATCCGTTTTTTCCTTGATGGACAGAACATATACTACGTGACGTGTGGTGCAAATCAAATGATTAGCTTGCCTCACGGAGAGAGAGAGAGAGAGAGAGAGGACAGACACTACATCAGTCATTTATTACGAACTAATAGCGTAAGGACCGCGTGGTGCATAAATGTGAAATAGATGGTGTAGACGAATGAATCTTCTCTGCAGTTCTTCAGAGAGCTCACCAATGGTGAGAGATAGATACAGCGAGAGAGAGAGAGAGAGAGAGAGAGAGAGAGAGAGAGAGAGAGGTGTTACAGAGAGGGAGGAAGGGAGATAGAGAGAGAGAAGGGGAGGGAGGGAGGGAGAGAGAGATGTCGCAGTCAAAAGAGCTTTCCGAAAGGTCATTTCAATAGCAATCCACCTATCTGCATAGCTACCAATATACGTCGCAAAAAACCCGCAAGCAAGCCTTTTCTTTTGGGCGCGGGCACCAAATGAGTTACGCTGCGGCGCATACTTTCTGAACTGAACCTCAGAAACGGTTCCTATTTATGTTTATTTCCCTATTTATTATATTCGTGAGCTCTAATCCCTATCGGCCATGATCGCCGATCTAATACGTTCTCCAGATGGGGGAACTGTGCCCCCCCATCTTGAGCATACTCCCTACGACGAGTGAATTTCGTCAATGATCCACTAGTTAAGCTAGCTATGTTTCGATCTAACGTGTAGACTGACCTCTCCCTTATTCGCGGTTTTTATCCAGTGTCTTCCAGATGACAGCAATGAACTCTTCGCTGCGAGACGAATCAACGATAGGTCAGAGAAATCCTATCAACACCCGGCAATGCCTTCTCATGAAAACCAATAACCACGGTTGGATGGATTTTTTCCTTGCGTCGGGTGTTAATCTGGGTACACGCAGGTTTCTCCCGATTCCCGCAATTATCGGAATGGGTTTCTCATTGATTTTATGGATAAACTTGATTAAAAAAACACACGTTTCCTCATAATCCCTCGACAGAAAGCAAATAAAAACAGTTTTTTTGCCGGTCTGTGAAACTTCCTCCTGTTTTGATAAGAAGAGTCGAAGAATCCAAGGCGAAGCAGACTAAACTATGCCCACTAGTAACCCGCGGGCTGAGTCCGAGAATAGATCAGCTAGCTATAGAGACGAAGGCCTCTCTGAGAGAGTATACCCCACGTGGGGAGCAAAGAACTCATCGTCTCGCTTCCCAGCTGTCGGGCAACGCGATATCACGACCTCTCCCTCACCACCTCTTCCCTTCTGGTTTTTTTAGGGTTTCCCATGCGGAGTTGTATCCGTGTCCAGGAGACCAAGCGTCCTCCCAAGGAGAACAACTGCGTATCTTATTCCATTCCTCCCATTTATATTCCAGCACGGGGAGGCAGCGCTGTCCCCCTCAAGCGGCAGGGCGAGGCCCCGCGTAAGGAAGGCGTGGGGGGGGGCCATGGCCGTGGTCGACACGAGGGGAGGGGAATATATATGCACAGTAAAAGAGGGCGGGGGGGGGGGGGGGAACAGAAGAGCCAAGTGGGGGGACGTACGTGAGAAGTCAATGCTGTCCCTGATCTTCTCTTTCCCGAAGAACACAAATTTCATTATAACACTCGAAGGAGAAGAGAAGAGTTCATTTAAGTCCATCGTAACCCCCCTCCCCTCCCGAGCTTAGTTCGTGAACCCTAAAGCCAGTTTTCTTTTCCTTGGGTGTCTAGTTTTCCTCTTTGGGAGATTCCCCCAGCTGTCGTCACTCCTCTCTCTCTCTCTCTCTCGTGGCTGTGAGATGGAATAAGGAGTAGTCAGGGAGAAGGAAGAGAACATGCGCTCGAGGATGAGATCAGGGGGACAAAGGTAAAGCTGGGGACGACAAAGGAGCATTTTTTTTCTGCCTCCTTCAGGGACCACGGGAAAAGCATGGCGTTGACGTTTGCGGCTGCGATGTCTCCGAACTCATCAGGGATCTGAGCGAAACTAATAAAATTAAACACGGAGATCAGTTAAGTTCGCCTCTAAACTGGGCTTCTTTCTCACCGTCAGAAAAACACCCTCCCTAGCTGCTTCTTCTCTCTGTGTCTCCCTCTCTCTCTCTCTATCTCTCTCTCTCTCAACTCTATTCTCGCGACGGCCGCCTTATTCACTCCGTCGTCTCTGGATCCCTCTTAGCTTCCCCATCATGCCGCTCAGGGAAGATGGAGAAAATGAAGGGCGGAGAGAGAGAGAGAGAGAGAGAGAGGAGGGTTAGCTTCCATTTAGGGGAAGCTAGTAAATCTTGGGGACTGGAGCCCTCGCACTTGGTGGGCCGTAGTCTGGGGGGCCCAATCATAACGACGGCGGAGACTAGTTTAATTAACTGGCGGAATAGGTACGAGGACCCCCAAAAGGGCGGGGGGGAGGGGGGGGGGGGAGGGAACGGGGATTAAATGCGACGGCCCCGATCATCCAGTTTGCAGGGAGACTAATCAGATGTGCGGTCCCTGATCAGCAGTTCGCCGCCATCATTTTACCACGCGAATCTCACCGTGCGGCGGTAGATCTCCCCAATTACGTGGCAGCACACCAGTGGAGGAATCGCCGAATGAACTGTACGGTTCGTAAGCGCGGGGATGTGACAATAGGGATGGGGTCACTAGCAGGGAGGTGACCAGATCGAAGTCAAAAGCCGCGCCGGCAGGGGTTGAGATGGAGGGAGGAGTCGGGGGGTATTAAATGGGCGGCGGAGAACCCGGCGGAACTCGGCCGGTCTGACTCGGCGACTGACTCCCGGATCCGTTAGAACCCGGCGGGGGGAGCTCGCCCTCGCCATCGAGCTTTCGCTTTCATGTGAATTTCCACGCGTAAATCCCGGATAAAGAATGGCAAAAGGGTAGGAAATTAATAATTACTGCCCGGCAGAAAAGGAAAGCGGGTAGGCGGGGAACAGAAGAACACGGGAGACTACTGCTGGTGTAGAGTGAAAGAGAGAGGAGCTTCAGTTGAGATTCACACACAATGGATTCAGAGATAGATAGCGTAGACCCTCGGGGCTCGTCTCCGAACAGGCGGGTCTGCAGTTAATGCTTGTGCGGTTGTCCGGACCCTTCTTTCTCCTCGGAATCCGGCGGACTGGATACACAGAGAGAGAGAGAGAGAGACTGAAGGAAGATGCAGAAGAGAGGGAAGGAGGGAGAGGGGTAGGAGAGCAGCAGTAGAGAGAAGGGAGCGTCCGGAGACAGGAGGAACAGTGGAGAACAGTGGCAGCGGGAGAGGAGAGAAAGACTGACGGGGAGCTCTGATCATCCACTTTGCCGACCTCTCTGCCTGGCCATGGCAGGCTCGCAGAGTCGTCGGGCTTCGGTCTCCGCCAGGCGGACAGACGAGAGAATTGAATGGGGAGGAGAATTCAATCGAGAGGTCCACGAGGCCCACCGCCCTCCCGATGTGACGGCGATGACCGGACCCCGGCCTTCCGGGACGATTCGACAACGGCTCCGGCCAACGATTACTCCCCCACACCCATGGGTAAAACTCACGCCCATGGCCCTTGCAGCGGCCGTAGTTAATGCCATGGACGTGAAGGGGAGCCATGCAGAGTGGGGGTTCGGTAGGGGACGAGAGCTGGCTAACCCATCCCTAGCTGCGCCCCCTCACCCTGGCATCAGTCTGTACCCAATCTCCCCCGTCTGCGGCTCCCGATGAATGAAGGGTTTGGCGGAGCCCGGTGGGCCTTTTTCTCCTTTGGTCGATGAAGGGGCCGCGGGGGCTTTTGCTTTGGGCCGTCCTCTTCCGCTCGAGGAGGGATGGGCGAGACAACGCTGCCACATCTCCTTTCTTCGCTTCCCTGGGGGGGCAACCGGAGGACGGAGATGGCTTTTCCGCGCGATTGATCATTCTGCGAAAACATAACGCCCATCTGTGCCGACAGGGAGCCGGGCTCCGACAGCGATGGCGAATCTGGCGCAGTTAAAAGCTCGACTTGATTCTCCCCCACCGGTGCGTTAGGTTGGCGACGGAGTTTTCCTGCTCTCTCTCTCTCTCTCTGTACGGGACATGAACGTTGAGTAGCGGGTTGGTCTCTCTGCGAAGATGATAAGGACAAGCATAGTAGAAATGATAATAATGAGGGGGAGTATGGGAATGGGCTGCATGGTTTTCTGAACAGAACCGGCCGAGGCGATTCAAGAGAATGTGGGCGGGCGGCAATAAAGGCGTCGTCAGTTCCCAAGAAAGCTGAGGGAAATAAAATCCGACGACGTGCAGGAGCGGGAGGGGAGGGGAGAGTGGGGCTCTCTCATCACGCCTCCTCAGCCATTCATTCGTCCCATTACAATGAGGAAGCCCGAATGGGAGGAGAAGACGGAGAGTAGAGACGCCTGATTAAAGATCCGATGATTTGCAACATTTCCATTGGTGCGCGTATTATTGGGGGCGGGATATATTCCACATTCCACATTCTCCATGGGCCGCCGATGACTGCGGCGCCACAAGGCGCGGGGACGAGAAGAGAATAAGAGCCCGTCGGAGGAAAAAAGTGCGGGGGCCGTGGTCCGGTGCCACAGTGGCACAGTTGCACAGTCATAGGTTGATCTCCTCCGGCAAGCTGATTTGCAGGAAGTACAAGCTGCAGCGGGATGGAGATGATGCACACAGATCAAAAGACCGTTTAGACAAAAGCATCTCGGTGGGAAAGTGCTAAATGATTGATTGATGGCACTCGAAAAATACGAATCCATCCCCAACCCCCCCCCCCCCTCCAACGAAAACAAAGAACAAATGCAACTCATCTTATGATTGGAAATTAATGTGCTTCTGCTGGTCATGCATGATGCATAAGAGACGAATTTTCAACGAAGAGTGTCAGCACAAGCTTAGACTGAATGCAGAATCTGACGGATATCTTGATGCCACCATAGCAAATGAGAAAGAAAAATGCAGCCTTCCTACATCGTGTTAAAAAATCCCATGCGAAACGGAATTAGTCTTTTCTGCGCAGCACAGCGATCACAGAGCGATTCCAGGAAAATCCTTAAAAGGGAGGAAAATGAGTCTTTTCTAAACAAGGATAGTTCTCCCACCCACCCACGTGTAATCCGTATTTACCTCTGGATGGCCGGTTATGTTAATTGTAAATATCTTCTTCTACAATATAACGGATAGCATGAAATTCTAAAATAGTTTTTCCTAAGAATAAAATATCAACCATCGGAACGGAATATCTTTAAAGATGAGATAGTATCTCCGCTGTAAACCGACCTAGCCGACATGAAAGCCATGCCCAAGAAGACCGCTTTGACAGCTTGTTTCTGCCCAGCATAATCGAATGCCAGAGGTAGCATTTCGTGCAGAGTGAGGAAAGCCATAACTCCACCAACTGCAAAGAAAGCAGAATATGATTCAGATGCCACAAATCCCTCCCATCACTATCATCGTCGTCATCATAGGACAAGCTCCAGCCTTGCGGCACCCATCTATCTAGGCCCAGTCTGGGATCTGGATGACCCAATCCCACATGTTAGGAACAACGGTCTTCAGTATCGACGGGGAGCACCCTTTTCTTGCACCAAGCTGTAGCCATGGGAAGTTGGCCGATAAAGGGGAGGGGGGTCATTCCTGGGTATGGAAACCCAAGCCGCGCCGACTGATATAAAAGGAGATAAATTAAAAAACTAAAGATGAAGACGAGGGTTTAGAACTGAACCAGATGCAAGTAAACCCTCCAGGATTTCAGGGCTCAGACTTCTGGGGAACAGATAAGCTGCAACACAGCAAACACCTCGGATTAGAAATTACGAACGCATAAATTCAATTTCTTTTGCATCTTGTACGCATATATGAGAAAACGCAATTTCCATAGCAGAACTGCCATGGTTATAAAAGAACAATCTTACGCGTGCAGGCGCAAGTCAATCACTGCCAAAAGAAGCCGTACAAAGTGGGATTAAGCGATTCTAAAGGTTCCTGCCGCGGAGATCTGTCTCCTGCGGCTCACCGAGAAGACTTCTAAGGGCGGTTGATAAAACGGCTTCGTATATGCGCCGAGACCAGAGTCGAGCTATGTGGAGCTGATCCCTGCGACACTGTTACACAGCTAAAACCAGAGCAGTGCAATGGATTGTTGTTATCTTCCCTTTTGTCCAAAAAATTGTCCACAGAGGGAAAGAAGGTGCAATTCAGAAACGCGCCAATAGTATTCTTATCCATTGGTTCTCTTCAGTAGAAGACAGTCCTCATCGTCAATTTTGTTTTATGACCTTCAAGATCCAATGACGCTTATCTGCTACCGTTAGCATTCAGGAATCAGATGGCTGGACAAGGCAGACATCAGCAATAGGTGCGAAGATTGACGACCAAGTGGCTATGGAAAGAAATTTATCCAGAGTCATCTCAAGTATGGATGTGATGCAAAACTAATGAAGCCTTCACATTTAAAGACACGGAGATCTCATCCACATGGAGGAAAAGTGTGCTTATTTTAACCATCACAGGGCCCACCAGCAACCAAAAAAAAAGAAGATAATAATAAATTATCATTCCTGACAGTGCAACCAAAAACTGTAATCCATGTCCATCCGGGCACAAATATGAGGAGATATCTGGCACTGGACCGCACTCCTCAATATACTGTATATGAACGATTACATGAACTAGCATTTATGTGAATAATACATCAATATTATTAAAATATGTACTGTCCTAAATAAAAATGAATCGACACAAAAGCATTAAATGAAACAACATATCGTATTAAATAACATTCAATCTATAGGGGGGGGCGAGGGGGGTATTAAAGCATGAATTTGGCTGGACGTGATGACAAATAGCCGTTATCTGTGCCAAATCTTGTATAAATGCAGCAATTAACCAAGGCAGCTTGGACACCTTGGGAGTCCAGACAGACTTGTCACCAAGGCGATGCCCTGAAAGCACTACTTTTAATGCATAAAGAAGCAGTAAAGCTTCTGTACTAAAAAAAGTATCATACTGTTACAATGTCAAGCCACTAACAGTACTTGGCCTCAACTTGTGACGATCTTCAACTAGTTTTGGGAAGAAAAAACGGAAGCATTGATTGGATTCTGGTCAAACGTTATGCTCGACAAAAGCCTTTCTTCCTCAAAACAGAACCGAGGGTAATCAGAGATCGTAGGAGTCTCAGAGAAATTAATCCAAAATACCCATTTAGTGATAAAATGATAAGAACCCCATGGTGAATTCTTCCCTAGTTGACATAATCAGACGCCCTTCATGTGGATGGAGTGCCAGGACTGGGATGATGGAAACCTCAAATGAGGTGATAAAATGAAGAACAAAGGTAGCGCTTCACAGTTTGAAAAAAGCATGAGCGAAAAAATCTACAGGTCTGGAAAAATAAAGGATAGCCCTTCTCCACAATGACTTTAATTCTAAGTAGCATTCTCCTCTCCTTGGGCCTCTAGGGAGATCACCCATTCACACTGTTACCAGATAACATTTTGAAGACTCCGTCTTTTCTCCCATCCTTCCCCTCTACTGATGTTCTATTTATACAACATGACCAAAAGATCTTCAGGGGCGAGCTGTCTTTAGCCTTAATGATTTCATCTAGGTCTTCAAATAAGGTACAGCTTGGCAGAAACCTAGGTCGGATTTAGGGGGGAGGGGGCTGGGTTTTATTTATCCGCTACCTATGAGATCGGGATAACTGAGGACACCCATACATTGCACAAAAGCAAGGAAAGTGAGGGCACAGACATCTACTGACTAAAAAACATGATAAAAAAAGTGCCTTACGCACATAAAGGTTGAGTGTTGACCACCTTTCACACAACAGTTTAGCCCTGGCGTTAATAAAGAGATACGAACTCATTATGATTAATAAATCAAATACTAACAACAATAAAAACCCGAATAAATACCACTAATTTTCATGACATATTTAAAACTGACAGGTACAAACATCAATAGGCTTTTTATAATTTCCAAAGGAAAGATATTTGACGAAAACTTCTACAGAGTAAGATGCATAAGGTACAAGTGAAAAAAATCTATCAACATAAATATAAATTTCACACATGAAAAATATACGATTTTCGTACCAACAATAATCACTCCTAGAGGTTCAGCAAAACCAGAATAAGTTGCTAGTTTGAAAGCCTGCCATTTGCTGCAATATGAAAAAACTAATCATAAAAATGAATTCTCAATTATTTTGTTATAAGTGATTGATTCTACATGAAGATCTTACAGTAACTAAGTCAGAACTAAATGTGATAGCTACTACTCCGACTAGTTGGCCAGTAAATAGTCAAACTGGAAGTTTCTACCTCTGTTTATATTTCAACCCCCTGACACAAAAGTAGCTTCTGGAAAGCTAGCTACCCACTTCTCTAGGATATTCAAACGACCTTACCAGTTTTGGAGCTAACTCTTTGTCTTATCAACATGATGGGTGGTTTAATGATTGCGCCAGAACGACAGTTCACTTTTAGTGAGTGGGATTCTAACATAGTGGCAGAAAGGTAACTTAACAAGAGGATCATTCAGTTCATGAAAATGAAATTTAATAAATAATTGCAACAAGAAAATTTTCAAACTATCATTGCCCAAATCAAAATGAATCTGTTACCTTTGAGTTGCAAAATAAACAGGAAGCGCTACAGCAACACCCTGCAGGGGGGGAGGAAAACTCAAGATCTCACATAAAGTCCCTTCAATGAAAGCTGAAACCCATGAATTTTGTTGTTTCGATGGTAATTAGGATCACATCATTTAAGGCCAGAATATATTGGCTGCTTTCATTTATGTATTGGAAACAAGACAACATCAAGGAGATGTCGATACGTCTCAGAAAGGATATATTGAATAAAATTTTCACCAGAATGACAAGTAGCAAAGAGAACATACATTTAGCATGACCTCTGAGAAGAGATATGACATACATTTAGCATGATGTTGTCTTTTATATGAATGCCTAATATAAGGATGTCTCCCCCCTTGTATAGCTATTACCGTGATAAAAACGAGTTTCTACAATGTTATCCATTTCGAATTCCAGCATCTGAATCGTTCAGATTTTTTAACTGGAAAAATATACAAGTCAGAAACTCCTGTCATGCATTCCAGGAAATCGCATTTATCAGTCTGCCTTTTTGGCTCAAATGCAGGTATTATTAATCACTTTATTTTGCAAAGGAAATGTACAAGCATGTCATTAAGATTGGAACCACAGAAAACTGCTCAATTGCTACTGGAAACCGTATAGTAATACAAAGAAACCAACGTGTGCTTCTCCTCAAAATAACCCAGGATATATATTTAACTATTTGAGCTTCAAATGATTGGTTTGCATCACCTACTGTGGTGAATAAAACTAGGCGGTATTAGTGGAGATAAACAGTGAGTTAACAATCAGAAAAGACATCCAAGATTCATCATAAATCCTCTCCAGTAGTCAAAAGCGTGATCAGCTTAGCTACCTATTAATAAGTAATTATAATTGAGGAGACATGTTAAAATTGCCAACATAACTAAAGGCAAGTATCACAATAAGTTGTATAAAAGATGAAAGTCTTTGTCCATCGAAAATTTAAACATATACCTCAGGAATGTTATGTAGAGCAATAGCCAGGGCCAGGTTGACACCAACTCGAATGCCCTGGAGAAAAAGCATATTAATCAAGGACAATGATAAATTTTCTATGCGTAATCATAGTACATAAAAAGCTCGCCAATAGTCAAATCGAAAAAATAAATTGACAGAGTTCAAAGAGACAGCAGATATTCTGATGAAAATACGAACAAGTAAATTGTTTGACCTTGTGAACGAAACCAAATGCAATAAGAGTAAAAGTGAATCAATAGTAGCAAAAAATTCTCACATATCATCTTAGGTCAATGATGCAGCTCAATTAGAGCCCAATTCAAGTGGAGCAGAGGCCCAAGAAGCAAGAAGATGCAAAGGGGGCCAACTCTAGCTTGAGTTGGCCCAATATCAAATTTAACCCATAATAAAGCACATCTTGAAGGTGTCCAACTTTAGTTTTTCTGCTTACATTTTTGTTTCTCATTTTAGCCATTTCGAATATATTTAAAAGAGGGGTGTCCTAACTGATTTTCGGCCTATTTAAAGGCCCCCCTTGTAGCCGTAGAGGCATTCAATGAATTCTACGAAATTTCTCCTTCTTCTGAGGTTTTGTTTCCCCACTGGTAGATTACAGCGCCCTCTGTGGATTCAGGAGAAACGTTTTAATCTTGTGGACTAAAAATCAAACCCTTGTAGATTAAAGGGTCGAAATTTCTTCATTTTAAGTATTTAGGGTGATAATTTTCACATAAATCAGTTTCTTGTGGATTCAAGAACGAGATTTCAATTCCACGAATCACAAGCAGTGTCAAGTGATATCAGAGGCAAGATTCATATTTCAGATTCATCTCTAAAGATGTCACAAAATAAAGGTTTAAGGGTTAAAAAATCAACGAAAATGAAGTTATTGAGGTACGCCCTTTTTTTTGGACGGAATTTCTTGAGTATCAAGAACGTATTGATTAGAAATTTGAAGATATGAATGATACATTGAAGTATGTCTGCCCATAAAATTCATTCACATGCCCAAAATAATCAAAAGAAAAATGATTTCAGTCGTTTATCTTAAAAAAAAAATTCAGATAACACAGGCAGTTCGAAGAGTAGATATGTTGAAAATAGAGATTTCAAATGAAAATCAATTTACCCAATTTCAATGGCCATTTAAAAATAGAAGAATTTTTAGATTAGGTCTCAGAAGTTGAAAGATTTTTCGAATTTATGAAAATCAGAGATAAAAAATAGGAGAAATTAGTTACATATCAACTAAGGGAAAAGCATCTACATAGTGGGATCTACTTCAATCTATTCATGCAAGATCAAACAAAGATCTAGTTGGTAGTTGGGATAAAATGAAAAAATATTAAAATATAAATTTCTGCCCCCAGATTGTGAACAAATTATAAATCAGCAATATCAAAATTTAGACGAGAAAACATATCAATGACATAATATGCTAAAGAATTTTATAGACTATCTTTTAGAATTGACTTGACTGAATCTAAGTCTTATATGATATCAATATTTAAAAGTGGGCTTAGATGGGATATTGAGGAAAATTTTACCTTATAATTATTTTTTAAGTTAAATAGCATTGTCATAACAACTGAATGTGCTAAAACTTGGTCGAAATTTTGATAATATATCATTTCTTTGGCTAAATAGGTCAAGACCAATGCCCATTTTTTCTAATCCAACCATTGGATCAGAAAAAACCACTATTGTACCAAAATCAAACGGATCTATTCCATCTAGGTGAAGCTCCACACAAAAACGGATCAAACGCATAATGTTTTCTGAATGAAGTGCACTATAAACGGAAAGGTTGGGACGTCATTATTGATACTGGTAGCTATGAAATATTCCTTCTTTAATTATGATGCAAAAATTAGTATTGAAAATCGAAAACTATTCGCATCCATACAAGTTAAAAAAAGATTATGAGACAAAAGTCACAAAAACTTGCCTAGTAAAACTTTCAATTAACAAAAGATATTTTAATGAAAGTCAATGTGATGTGGTTGACATAGATGCATGCCATCTTATTTGGGCAGATCTTGGAAGTTTGATTTAAATGCAACTCATTTAGGTAAAGATAATCATTATGTTTTCTACAAAAATGGTCAAAAGTTTATTTGATGCCCTATGAAAGATTAATTTTTCTAGCATTGAGGTAAAAAATAAACAAGTGATGACGATTGATAGAAAAGAACTCTTCAGCAACTTGAATGAAGCATATGAAATATTTATGATGGTTAAAAATATAATACTGTATTAAAATTTTCAAATTCTGTGCTTGAGGTTCAACAAAAAGTGTTAAATGATTTGAGTAGTATACAAGATTCACTCAATGGCCTCCTCACCCTAGAGATATATAACATCATATTGATTTGATTCCAAGAGCAAGTTCGTCAAATTTATCTTACTATTGAATGAGTCGTAATGAAAAGTGAATTTAAGAAAATAGGTAGAAGAATTGCTAGAAAAAGGTCTAATTAGTGAAAGTTTGTCAAAGTATGTTCCTACATTATTAATTCTGAAAAAAGATGAAAGCTAGTGTTTGTGCGTAGAAAGTAGATCAATAAACAATAATACTGTTAAATATAGATTTCCAACTTCGAGTGACCAAGAATACTGATTTCTGTTGCGTTACATCTGTAACTTTGTTTGGTTTTCCTAATTTTTTTACTTGATGACAGTTGATTCGTCAATCACATTCAAGAGGATTGGGAGAACATTTGGCCCATGACAAAACCTTACAATTGATAGAAGAAAGCTATTACTGGCCCTACCTAGAGGTAAAAAAAATTGCGCACAAATACCAAAATTTTCAAGTTAATAAGGGACAATACTAGAATATTAGATTGTATACTCCATTGTCAATTGCAAAACGACCATGATACAATATTTTTAAAAATATTGCCTTAGGATTACCACATACTTAGAGAGATACAGACTCTATCTTCAAGGTTGTGGAACGTTTTTTAAAAGTGACACATTTCATTGCATGCAAAAAGACTAATGACGTTGTGAAAATAGCTAATTTATTTTGTAAGGAGACAGTTTGCTTGCATGACATCCTAGAGTCTATCACATCAAATCGAGGTTCAAAATAATCAAATCGAGGTTCAAAATTTTGAGTAGACCACATCAGATTGAGATTCAAATTTCTCTCACATTTCTAGCATATTTTTTGGAATGGATTTGACTGCTGTTCAAAACTCAACACTATTAGCCATCCTCAAATAGATGGTCAAACAAAACTAGTCAATAGAGCATTTGGTAATTTGATTTTTTATATTTTAGGAGAAAAACTAAAATAGTAGGATTTTGCCTTGACTCAAGTAGAAGTTGCATGTTACTCTATAGTTAATTGCTGTTTTAATCAATCTCCATTTTTTATTATTTATTATTTTTCTCTAAAACTCTATTGAGATTTAACAGATTTACCAAAATTGATTGGATCAAGTATAGCAGCAAACAACATGGCAAAGCACATTAAGACATTACATGAAAGTATCAAGAAGGCTAATAAGAAGATGAGGAAAATGATTTTTTAAGCTAGTGATTTGGTTCTGATACCATTTGAAAATTATAATCAATTTAGCCGAAAACAACATACACCATTCAAAGTCCTCCAAAAAATTAACGACAATACATGCATTCTTGACTTGCTAGAGACAATAAGCATATCTTCTGCCTTAAATATTATGGATTTGTATGACTATCATCCACAATTACATTAAAACTCTGAAGCAAGAGAGACTGATGCAACCCATTTAAAAAATAATTTAAGTGGACCAGAGGCCTAGGAAGTATGAAGATGTAAATAGCCCCAACTCTAACTTGAGTTGGCCTAATAATTTCTCCCTCTTATGAGGTTTTAGTTCTCTACTGGCAGATTCCAATATCCTCTGTATATTCATGGGAACTATTTCGATCTTGTAGAATTAAGGGTCAAAATTTCTTCGTTGTGGATTCAGGGTGATTAATCTGCACAAAAATCATGTTTCTTGTGAATTCAAAGATGGGATTTTAACACCACGTATCAAAGGTTGTGTAAGTCAATAATGTATCACATTAGAATTCTAAATTCGTTGAAATTCCTCCCCTACTCACATACTCCTGAGAAAAAGTTGGACTATATTTCTATTGCATCCTAGTTGAAATTTATCTCTCAAATTAGGGGTTACATAAGAAGAAGCCCAGTAAAACAGGTTGAATAAAGTGTAGCAAACTGAGATTAGGGTTGAAGTGCATGGTGTTTAGAAAAACAGGCTTAAATTCTCTGTTCCCAAGAATCCTTTGAGATTCCATTGATCCAATGTCCTACACGTGCAAAGTTTAGAGCATCAGTTTAATTACTGAATGACAAAAGCTTTTCAGCAATCTTCAAAGAAAACTTTGATGCAGTGATTTTCTGTGGTATCTCACAAGATAGCATAAAGATTAGGAAAGCGTTTTGCAGACAGCAGATAGATAAGTTTCTGTAGTGTATAGCCTGCATCTGCACATTTCAGCAGTAATGCTGATCTGATAAAACAACCAAGACCAATTCCCACTTAGTCACCATCTTTTAAAAAGAATCATAACTTAACAGCAGTTTTCAAGACAAGAATGTTTCAATGCATAGGCAAAAAAAAAATTGTATTCATGTGGACAATATTCTGTAACGATATAATCAAATTTATCATCACCAAATGCCTTTTTTTAGCTGTAAGCACCATGCAATTACCTTAATTGATCCAAGAAACACAGCCATTCCCTCAGGAAAATTGTGCAAGCTTATCCCTGCAACTTGCAGCAAAACCAAAAGCCATTATTAGATGAGGGTCGTGTACTGAGTTCTGAATTAAGTAAGGTAGAGAACGCATAAAAAGTAATGGATAAGCATGATAAAAACTAGCCTGGTATAAAACATAAACGGCCATTATATTAGGTTCACAAGACGCAAGGATCTTTTGGTTTGATATTGTGTCACTGAAAGCTTAAAATAATGGTCAGCTCTAGAGATTCTCTGGAGGAACATAAGAGGTTTTAACATTTAAAGAAAATAACAATTTTTTTAAAGTTACCAGGGAATACAATGGCCGCATATCTGGGGACAGGCACTTACTGCTAGATAAAGCTCAACATTTGTTAAAGAATCTTGACGATTTTTTTTGTCCTTCAATTTAATTCGCTCAGTGGTTCTTTAAAATTGATTTGCATGCTTTTAGTATTGACGCCAGCTGATTAGGCTTCCTATTCCATGGGACAAAATTTTATTCCTCTGAAGTTTGATGCATGCACAATCAACATTAAAACGAACAGCAGACAGAGCTCGAAACAAGACCTCCCCTCGAGACACATTTTAAATGAAAAATAAGAACAATCAAAGTAAACAACAGAGAACTATACCTATTGCTGTAATAATTCCACTGAAAAGAACTTGGCGCCGATGTTTTTTCATCATATCCTTACCTGATCCATCCTCATCTTTCTGCAATTATGGATCCCAATGAGATCAAAAAGACCTCAGCATGGCTCCAAAATGCATAATACAGCATAAAGTACTAGCAATACCATCTAACATGATGGTAGATGGTTACTGACCTGTTGTGTGCTTACATCATTGCTCGAAAGAAGAGTTGGTTCTGGAATAAAATTGACAATGAACGCAAAGAAAAGGACTCCGGAAAAGAACTGCAATGTTAAGAGTGCTAATTGGTAAAAGGTTTTCCCGCAAATCAGAGGGAAATATAGCAACTGTATATTGGTTACTGAAACCAAAAAAAAAGGAAAGACATATCTTGTCTGGAGGCATGCTAGTGAACTCCCTTACACTGATCACCCACAATTATATCACTGATACGACCCCCTCCTGGGGCAAGTCCCAACCCTTTGACTCTCTCTAATTTTTGACCCTACACAGAAATAACATTCACTGACTTCTAGCGGTCTTACAGAGAGGAAGATGAAAATATTTTCAATTATTATTTAAATCCCCACCTAAGTTGAAAAAAGAAGACCACTTTATTTACACCCTGGCACCAAAAAACATGCAAATAAAGGTAAAAATTCTTACTCGCTGAAGAGGAATTATTAACTCGCTAAATTCTTATATTTTTTCTAATCAATGGACAATGCAGTTCTAGATACGATATGCTCATTACGAATTGATCTGGCATGACAAACAGTAGGCATGGATAATCTGTGCCTGTACCCTTTTTACCCTGACACAAAATAACCCTTCAAAAACTGATCTAGTACCACCTTTTGCTGTATAACATAAACAAAGACATAATTAGTGAAATTAGATTCCATTGAAAGGAAGTTACTCACCCAAATGTTGCCTTTTAAGAAGCCAATGGAATTTATAGCATTGTGTGCCAAGTCTAGGAAGGATATGCTCAGCATCAGACCAGCAGCAAAACCCTGAAAGAAGTAAGCTTAAAATTATGAAATAGTGGGGATAAGTAAATTGCCAAATGAGAACGTAAACTTTACCTGTAAGAGCCCAAGCAATTTGAGATTGGGTGCTTGATTTATTACTACAAAAAGTGCACCTATCCAAAGAGTAGCCTAAGTTTAGTTCACAAGTAAATAGATATTAGATTATTTTGAAAGAAAAACTATCTGCATCAGAAGAGAGAACTTGGGGATCTCTTTAGCGAATCTAATGCTCAGAATAACGAAGAGCTTACAGCAGTAATTCATTTTTTAACTTCAATTCACTAACAAGAAATGTCACAAACTACTGAAAGAAACAAAGTTATACATGTATAAAAAAAATCATAAATTTCCAAAATATTCTTTTTCCAGTCATTTCTAACAGGCATTCATTTTTTCCAGTAAAGTGTTATTAAATTAAAATTATATTTCCAACTCTAACAAAAAAAAACCTATAAGGATATACACTCCAAGACAAAAGAGAATAAAATTCGCAACTCGGTAGAACATATTCTATCTCAGGTTTGCCCCTCATTTTTTATGCTGGAATTACCAGTCAAATGAGAAAACTTCCATGAATATCCTGACAGGCCACAGTAAGGCATTGTGCAATGTCCTGAACGCACAAGCAATCCTCCTGCAACGAATGACAACATGATACCATTTTATCTGGAAACGACCTCAAATTCCTAATGATACCTCTGGGATATCTCTGCAGTATCCGGATGAAACTAATAAGCCTGATACACCTTCAGTACACATCCATAGATACATAGTGAATATCATCCCAACTATATGTGCTTCAGAGACCGGCAGGACCCTCGAATTCAGGATATCCTGATGAAAATATTTACAGTAAAAAATTCATATACAATTTTTATCGAATTTGGATGAGTCGTTTTATTTATCACCGTGCAATGTATAAAGTTCAAATGTTCAAATAGATAACATGAAACACAGGTACTAAAGCATAAGAATTTTACATGAATACTCTATAAATTTGAGGAAAAAAGGAACTATAGCATAACTAATTTATCATGACGAATTTTTAGCGCAAAATGCCAATTGTTGCCTTTTAGAAGTGCGAGAATGGAGAATTGAGGATGTTAATTTAAAAGATCTGATGTTATATTTGTTAAAGTTCTCCAAGAAGATATCACTGAGATTACAGAAACAGGAAAGTAAGAATATCTTAGCTAAATGTTTTCTTACGTTTTGGACGTATATTCCAGAGTCTTCCTAGGTCATCCTATCGAATGAAACTTTCTCTAAGACATTTAAGGGCAAAATTGAAAGTTTTTAAGCAGTCAAATACCTAATCTTTAATGGCCTCTCTCCCTCTCTCTCTCTCTCTCTCTAGATTGGCAACATATAGCTAACTTCTGTCCAGTTCTTGACTCACTTTATATCAGGATGTTGACAAAAATTGTTCGCAAAGATAGAGCATCTTGATAACAGTTGACGAACCAGGTCTCCTGAGCCCGAAATTGTCTGGGAGTAGTTATAACCAAACCATTACCAGTTAAAAATAAATCAGAAGTCTGAATTCATCGACCACACACGATTTCGAATGCAATCGTTAACCTAAATTCTTCCACTAAAACCAATTCACCTAACTTTCTTCGTCAAAGATACGTAGCAGTAGTGCTCTGCGAATTCTCAGTGGAGCAAGAGAACATGAGAACGCTTCACCAGTCTCAACTACAGAGAAGACGAGCAAAACAAAAAAATATGTATACCGCAAGGTGAAGTGATTCTCATCCGCTGCAGAGAACTGAAGAAGGCGAAGAAGGGAGAACGGATTGAACCGAAACAGTATTTCCAGCTTGCTCACCGAGGGAAGTACTCAAGCCACCGACGAGGGAGAGACCGAGCGCGACGAGGACCTGAGAATCCATCGGAAAGAATGTAGCGGACCGGCGGGCGCGAAGGCGGGAATGCGAACGGTGACGAGCCGCGAGAAGAACGTGGGAGGTTTTATACACGCCCCCGGCTTCCCGTTCTCGCTTGTCCGCGGGGAAACGAACAACGGAGGGTGAGGGGAGGCAGTGACCGTGGAGCAGGTGAACCCACCAATACACGACGGAGGGGGGGTGCGTTTTGAGGGGGTTACTGACGGAATACGTTCTTGTTTGGATGAGCTTTCCTACGCGAGCATCGGAAAAGCCACTTCGGGATGACCTTTCTTTCTCATCTTTTAAAATTCGATTCCTGGAGGTCCATGATTTTTGCCGCTTCCACAGCAATCCGATTTTCGTGGGGCTCTTGCTTAGCCCTTCAACGGGCCGGGGCCGGGGCCAGGGCCGGTTTCGGATCAGACCCGAGCCCGGCCCGATTTGGTCACCGCAGCTGGTGCGGCGATGAAGAAAATGGTGGGCAGCGGCAATTTGAGTGGAGGAAGAAGGGAGAAGAAGGGGAAGAAGGGAGAAGAAGGGAGAAGAAGGGAGAAGAAGGGAGAAGAAGGGAGAAGAAGGGAGAAGAAGGGCGTTGGCCATGGCTTCCGCATGTAGCATCCCCCCGTTTGGGGCCCTTCCTGTCAGGGCATGGAGAAAAAAGGAGGTCAGATCTTCTTCTGAGAAACGTCCACAGCGAGGACCCCCGAAGCGGTGCCTGAGGTGCAATTCCCTCTATCACGAGGACGAGAACTCCCCGACGTCCTGCTCCTTCCACGGCCACGTTACAGGTACCGAAGCCCACAGGGCAGCACCGCCGTCTTGGCCGGAGAGTCTTGCCGATTCGATTCTTTCAACGTGGGTCACCCCGTCGGACTGAATCTGCGCAGGAGAGAAAGGGCTGTTCGCCCTGGCGCCGCCGCACCAGGGGATCGACGGCGAGTGGACCGACGGGAGTGGAGTGATCGTCTACAGGTGGAACGAGAAGGGAAACAGGCCAAACACCGGGAGCGCGAATTGGAAGAAGAGGTGGACCTGCTGCTCCGAATACGATGATCACGCCCCTCCTTGCCGCCGGGGATGCCACGTCTCCTACGACGACGGGTTCACCCTCTACTAAGCAGTTTCTCACCCATCGCCCGTCTCTCTCGAACTTCCATCCAAAATTTGTACGAACGAAGCAGTCGGATTAATCGCAGGGGAGACGAGCCGTTCGAAAATTATCATCTCTTCGATGGTGGGTAGTATTGAATACATTCGCTGTGGGGGGAAGGGTGGTTCTGCGAGGTTCAGACGGTGGTGAAGGACTCGTGGATGTGCCGGAGCATGGGCTCGTCGCGATCCCACTCGGGCTTCGGGGCGTTGACAAAGTGTGCGTAGAGCTTGTTGCGGGCGCAGGTGACGGAGATGAGGCTGTGAGCTCCACCAGCACCATCGATCTCGTAGACGTAGTAGACCTGCCCGGTCTCGTTCCGGCGCTCTTCCGAGCGGACGCTGTCAGCGGAGCTGATCAGATCCTGCAGGTCGACGTCCGAGAGGGCGAGATTGTTGAGCACGGCGTCGACGGGGGCGAGGCTTTTGAACCCGGAGAGGAAGGTGAGGTACACCTTCTCCGACTTCTTCTTGGGATTGTAGAACTCGCTGTCGGTGCCATTGGTGCCCTTCTCCACCTTGGAGACAGGCCTCTCCTTCCACCCGTCGGGGACCTCGTAGATGTACTCAGCGGCGTCCTTCTTGTTGGCGCTCCCCCCGAAGCTTCCGTAATTGGCCGCGCTGGCGGCGGTGCCGTAGTAGAGACGGAAGGCCGCCGCCTCCGCGAGGGCAACTGGCGGAGAGGGCACTGCGGAGGAGAGGATCACCGCTGCGGCGGCGGCTGCGGTGAGAGCCGAGGGGAGAGCCTTTGAGTGGAGGGAAGGGGGTTGTGGGGGCTTGGCGATAATTTTGGGGGAGTTTGAAGAAGGGGAGGCCGCGGCGGCGGCGGAGAAGAGGGCGGCGGAGGGGGAGAAGATGGTGGCCATCGGAGTGGGGATTTCTGATTTCCAGGGATGTGGTCTCCGATAGGCCTCCCCGAGCTTGTTATCCGCAGAAAGACCCCGATGAATCTGCGGTACGGTTACCTCCCTCCTTTCCGCGTCGTATAAAAATGAGTTTCAAAATAAATGAATAAATAATATGATAAATTTCGTAATCTAATTATTTAAGGTGCACACAAAGTATTAAATACGCTTCACAAAAAATAAATACAGAATATAGTGAGGAACGATATATCCCATACGAGCCTTCAAAGTGTAATATTTTGCCTTGACAAGGTTATTACTTATTGCTCTAACACCTTGTTCTTCTAATAAGACCGTTTGCATTGACCTAACATTCTATTTTATTCTAACGGTTGTTGGACTATTATGTTTATGACATTTGGCCCCTTTTTCACTTCTTATCTATTTGATTGATATTGGCAGATATTTTGAATTGACATGTTCTTTGATGTATCAATTGATGATATCTTCAAATTGTCCAAGATTGACATCTCACTCTTGTGGTGTCATCCTCAATTATTCTCTTCTTTCAATCACAAAATAACATTTATCATAGTAAAAAAGTAAGCCCACACTGTTGGGGGTGTCCATTGAAAATAATTCTTATGTACATTCTATTCCTCTATCTTATATACTTTTAAGAGCAAGATGTTAAAGATTTGGTGTGTTGTCAATTTTGTATTGAAATTAAGTTAACAAACAATCCAACTGACCTGTGAGATAATTTTGAATAGTCTGCCCAAATGTGACACTAATCCCCATTAGTGTTTACTTTACTTGATGTTCTTATACATGCCTTAGTTCAATCATGAGAAGACTTGGTCACCAACATTAAACTCTTCTTCTCATTAGTATTTGTCATTATTTTTCTCCATACACTTCATTTCCCAAACAGACACTTCACATGTCTCCTCTCCCTTTGTGTGTCATGTCCAAGTAAACCAATATGTTGTTAAATAATATATTAACCCCATCTATCTTTCTAACTGAAGTGGAGTTAATTGCTATTACCTTTCAGTGAGCTTAAATGGTGAATAATCTATTGTCAAACTCTAGTGCAAGTTAAACAAAAATAGATGACATAAAAAGAAGGCATCTATTTATCTTAATTCTATGTGATCAAATGACATAATCATTCCAACATAATGTCAATAGACTATATTTGACCTTATATTTAGGGGTGACAACTTATTGATAATTTATGTTACATCTCTAATTAAAATAAATATATTTGTTAAAAATCCTCTTGTGTGCTGTGTCTCAATCATTGATGATGTTCCTCAATAGTCCTCAAAACTTGACTATATTTGTCATAAGAGATTGAAAACTTCTTCTATATTACTATTTGTGTGAGTCAACATGAATATTATATATTTTAAAAATAAGTCTAGCAACAAAGATCTCACTAAATCATTTGTTCTTGATAACTCCACTATGAAATCTATTGAGATGAACTAGTACAGTTATTTTAGATTAAAAGATGAACTCCAACTACTTATAAAAATTGATAACATATGATTTGAGCACTTGCACTTCACTACGCCTCAATCAACCATTGATAAGTAGACATTTGTTTAATCCATCCATATGTCACTCTTCCCAACAACATGGCTCATAAATCCAAATTTCACTAATAAAAAATCAGATATGAATAGATTTAACTCCAATTGGTTATCTCTAACTTTGTGAATATCTTACGATTCTAATTATAAATCAAAATGTTGTCCAAACATACTATCATAAAGTAGTCAATATATGTGTATGTCATAAGATGCATAACATTGTCTTATCATTGTGAGTTCAAATACATCATAAACTTGTGTGAACCATAACGCATTGTCATCCTCTCCTCATCACCTTCATAAATAGAAACTTGATAATATCTATTGCTATAATCTATCTTGGATCCTAAAAAAGTAATGAACTCCCTCTAAGTAATTGAACAACTCTTCCATGTTTGGCATCATATATTCAATTTTCATAATTATCTTGGTAAATGCTAATAGTCAATGCATAATTAGAGTGGTTTATTTCCTCTTCATCTAAAAAAATGATGGACACACCCTAAGGTGCTTATACAAGTTGATGGTAAATGTACCATCAACTTCTATGATGACAAGTCTTTAAATTTCTATAAGACTTGCATAACTTTGGATGAATGTTCTTTTATCATGTCACTTCTATCATCGTAGCCACCATATTGTTACATACATAAATGTTGAGTGCCATGTCCTTGAGTCCTATTTGATAGATGTCATTATTTAATTCTCAAATGTTGATAAGATTGATCTTGTCACCATATCTCTATCCTTGTCACTCTCAAGACAAAGTATGAGTATACTTTGTTAGTGATGAATATACTAAAACATTGGTTTAAGATATTTTCTTATACCTTTGTGAGAAAAATTATATTTCTAAGATAACTTCAAAATTATTTTATGGGTAGCAGAATTAAGTTTACTTATCACTTTCATCCTCTAACTTATGGTCCATAAAAGTTTTACATACTTCATTGGTCATGGTATGCATCCTTAAGTTAAAGATCTAGATATAGCCATCACCTTATAATAACATCAAACCTAATTGGATAACACTTTTTAAAAAAAACATTATTTTGATGTGACCTAATCATTGTATAATAAACTTTGTGAATTTTAAACTTATAAAACTAGATAATATTATTTTTAAAATTTTAAAAAAATAGTTCAACAAAATAATTATAATTTGATAAAAAGTTCCAAAAATAGTGAAAAAATTTCAGTCCATCACAAAGATGTAATATAATATGGGGTAATATTGTAGAATTTTCTACAAAGAACATAAATGTTTATAATTGTTAGACTCAATAATAAAGATAAAATATATTTAAAATTCACAAAAAGGGTGCGGACATTAAGATAATGTCAACTACTTGATAAATTGGTCAAAAATAGAGTTCTAACGATATGACAATGACCATCAAAATTTTGTGTGTTTGGGTAGATTATCAAGTAATGTCTATGGCATCAAAGGCTCTCATTAGACATAGGCTACCAAGTCATTCTCTAGATTTCCTTTTAAAAGTAAAATTAATTAAAAATAATAAAATAGAATTTTGGCGTGATGCATCAATGATGCGTCAAAATCTTAATCGTTCAGTGAGATTATTATGTAATGTCCACAACCTCAAAGATTCTCTATGCGAATAATCTCTAAATCTTCTAGTAAAGTCTAAAAATCAATTAAATAAGTCGACAAATTGTCCTCAACAGCTATCACCTGATAGAATGAAAAAATAATGACTTTATAGACCTCCAACAATTCTCACTTGATAAAAATAATCTTGATGAAGATGGGCTGCATCTTAAGAAGCTTCATATTCATGTTCACACAACAAGATGAGGTTCTTCATTTGCATTTAATATACTCTCAAGAGGTGGCGACTCATCTCCTAAGAAGATAATATAGAAAGTAGAGAAGAGAAGGCATGAAGTAAAATTTTTTAGTTGATACATTATTGATTCTAAAAAAAGATGATCTTTTTGTTCACAATCGTTTGACAAATTTAGTAACACTCTACAAATCATATTGACAAGATTTTTACCAATGATTGAGTAATTTTGGTGACTTAATCATTGATCTTTGTAAAAAAATTATGATTTAGTCAAATAAAAATATGAGTTTTAGTTTTAATGGATTCAAACCCTCACCCCTCACCTACTTATAAGAAAAAAAGTGACATAAGTACTCTAATATCCTTATCTAGTGACATCATAAGATATTTTTTTCTTATCATTAAGGGGTATTATAAACAAATAAATATTAACAACAACTGACGACGAATAGTGGCTGGATTTAGTCTCACATCAGCTATTTTCAGATGCTTGAGCCATATATAATAATATGACTTTATGCTTAGTACCTCTTTCTCACATTTGTATGACTACTCCCTGCCTCACACTTGATTGGCCACTAGTGACATAGAAAAGGAGTATTACATATGTGTCTCCTATTAGTCCCTACTTGATGGAGCTCCATGCTCATAGCTCTACCCGACTATACTTCCAACTTGCTTGCGGGTCCGATTGGTGATGGATCCCCTTTTTCTTTTATTTTTATTTTATCTTTATTTATCTCAAAAATAATATTATAAAAATTATATAAATTCACATAAAATCACATAATTAGTTAAAATTCACATTAACTAACTAAAAATCACTTTTCATAATTATAAAAAATATAAATATATTTATCATGAGTTAAGGTTAAAACTATATTATTAATTAATATTTAATTCATAAAAATAAATACTTATTAGTGAGTCACATTATTATCTAATAAATTTATCATTTAGTGCAAGTTTTATGAAAATGAGTTTGCCTTTTTAAATTCATTGATTCGAGTATTATTTTAAAGCATCTAATTATTGATGAGAGTTGAGGAAATTACTATTGTTAACTTCAACTAGTGTTACATACACCATTAAACAAGCTAGTGTCAATTTGGCTTCATTTTAATTCACACACAAAAAATATTATTATGCTTAAAGATTTCCATCATAAAGTACATATATAAGAGGTTCAGAGTGTGTTCTCTCTCTCTTCAATCTAACTCCATCTTACACTCACCTTAACCACTTGTAGTTATTGATAATGTATTATATTATGTGATAAGTAAGATAAAACCAAGGTAGTTGTTATATTATTATATTAAAATTAATCATTCTTTCATCATATTTTCAATTGGAAGCTTTTTATATTTTCAATGGATTATGACTATAAAAAATAGCATCTCTACCCTCTCTTTTTGCCCTTGTTCTCTCTACCCTCTCCTTTTTTGTCGTCATCCTCTCTACCCTCTCCCTCTCTGCCCTCATTCTCTTTACATTCTCCCTCTCTACCCTTGTCCTATCAGCCCTCTTCCTCTCTGTCCTCTCTCTTTCAGCCCTCTCCCTCTCTACCCTCATCCTCTCAACCATCATTATCTCTATCATTTCTCTCTCGGCCCTCTCCCTCTTTGTCCTCTCACTTTTTGCCCTTTCGTTCCATTTTCTTTGTGTTCTCCCACTTTATGCCCTCTTGCTCTATTCCCTCTCTACTCCCTTTGTTCTATCTCTCTCTCTCTCCTCTCCCTCCCATGCCATTGTCTTTTCTCTTTCTCCCCACTCTTTTTTCTCTTCTTACTTTCTCACTTTCTTCTTCTCTCACTATGTGTGTGTGTGTGCATTCTAGCCTTTTTCTTAGCTTTAATAAGACCCAACCCTTATAATCACCAAGGTGACAACTAGATGAATTGCAAGAGCACAAACCATAGAATTTGACAACCTCTACAACATACTGTCATCCCAAATATTAGAGGGGGACCTAAGTTTGTCTAGTTCTATCCCTCTTTTCCATTCATTCTCTTTTCTTCTCCTCTCTCCACTTCTCTGATCTTTGCTCAATTATTACATTCATGCATCTCACCTTTGTTAGTCTTGTGGCATAGTCGTATCTAGTGTTGAGTCTTTACTTTGTGCTCTAGTTTCTTTCTAACAATAGAGAGTTATGTATCTAGTTTGACTTTTGCAAGTTAGTACATTGAACTTGAGGAATAATTAAGGAGTAAGAGTTCATTGAAACAATCCTTGGAGCGCAAGTGAAACAATCTTAGAGTCCAACTGACCCTTGCAAGTCCATACTAAGTTATTGCAGATCATCACGTCGACATCAAAACCTCTACCCCTTCTTTTCTTATTTTATATTTTCTTGAATCAAAAAAACACTAATTGATGCATAACTCTTATCTCTTTTTGAAGATTGACCTAAATTCACTATACACTTGAGCTAAGTTTAGATATAAGTGAAATTCAGTTTTTACATATTTAAATTAGTTACCTTATGCATGATTGTTTCTCCCATGTTAGTTAGGTTTACCTTCATCTCACTATTTGTCACGACCCTTAGTGTCAATAGAGTTGATCTTGCATCAAGAAATTAGTTGTCATTATTGTCAACTTGTATATCTTAAACATATTGATTTTATATCTCTACATATACTCAAACTTAGAAACCAACTTTAAATTGAATAACTTGTACTTTTCAAACATAATTTCTATATCCAAAATGAGTGAAGCTAACGACTTCACATACTCCATTATTTTAGTACAACATAGCGCACATTTGATTACTCATATATTGTTTATTGGGAAGAATTTTTCCTCTAATTCCTTCACAAACTCGTCTTAGATGAAGATGAGGATTTTAATCTGATCTAGGGATCAAGTTCTCAACCATAATTTGATGTCCATTGTAAGATACATAATAACAAGTATGGTTTTCTACTCATCTGCCACGTACCTTACCTTGTAGTATTGACCAAGATTTTAAAAGAAATTATCAATTTCTTGAGCATTGAGATACTCCAGCAGTGCCTTGGGTTATAGAAGCTTGGTATGCCCCCATGAACATCCTACTATATAGTAATTGCCACATCTCTTATGAAGGCCTCCAATGACTCTCATAGACCAACAAAATCCATGTTTAGTCCTAGTTAGTTGCTGAATTGTGCAACGGACTATGTTGTTATCATGTAAGTCATCTAGTTATTCTTCAATGACTTAAAGATGATTCGGAACCTCTTCAGTAGCAGCAATAACATGCAAAAGTACCTTTCAACACAAGTCAACTTTTGTCGAATGGCTCTAGACTTCTTAGACATCATTGATTACTATGATACCAAATTCTCATATGGGCACACTTCCTAAGCATATGTTATTCACCCAACGTATGCTGTGACATCCAACTAACCTAATTATGAGAGATTTATACAAAAAAGATAAATAATTTTCACAAAAAATGATACACAAAATAAAGAGGAATAATATTTTATATAAAGTTGCGTAGGCCTTCAAGGTGTCGTAGTGTAACGTATTGCCCCATCAAATGTAGCTAATGATCTGATGTCTTGCTCCCTTGTCACGATCGTCCTCACATTTTCTATATTTGGTTGGTAATTGTCAGATCCCTTTGTCTTGTTCCGTCCTTACTGGGCCTAGTTTGTACGCGACGGACGGCGCAGACGTGCACGCAGCTCATGCAGTTGGTGTGGGGTCATCACACCTGGCCACACTGCTCTCGAGGCCACTGGCTCTGATTGGCTTAAACGCAGGACGAGAAGGATTCTAGACGGTGTTGTTACCTCCTTGGAAGTTGTCATCTTCTGCTCCCACGTGGCCTCGCGTTATCACGCCAACTATGACACGGAATCACCGGAGGCCACCCAGATTCCAGGCAGGCCCCACGGTAGATCGTTTCCACCTTTACGACGGCTCCCAATAAGACCCCGCCATTGCCCGCCACCAGTTCCTTGGAATTTCACAGCGGACCTCCTCTCCTCTCCTCTCCTCTCAGGCCCCTCTCCCCTCCCGGGGAGCGGAATTATCGAGGGGGAGGAAGTCTTTGCGGGAGATGGAGACGCTGTGCGCGAAATTGGAGCTGCCTCTGCGGAGCTTCAGCACCACCTCTTGTTCCTATTGCCGGCCGCCGAAGCTGAGGATTCCCTCGCCTAACCGGTGTTCACGGTTGAAACTGGCGATTCGGCAAGAGAAGAGATCGACGGAGGAGATTCCCTGGTCACCAGCGCTCGAAGGAGATGCTTCTGGTGGAAAGTTGATACGATCAATCATCAGCAGGAGCTTCTTCGGACTCGCTGCGGCCACGGGAGCCGCCGTCTTATTAAGTTGCAGCTCCCCGGCAATTGCCGAGTCTGTCACTGTTGCTTTTCCTGTTTCCAGAGTACGCGAGGTAAACATTTACGACCTGAACATTTCACCTCACCGTTTTACTTCAGGGATTTGTTTTTTCTTGTATATGCTGTGCACCTATTCATCGCTTGGTGAAAAAAATCCTTTTCCCAAACTAATTCGGCGTTCCTCTCTACGGTATTTCATCTTGTAGTACCTGAATTCATTTCAGTATCTTTGAATAAGGACGTGTTCTTTGGGTATCATTTACTGCCAGCGTCCTTGACGGATAGGTGATCAATATTGGAGCAGCATTTATATTTGATAAGTTTTTTCAAGTGATGGAAGTCTTTTTTCTTGTGTCCTTCGTTACTGTTGTTCAATAAGAATTCTTTTTACCGTTTAAATGGAATATGTATGATGTTCTTTTTTAGGTCAATACTGTCCAGAGGACTCTTGTTGAGGCATGGGGCTTGATTCGAGAGTCATTTGTGGACCCTACTTTTAATCACCAAGGTACAACAACCGTAAATGTTTTATTTCAAGATAGTGTGATGAGCAAACTCACAGTTTCCTATAATCGATATAATTATCTACCTTGAATCTGTGAGTGCCCTTTTTTCTCTTTTCCTTAGTTTATAATTTCAGTATACGATTATTGCGAATTATTTTGTAGGGTTACTAAAACTAGTAATATATGAACAATCGGATCATTTAAACTATAGCTTGGTAAGCAGCTTATCTCCATAATATATGGTTCAAAATACGTGTCTGACAGTGTTTTAGTAAATAGTAACCAGAGGTATCTCTTTGCCAATCCGATACATTGATGCGGAACACATTTATTCATAAGTCACATTTCAAAGCTATTCTCTCATTATTGAGCCCTTATATGAAGTTACATACTCAGAAGCCAATTAGCAACCTTTAATCCTTCTGATAGCATATGACTAGCCGTGAATTGAAATACGATGGGGCAAACGTTGGATGCGAAGCTGAGAGCTGGAAAATTTATTTCTAATATTGAAGCTGCCCGATGAATTTTTTATTTTTTTACGCGAAGTGCTTTCTGATTTTTTTCTTTTATATTCATGTGCATTTTCACAATAATGTATCTTACACAGACTGGGACATGAAGCTTCAGCAAACGATGGTGGAATTATTCTCTTTGAAGTCAGCTGATGCAGCGTATAGTAAAGTCAGTGGAATGCTTGCTACGCTTGGTGATCCATTTACTAGAATTATTAGCCCAAAGGTGAGTAATGTTAGGGACTACATAATTAAGTAAATTTACTAGTTTGTGCTCCCTTTTCATGGTGAAAGTTTGCCAACGATCATAGATGCCGGGAAGTAGACATTTATTTACGTTCCACGTTTGGTCATTTTGTATCAATCTACATTCGTAAACAAATGATTGGCTTTCGGTTTATTAGATCATCGTATTTTTAGAGTTTAAATAGGTTCTTGATAATACCTGTATGCTTCACATTCCGTTGATCAGGGTATCCTCAGTGCCATTATGTCCAATCCAGTTCCAAATAGGTTCCCGACTTATCAAGGGTGTCTGTCATACATTTCATTATATTTTATTTAAGCTTCTGTAAACCCATTCCTAATCATCTTCTGCATATGCAGGAATATCAAAGCTTCCGGATAGGCAGTGATGGAAATCTGCAGGGAGTTGGTCTCTTCATAAATGTCGAACCAAGCTCTGGTCACTTGGTTAGTGAAATATGCTTCCATTTCCATGCTATAAATTTCCTCTGAAATTTGTTCGAGCAATTTTAAATAATGAATAATGTTCGAGCCATTCTGTTTACATTTAACTGCAGTCTAATTATTCACTGCCTTTATAAAGTTTTAAGGGCTACGTATATCCGTCAATATTTGAGGTTCATACTCATTGAATCAATGAATATGGCAGAATTTAATGTTACCATTTTTTGTGCTCTGCTAATGTCAACTATTCGATGTGCTCACACATTAAATCGTGATGTTGCCCTAGATTGTCTTATCCTGTCTAGATGGAAGTCCAGCTTTCCGTGCTGGCATACAAGAGGGAGACGAATTGATTGAGATAGATGGTGAGTCAAGTAGGGACTTTCATAACTTTCTCTGTGTTGCTTTCTGATGAGCGGATATTTAATTCTGTAATTGAGGTTGTGCGTACATTGTCAACTGCTTTTTTCTGTGGTCTATAGCATATCATTCTCCAATTCCTCAAACTGTTGCGTTTCTGGATGGTGAGATGTTTTTTTTTTTCCATGTATATGGCTAAGTCTAGAACCACACTTTTGCATACGACCTTAATATTCTTCACAAGTGTTTTGGCTAAGTATAAAGGGGATGATCTCGCATATAGTATATTATCTTCTGGAAGTTATCTTCTCACCGTGTGGGCATCCCAACTCTTCACTATTTCCTATATAACTTATTGGGTACATCTTCGGTGGTAGATATTTAAAAGTAAATACTGAACAGATGATGTTCAACTTCGAAACTTAGTCGAATGGTTAAATAATCATAAGATGAGTTGCAAATCTGATCCCTAAAAGCTTGAGCTTTCAGTCTGATTCTAAAAGGATCCATAACTTGTTCTCAAAAAACATCATCAATCTTAATGAAACATGAAACCTGTGTGCGGTGAACTTTTCTTTCGAATTCAAGTTTCATCTTTTAAGGAATCAGTCCGAACTTGATACAATTCGTCTTCTATCTTCGCTATTCAGGTGAAACACTAATGGGTTTAGATGGAGCAGCTGCTGCCCAGAAGCTCCGAGGACGTGTAGGAACTACTGTGACAGTCAAATTTCACAGTGTAATGTACTCCATCCTTATACAAAAAAAAATTAGTGGCCATTTTACCTACTGCTGCAATTACATTTCCTTTATATATGATAGTATCCACGAATGTCAATGAAAAATTACCCTCCTCTCTGTGTCTGTCGACGTTATTCCACTCCTGTTGGCAAAGAAACTTCATGATCTTCATTTAGTTTTTCAATCTTATAAGTTGCATGTTCTGGCAAAATCTTGGAACTAGGCATATTCAGGCTTTAGATAGAACAAGTATCATCTCCCTTGTCCACATAGTCTAGAAAAGCCAAATAGAAAAAAGCTTCTAATATCCGTTTCTGTAGTTTCTGTCTAAATATGTGTTCCTGTTCAGGGAAGGGAATACGAAGCTGGCTCCGGTATCAGAGAGGTACTTCCCCATTACCTCTAGTAACAGATGAACAGAAAAATATTTAGACACTCTGGGTAGTGTAGCTAACAACAACAATATTACATTTCTGGCTCAAGGTCAAACTCTCTCGCGACGTTATCAAGATTTCACCCGTAACCACCACAATCCTCTTTCACGTCTCACCTGACGGGCGCGAATCCAAGATCGGCTACGTGAGGCTGTCGGCCTTCTCTCAGGTACCAGTCGATCTTCTGTGTCTTTTCCATTCCTAGCATCTCGCGGGGCGTTGGCTCCTCTGAAGCTCAGTTCACCTCTCCATTTGACCAGACCGCCGCGGCAGAGATGGAGAGTTCCATCCAGGCAATGGAGGATCAAGGCGTCCAGTCCTACATACTGGACCTACGCAACAATCCGGTGCGTAAATCCTACCCACTCGAGCCGACAACGAGATGCCCGTGCCAAGTAGCAGCTGTTCATCTGTTCTTCGACTATTCTTGCAGGGCGGCCTCGTCACCGCCGGCCTGGACGTGGCCCAGATCTGGTTAGACGGAGATGAGACTCTCGTCAACACCATCGACCGCGACGGAAACATGCTCCCCATCGACATGGTCAACGGCCACGCTTTGACCCACGACCCACTCGTCGTTCTTGTAGGTCCTCCCCCAGACTCTCCCCGGATTGCTATCTGCAGTCCTGACTCTCTATCTCTCTCTCTCTCTGCGTGCGGAACAGGTCAACGAGGGAAGCGCGAGCGCCAGTGAGATCCTGGCGGGCGCACTGCGCGACAACGGTCGCGCGCTCCTCGTGGGGAACAAGACCTTCGGCAAGGGAAAGATCCAGGTGAAGCCCCTCATAATTCCCTCATCCATATCTTCTTCTCCGAAGCTTTTCCGGCGAGTGATTCTGTCCGATACTCTCCAGAGCGTGACCGAACTGCACGATGGGTCCGCGCTGTTCATCACCGTCGCCAAGTACCTGTCCCCGTCGCTGCACGACATCGACCAGGTGGGGATCACACCGGACATCCAGTGCACGCCCGACGTGTTGACCGCGCCGCGGCCTCTCCCCGCCGGCGACCGGACCACGGCGGACACCCTGGAGTCTGACTCCTGCATCCTGATCGCCGAGCACGAGCTGGAGATGGAGCAGTCCGAGGGATCCGCTTCGTAAGCGCCGCAGGATTTAAATGACTGCGGCCTGCATGATTTTCGCCCCTCCCACCATATATATATAAATATATATATCATATGGTTCGTGGAGACCCCCTTGTCTATATATTTATGTATATCTTTCGTCGTTTATTTAGTAGAAATTAGTCTACAAAATTCAAATATATAGAAGAAATGAAAGTAGTATTGTCGGTGCTGTAGAATTTTCTGGATTTTACGATTTTACTATATATCCCACAAAAAAAGCAACCCTGGAGAAACTAAATATCCCTGATTATTATCTCTTTTAATATTTATATTATTTATTGATAAAAATTCGATTCCCACCCTTCACGGCATAAGGAAAATATCTTTTCTTATAATTTGAATAAAAAATACTTTTTTATATACTTGAAATTTGTGGATTTTGGAATTTATTTTAAAAGTTAATTTAGAGGATATCGGAAAATGTTCGTTTGTGCGGCGGGAGTGGAAGATGACAGAGGAGAAGAAGGGGCGTGATAGGGCACGTGACTATATAGTTTCAAGCACGCGCGCTCCTGAGATGGAGACCGAGAGGGGTAGGTTGTCAAAGGCAGTTGAATCAGAGACCGTGTTCGACATCTTCGAGGAGCACCACCCTCGGAGAGCTCTTGCAAACCCTAGAAGATAATCGGGAATTGCTCCGTCCCCTCGCCCAGCGTTGCGATTTCGAGGGCGCTTGCTCGCGTGCACGTCGTCACCCCACGGTGATGTCGAAAAAGTTAATGTTTTCCCCTCTCCCGGTGACGCCTCATGTAACTTGATTGCGTTTACCTGTGAGCTGAATCTCTGCGTTTTAATTGTTGTCTCTGATTCGTTTTAATTGACGACTAATGCGAACTTTTCTTCTCGGAAGATTGACCATCTTTTCCATTTTCTTGAGTTCCGTGATTCATCGGGCTCTGGATGGGTTGGGGGCTTGACGTAGGAACGTTAAATAATCTCAAGAATAGTGAGGATGCCTATTTCGTTTTACTTCTAGTTCACGGTCTTATGATGTCTAGCAGAGGAGGTGCACCAGAAGTGCCTAACTTTCTTGCAAATTTATCGTCACATTAGTTAGTCTTTATTCTACGCTTTTGATTATTCATTTGATGGAAGTCCTGACTGGGCTCTCACTGAAATAGGAATTCGGTGAATCTAGGCTCAAGCTGGGAGAATAATTTTGGTTGAATCAAATATTTGTTGTTCGATTATCGGCGGGCGTTCTGTTCGTGGCATTATTTGCTTCTTTTCCTTTTCGTTTTTAATTATTTTTATCTCTATTTATATCTGAGTTATTTTATGTTCTTGCTCGTACAGCACATTCCTCATCTCACTTTATGGGATGGACCGCTTGTCACACAGCTTAATCACATGAGAGCGCCTTAACCTTCTTTGTAGCGTCAAATAAATCTTTTTATTTTTCTGTGATGCGTATTTGGTATCCATAACCCATTCGAAGAAGATGTTTTCATCGAATTTCTTAATACGTCCGACATAAAATGGTTGATATCCTTGTAGTATCCAATGCTGAGATCTGGATTAAAAAAACATAAAAAAATTATTTCATATAGAGGGTCGATCGCTTTTGCAATAGAACTAGCTGACGGTCAATTGACGCCATGGTTGAATTTCACTGTCACAGCTTATGACTGTACAGCTGTCTGTAATTCAGATTTATGGGGTGTGCTTCTGTGAATATGGGCTAATGGTAGGCTCGGTAGAAAACATGTTAAAAACATCAACCACCGTGGGTATGACGAGGAGAGATCCAACATCGTCAGCCACTTTTATTGACTCTCAAGGTGAGGGGAACAGGCCCTCGCAGGTTCAGGGATATCTACAAGGACAGGCTTGGATGTTGCGTGGAGTTAAATTGTAGAATCCAGGGTAGACTGGCTAGGCACGGAGCAAAAATATCCACGTGAGAGATTCAAAGCAACTGTGTCTGATATGATGCAAGAGGATATGATGACCACGGCGACAGGGCTTCAGGGAGAGGGTCTCAAGTTATTTTGAAGGGGAAGATTTTCCCTGTGAGAGTGCTGTGTCATGATAAACTCTTCCCCTATCTAACCTCCTCTCCCCTTCATAGGGGTAGGTTTGGTGTAGACCATAGAAGCCAGTGTGCATTGGGCGGGAGTAATCATGGAAGATAGGGGTCGTTTATGGAGGAGGAGAATACAGAACTGGGTTGGAGGGGAGGTAGAGGGGATCAGTGGGCTTTGTGTGAAGCAGTGGGGATCAGATATGTTTTTCATAGGATTACGTCTAACTGGGATAATTCAGAACTTTGTCTGAGTGAAAAGAGTTTATATGGTGGGGCTATACTATTTCCCCAATGCCGTAGGCTGTGAGGTCTTCCTGGGAATGTTGCCCAAAGGACATAATATCTCACCTCGCAGATAATGTCAGACTCACTAATTTATCATGAAGAATATGCCGCTCTTGCTGCTTTACAATCAGCCAATTTTATATCCATTGTTCTTAGAGGTGGTTGTCACAGAAGTTACTGGAAATATCCTTCTGAGAAGCCATGCTAGTTGGACAGAAGGGCCTCTAGTTTGCTTCTACAACTCTCCTTTTGAAGCCATTGCGTTCTTCTCTCTATCTGACCAGAACCTGCCCGTCCGTTTACTGTCAAAAAACTCATGTATAACTATGTGAGGGACTTTAATCAAGTATTAGGCTACCTGATCATCAAAGCTCTTCGTTGAAGTCATATCTGACTTTGTTCCATTCTTTTTTCAAACCAAGAAACATAGAGGAACTTTTTAAAAAAATTGATAAGAGTTTCTGTTCAAGTGAGATGTCACTTTGTGCATTTACCTTGTGATTTGGAACGGTACAAATGTTTGGAAAATTTTATTAAAGGAACCTACTGATTGTACGCATCTGATTTTCTTTGTGCTATGAATGTAATTTTCTTTGTACATATTATTGATCTTCTTGTCTTGTTGTCTATTTGGGTCGAGCCATTCAATATGTGGACTGCCTCTCTGTTCATTTCCAGATTATTGATCATTTTTTACTCTCCTGACCTATCCAGAGTCCTCTGTAAGTTCTTTGCACATGGAGCATGTTTGAAGGGGGATAATTGTGAATTTTCACACGACTGGAAACAACCAGCCAATAACGTAAGAAAATCAAAAAATCAATCTGCTTGCTATCTTACCCGTGTTTGTTATTTTCTCTTTAGTGGAATCAATGATCAATCTTATGGTAGCAATTTCTTCTTCTTTTTTCTTTTTTTTTCCCTTGTCAGATTTGCACTTTTTATCAAAAAGGTGCTTGCTCCTATGGTAGTAGATGCAGATATGACCATGTTAAAGCCCCTCGTCAGGCTCCTGTTTCATTGTCACCGAATTCCTCCTTTCGGACTGGACATCCGAATAGGACTCCTCTGGGTAAAGAGCCAGCTGCCACACAGAATCACCTTTCAGGCTCTGCTTCATCCAGCAGATCTCTTACCTCTGTTACGAAACCAGTGTGGGCCCTAGAAGCCCACACATCTAGTTTTTCAAGAAATGAGAATAGACCCCATATTGTGGCTGTTGATCCAACGGAAAAGCCCATATGCTCATTTGCAGCTGCTGGTTACTGTCCCCATGGTGACAAGTGTCCTCACATTCATGGCGATTTGTGTTACATCTGTGGGAAGAATTGCTTGCATCCATATCGTCCAGATGAAAGAGAGGAACACATGAGAATGTGTCAACAAAATAGCAAACACCTTGAAGCATTGAGGCACAGCCAAGAGATAGAATGCAGCGTGTGCTTGGAACGCGTTCTGTCTAAGCCAGCGCCTTCTGAGAGGAAGTTTGGGCTGCTCTCCGAATGTGACCATCCATTCTGTGTTTCATGCATCCGAAATTGGCGCAGCAGTTCTCCATCATCCGGCATGGACGTCAACAGTGCATTACGAGCTTGCCCAATATGCAGAAAACTCTCATATTTTGTGGTTCCCAGTGTCATCTGGTACTCATGCAAGGAGGAGAAACAGGAGATAGTCGATGGTTACAAAGACAAGCTCAGGTACTTCGCTGTACTCTACTCTGTGGAGATACTTTTCTTCTATTCCTTTCCTTTCTTGCTGCTATGATGTGTACAAACTGGGAATCTTTTCTCGCTGATAGGCAGTTAAATCCATTTAACTACACATCCACACCTTGCTATAAATAGGTACATCACTTATGCTGTTGTGTGCTTTATTGGATAGGTCGATTGATTGCAAGTACTTTGACTTTGGAAACGGGTCATGCCCCTTTGGAACCAGTTGTTTCTACAAGGTACGCCCGTTTCTTGAGAACCGATTGTTCTTTTGTTCTTCATATCCATGATACCTTCTTAATTCTTGCCCGAACCTCATGTCAGCATGCATACCGTGATGGGAGTCTAGAAGAAGTGGTGCTGCGGCACCTGGACACCGATGATGGAAAGACGATGATAGCCAAGGATATTAGGTTTGGATCGGCCTTTCTCTTAGACAAAACTGCTACATTTATCCCATCTTGTCTAAAACAGATCACTTGTGCTGTCAGGCTCTCGGAATTCTTCAGTGGGATGCACCTCTAGGTAAAACAGCTCACGCGTTCTTGAACTATGAGTTCAAGAATTATTGTTCTTGGTCCCAATCCATCTCTCTCTCTCTCTCTCTCTCTCTCTCTCTCTCTCTCTCTCTCTCTCTCTCTCTCTCTCTCTCTCTCTCTCTCTCTCTCTTTCAATCATTCTCTAAGCTCTCTTCCCTTTGTTGCGCATTGACCAATAGGTATGTTGCGCATTTTAATCGATATAATTGACAAAGAAAAAAATTAGATAAAGCCAAGAATTGTCTGAACAAAGTAGATCATTTGGATGTAGAACATGGGGAGATTTAGACTTTTTCAAGAAAGGTAAAAATTAATCGAGCTCTAAGATAGTTGTCATATTGACTTGGGTGTGTTGACTACCTTCATTTTGGCAATCAACTTAAACTCTCTATAATATGTAATCATGTGGTATGATAACATATGATTTGCATCAATTTCTCTTAGGTTTTATTTACTTTTTTATATATTTTTTATTTTATAATTTTTTGTCTCATAAATCACAATGCAATCAACAAGTCATGCATATAAACCTTACAACCTAGACTGCAAAATAAATTATAATTATGAGAAAAAAGAAAATTAAAACAAAGAAGTTGATGAAAATAAAGAGCTCATGAATTAATCAAAGAAATAGATGTTGTAAAATTATAGGGTAAAATTAATATATTTGATTATGATGAAGAGACTACTCAAGTTAGTAGTTAATGAAGAATTAGTAGTTAATTTTTGTTACAATGATATAAGAACACTTAATATTAGATAAACCCAAATGTCTTAGAGTTCTTATTAATCATGTCATTATAATTATAAAAGTTACATAACTTCTAGTAGTCAAAACCCTTTTTGATGTTAATAACATGATTAATAAGAACTTCAAGGCAATTGAGTTTACTTGATCGTAAGTGTTCTTGTATCATCATGATAGAAGTCAATTATTGATTCTTGATTGATTGTTGACTTGAGTAGTCTCTTTGTCATAATCAAGTAAATTAATTTTACCTTGTAACCTTGTATCATCTGTTTCCTTAGTTTATTCATGAACTCTTTATTTCTGTCAATAATTAATGTTTTTTTTATTTTTTTATTTTTTTCATAATTATAATTTATTTTACGGTCCTAATTGCAGGGTTTATATACATGGCTTGTTGATTGCACTTTATTTTATGAGAGATAAAATTATGAAATAGAAAAAAAAAGTCAAATAAAACTTAAGAGAAATTAATTTAAATCATGTGTTATCATATCACATCATTACATATTGTGAAGAGTTTGAGCTGATTGTCAAAATGAGGGCAACAGTCAACACCTCCAAGTCAATCTTGCAACTATCTCAGAGCTCGATCAGTTTTTTGCCTTTCTTGGAAACCTATGGATCTCCTTACGTTCTACATCCAAATGGTTTTGCTTTGTTTGATCAATTCATGGCTTTTATATTTATTTTTTTCTTCATCAATTATATCGATTAAAATGATAGAAAATGATCGATGTGGAGTTGATAAACCTTTAAAAAATATTTATGTAAAGTCAACCGTGGTCAATGATATGAGAAACCCACTTTGGACTCTTGTCTGATAGTCGCACACTTCGGAATGAATGCCGGACAGGAATGAACAGCATGGAAATGGTGACTTTCATTTGAAAACAGAAGAGTTTGCATGCCTGGAAATGGTCAACAAAAAGCAATAACATGGCGGGAAATTAAAAAAGGAAGGTTCCAACGAGCATATTATGATCAGGAGATTGGGTCAATAATAATAATAATAAACTAAGATGTTAGAAATCAGAAGAGCTTGCATGGTTGGAAATGGTCAAGAAAAGATATGTGAAAAGGGAAGCATGATAATCAGTAGATAAAACGATATGTTAATTTTTTTAAGAGAATCAAATTAAGCATATTACGTTATTTATTGAGGTCTAGATGTCGCAGGAGGCTGTTAATTAGTGATTTAAGAATGCTGGAAGCTTCAGTGGGAGCAAACACTGGTGATGGAATAATGGGCGAAAACAACTGGCAGATGTAATTCGAACCAACCAGAGAGAGGCCTCATCAGATTAAACCCTATACTGTATGAGGAGAGTGAGTGCTATAAAACAGAGGGCCAAGCGCCCCCCGTATGAGATTATGAGAGATGAAAGGGAAATAAATGCGCCATCCTCAGCCTAGATCTGGTAAAAAGATCATCCCTTTCAATCTACGAAGTTCTAAATTCTATGGCTGGTGTGCATGGAATCCAGAGGCTGAGGCCATCATTACCCGTAAAAATCATTATATATATATATATATATATGGTTCATCCCAGGAAAGTATATGATACTGGAGCGCAATTTGATGCCGGCTGCCACCGATGGAACTAACATGAGAAGCATAAAAATATGATCTTGGAGTACAATCTGGATGTCTCCTCATTGTGCTGCAAAATATCAGCTGGAGAATCGATGGGATTCCAAGGATGAATCCCCAAAGAGCTGTAAATCGATTATTATCGGGATCAAAATCTGTGGATCGGGTCTCAACCCTGCTCCATCTCGGCAGCCTCTCTGGCCGCATCAGCCTCGATCTTCTTCTTGTTCCGCTCGAGCGCGGCGGCCACCTCCTTGGGCATGTACTTCTCGTCGTGCTTCGCGAGGACCTCCGTCGCCTTGAAGAAGCAGACCCCGTTTCTGGCCTTCTCCGACACGGTCGAAGCCCTCGTCGCGCCCTCCCTGTCCGCCTTCCCCTCTCCGTCCGCCTCGAACCGCTTCAGGAAACCTTCGACGACGGCGGAATGCCCCTCGCGGAACAGATCGGGCAGCGAGCCCTCGAACCGGACGAGGATATCCGTCACGAGATCGGTGATCACGAACTCCATCTCCGGCGAGGACGCCGACGGGTGCACGACGCTGCCCTCCACGACGAGACCCCCCAGCCGGAAGCGGTTCTTAGAGGGGTTGGAGACGAATTTCTCGATGGCTTCGCTGGGGGTGATGTAGAAGACCAACTGATCCTGGAAATTGTTCAGCACGATGATGATGAATCCCGCGACGCAGCTGAAGGTGAGGGCGTACGTCCATAGCCGCCGGTTCTGGAGCTGGCGCGCTCGTGCTGCGATGTCCACGGCCTTCGGCCGCGCCGGCTGGCGGCGGAGAGAGGAGAGGTATCGGGGGAAGATGCCCCCGCCTGGTCGGGCGCCGGGAACCGGCGATGCGGCGGCAAGGTAGAGTGGAGATGTAGGCGAGGTCCCCGGACGGAGAACGGCGGTGCGCAGGGCGGCGGCGAGGCGAGGGCCAAAGCGGCCGATAACCCTGCCGGCCATGGGCAACCAATCCAGCGAGCCGTGATCGGGGATGGTTTCTGAAGCTGAGATCCGCAGCCTTATTTGCACCAATTTCTGAGTTGTGGTTCAGTAGATTCAGTCCATTGGGCCCTAGAAGCCCTGCCGGCCATGGGCAATCAATCCAGCGAGCCGTGATCGGGCGCAAAAGCTGGGCAAATTAGGGTTTCTGAAACTGAGATCCGCAGGCTTATTTGACGTCTCGGAACGGAGGCGCTCGTGTCTGAACTCAGTACCCGCCGGCCGTTCATTCCTGTCTGGCGTTGACCAGATGGACCCAAGAACGGCAAATGGAATTCAAGGAAGCATTCTTGGGTCCATTTGGTCAACTCCGGACAGGAATCTTGGGTCCATGTGGTCAACGCCGGACAGGAAAATCGAAAAAATCAATCTGCTTGGTATCTTGCCCGTGCTTGTTATTTTCTCTTTGGTGGAATCAACGATCACTCTTACGGTAGCAATTTCTTATGACGCCGTGGTTGAATTTCACTGTCACAGCCTATGACTGCACAGCCGTCCGTAATTCAGATTTATGGGGCGTGCTTCTGTGAACATGGGCTAATGGTAGGCTCGGTAGAAAACATGTTAAAAACATCAACCACAGTGGGTAATGACGAGGAGAGATCCAACATCGTCAGCCACTTTGATTGACTCTCAAGGTGAGGGGAACAGGCCATCGCAGGTTCAGGGATATCTACGAGAGAGACTTGCCAGGCACGGAGCAAAAATATCCACGTGAGAGATTCAAAGCAACTGTGTCTGATATGATGCAAGAGGATATGATGACCAAGGCGACAGGGCTTCAGGGAGAGGGTCGCAAGTTATTTTGAAGGGGAAGATTTTCCCTGTGAGATTGCTGTGTCATGATAAACTCTTCCCCTATCTAACCTCCTCTCCCCTTCATAGGGGTAGGTTTGGTGTAGACCATAGAAGCCAGTGTGCATTGAACGGGAGTAATCATGGAAGATAGGGGTCGTTTATGGAGGAGGAGAACACAGAACTGGGTTGGAGAGGAGGTAGAGGGGATCAGTGGGCTTTGTGTGAAGCAGTGGGGATCAGATATGTTTTTCATAGTCTGTGAGGTCTTCTTGGGAATGTTGCCCAAAGGAAATAATATCTCACCTCGCAGATAATGTCAGACTCACTAATTTATCATGAAGAATATGTCGCTCTTGCTGCTTTACAATCAATCAACTTAATAATATCTAGAATTTTCCAAGTCGATCAAAGATGGATGTAATCTAATATCAGGTAATATTTCAGAATTTTTTGCAAAGGATATGATTTTTTTATGAATTTTAGATTAAGAAATAAAGATAAAATATATTTAAAATTCATGAAAAAGAGAGATAATGGTGTGGGCGTCAAGATGATGTCAGCGCCTCGAGGAACGTGATTCGGGTGAAAATAGAGTTCCGCCTAATAATTTTTACGTAAGGGATTACAGACGATTTAATAGGTCAAATTCAAATCTATAAAAACCAGAAGAATCGTAATTATATCAAGAATATTTTAGTGACTTGAAATCATATAGAGTATCACTAAATTAAGTGAAAATTAAGTTGAAAGCAAGAAAGTCAGAGTTCTGGTGTCGCGACAGTAATGAAAATTCTGTATGTTCAAGAGGAATATCGTGCAATATTGATGGCCTTGGAAAGTCGTCGAGACGATTCAACGACCCACTACGTTGATTTCTAATCGTCTACATCCAAAGAGATTGCTCACGTCGTCTGCATCCAAAGACAGCATTGGGGAAATAGTATAGCCCCACCATATAAACTCTTTTCACTCAGACAACCGTATCTAGCATTGGAGCTAGATACGGTTGTTGCATTAAAGACGAACAAAATAGATTATCCAATTGTAAAATATTAACCCTAACAGCCAAAATCCGATCTGTGTTTCTATAAGCCATTTGAATGCTTTATTAGTCCAGTATACGGCCATTTGAGTGATCGATTGGTACACTGACGAACCCGCATAGATATGTCTTGTTCAACATCTCGTTTTAAGATCGGGTGAACCTAAGTCTAAAAACTGACCGCTGCAAAATAAGGACGCCAGAAATTTGAAATGCACTTACCTCTTTTCAAAACAATTGTCTCATCCTGCAACTTGTTGGTCTGATTCTCGAGCAGCTTCACAGCCTGCCGGAGGGCGTTCCTCTTCTCCTCCAACTTCACGTACCTCTTCCTCAGATGTTAGCACCCGCAAACGCCCAACCAAAACGAAATCATCACACAAAAAGCAAAAAACGACCCAACCTGAATCGAAATCACGAAAATGACAAGAAAAAGTATCCATCACATTGCCTACCTCTGCGCAGCAAGAATTGGCCGGTTGCGGATCTATTACCACGTCCGCCGCCATACCAGTCGGAGGGAAAGGCAACAGGGCGGAATTTTCGCAGACGCCAACGCGACGATCAAGCTGGCGGCGGAGACAAGGGCTGCTGTGGCCCTGCGGCGGCCGGCGCAGATTGCAGATGAGTGGGTCGGTGCCACCAAAACCCTCCGAAAACCAAGCTGCAGCGCATTTTTTAGCCGTCCGGCGCACGCCCACCGGCCCGACCGGAGACGCTGCCCACGTGCCTCATCACGTGTGACGGTTTGATTTTTCCTGGACTAAAAAATATATTCTTCAACGAATAATTCTTGAATGGCCCCGGCCCGCATATTAGCACATTCCGGCCCGAAGGCCCGTTATCCGACCCCGAAGCCTTTTCCTTGGCCCCAGGCTTATACGGGGAAGACCCGATGGGTACAATTTAATGGATCTTTTAATAAAATAAAAATTAAATGGGAAATACCTGACTGGATAATAAAATTGAATCATACCCTCAGGGATCACATTCTTCTGGTAAAACAGCATGCATTTTAAATGGTTATATCCACAATTTATCATGCGAGAGGGGTCCCGTAGGAACTCCTAATTTTCTTATTTATAATTATTATTATTTAGTAATAATAATAATTATTATTCGTGATTATCTCTTTCTTCATCAAAATTAAGGCCGAACAATAAAAAAAAGCTGCCTCATTAATTTGCTTGCGACCAAAAGTCAAAAGTCTCTTTCAAACTCATTGGCACTGACATTGCTCCCTCTTAAATAGGCGTAATTTTGGTACCTTTTTTAGAATGATGCAATTATTAAAATATATCAACGCATTTAAATATTATTATTATTATTATTATTATTATTATTATTATCTTAGAAGAAAGGTCTTATTAGGACGTGACTTTTAGGTTAAAATAATTATTATAAAATAGATATGGCCCTTTCCTCCGTTTATATTACTTGGCAGAGGAGAAGGCTGTGTGAAGAGAGTGGGCAACGGTTGGCGGGAGGTGGCGATCGATCCCTCCGAGAGCTCTGTGGCTGCTGCGAGGAGCTAGCGATGGGCGATGAGGCGGAAGACCGCCACCACATCAAGGAGGAGGAAATCATGGAGATCAGATCCCTGCGCCGCATCATCAGTGCGTACCTCAAGTGAGTCGGAGACCTGCCCCACCTTTTCCTTGCTTCCATCCCGATTTCCCTTCCCTTCACTCCTTTGTTGTGGTTCCACCGCTGCTGCTGTGAGTCTTCGTTCTTGTTACTCCAGGAGGATGGAGTCGTGGTTATTTGGCATATGGAATTGTTTCTCCTTGGTAATTGGTCATTATTATGGTTGAGGAGGGGATGGCCGTCGGCGTGTTAGAATTTTTCGATACGGTAGTGTATGTGGAATGGAGATGAAGCGAGTATCATAATGGAGGCAAGTGTTTGTTTATGATCGTGGTTCCACTCATTCGGCGTCTACATATGTTAACTTTATGCAAACAAAACTAATGTCTTGGTAGGAGGAATTGTCGTCTTGAGCTGATTGTAAGGAACTGTTATGTAACTAGTACTTTAATATATTGAATCGAAAGCGTCACTCTGACCAGTGTACTTGTCATGGTTTTTTTTTATTGAGTAACAAAATAGATCGTAGTTGACTGAAGATAAAACAGATTTAGAGCAAAAAAATTCGGTACGGGTGTTAATGACACATCGTGGAAGGCATAGTGAATGAGCATCCGAATAGGTGATTTTCTTATGTGAACGTTGCTGTATCATAGTGCTCTGAACGCATTATGGATTCTTATAATAACGGTATTGAGGAGATAGATGCACATGAATGACTAGATTCTTACAAGTAGTTCCGAAATCTACTTATATCTATCCCATGAAGAATTAACGGATGAGAGAAGCCAAAGGATAAGGCCTACCAGCATTCTAGTCCATGCAGCTTGCTTGACCCTGGGAGAAAAATTGAATTTAAAGGTCAGAGAGCTCGAGTTACATAGCTGATGTTGTGGGCTGCTTGATCATGTTCCAAGCTATCAGAGCGCAAGCACATGGTACTGCTGTAGCTGAAGTTGGTGAATTAGTAGCAATGGGTTTGGCTTCTGGTTGTTGAGTATACAATACAATCAACCCGTCCTTTGACCCAAAATGGTTCAGTTTTACACAGAGATGGCCATCAGCTGTGGGTTTGGTTGGCCCAGTTCTTGCTCCAGGAAGTGATACCATCGTTCTTCATCCATCCGCTCAGAATGTAAGAAGATGGGTATGGTCTTTCCTGACGCTCCTTTTCCATAAGTATGAAGGGAAAAGGATGGATTTTGGGTTGTCCATTTTCTCTGTCCCAAGATTGCATTCCATTATCTTTACGCTGTTATATCTTGATGTTTTCTTTAGGATTAAAACTTGGAGATCGTACGAGGGTTATTTGTTTGGTAATTTATCAGTGAGTGGGCAAATCAGCATATTGCTGAATTGCTGGACTTTAGACTCTTTATTTAGCACTACAGTATCATGCAAGCGTGCTTATTCACGAATGAGAAAACGCTAGTGTCGTTTTCAGTGAGCAAGTCTTCAGGGAATAAAATGGAGTGTTCAATCAGTCTCACATAAGAGGAAAAATGAATTGCACGGGTGAAAATCATCCTAATAGATTATTTGTTCATAATTTCTTAGTGAGGATTTACTATCAGCTGGTCTTATATACTTGTCACCTGTTTGCTATTTATGAATTATAATCCAGCTTCTATGGAAAGGGAATGGCACTCCATTGTTGCTTTTGCATATCTAAAGTCATATTTTGTATCGTGCCACATTTTCTTGTGTTCTCATTTTTACGTAGGATTGACTTTTTAGATGTTTTTTTAATTGTGTATGTCATCCCCAATGTCCGAAACTTCATTTGATTTGATTTGATTTGATTTGGCATTTTGTCAGTAATTCAGACTGAGGATATTTTCCTGCCTGGTCACTGTATTTTATATCATACGTTGTATTATTTTTCATTTTTCCTTTTATCATGTGCGTGAGAATATGTAATCATTAGAATAGTTTTAATATAGGAATTACCTTTTGCCCATTGTACCAAATTTTTGATTTATACGATAATTCAGTTGTGAAATTTTAGTGGGAATGTGTTGATTCTCAAACATTCCCTGTTTTTTTTTAATATTTTTCAGTTATTCAGATGCTGCTGAGGCGGATGTTAAAAGATACGAAAGTTCCTTTAAGAAGCTCTCATGTTCACACAAGGTATCTTGATTCTTGGATTTTTTTATTTCTGTTTTACTTATGTGCCACTTTCGTGCCTATAATGATCAACTAGTTGGAAAATAGGTCTATGTGAAGGAATATATGTTAGTATGTTAGTTGCCACTTATCATTCATGTTGTGGCTGTGGGTATAAGAATTCTGTAGGAATTTATTTTATTATTTTAGATGAAGGATAACATCGTATTGCAATAGTAATATATTTTTTGTACTTTTGCAGGCACTTCTTTCTCATTTACCTTCAAAATTTCAGAAACTTAGGCGGTAGGTAATCCTTGTGTACATTTGAGGGCAAACTGAGCTTGAGATATCAAGGAAGACTGGAAGAATCTTCTTACATTTTAGTGCTCTGGTGTTCGTTCTTTGCCTTTTTTTTTTTTCCTCTTCAAATAGTATTATGCATAAGCATTAATTCTTTGTGGCAAATGAATTGACTTCTAATTTTGTGGTTGATTGTGATGATTGCTTTGGATTAGGTCTTGGACTTGAGATATCTTTATATAAAACACAGTTGTTAGAAGACTGACCCCCTCTCTAGGAAAGGAGAAGAGGACATGTAATCTTTCCAATTTTGACATGTTTCCTGTGGAGCTGGTATACGTTCTTAGACAAGAGTAAAAAAAAAAAATATGTTGAACGACATCTTTTGTTATGATGTCCTATTGACACAGGTATAGGATGATTTTTTTTTGTTAAAGTGGCATCACTTTAGTTTGGTGGTCTTACCATCTGACGACTGTGTGCCTAAGGGAAGCATGGACTTCTAGACACGCCTCCACTCCACTTAAATCATTTTATTCTGTAGATCTACTTTTTAACTCACTAATTTGTTAGACATCACCAATCTCCTTGAAATAATGATGAGAATTTATGTCTTTCTTTCTCTCTTAGTTATTCTAATGACAAAGAGCGATTTTTTGACCATTTAAGATGAGCATAATCATTCCTCTGCGTTTGAGTGAGGATTCCTGCTGCAGTACTTGTTTTCTGGGTTTTCTTTTCATCATATAATACTCTTTTTGCAGTTTCCGGTAGGTATTTAGAGCAACAAATCTTTAAAAAGTTTATGTGCTAGGTGATCTTGTTTCAAACATTAACTCATAATGATGGTTCCTGAGCAGTATGAGTTCGCTTGGAATTATCTTTTATTTATCTAAGGTTTACTTCAGTTTATGTACTTCTGAACCAAGCTGTTGTTTTTAGAGCATCTTGGTCAAAAACGTTTTCTTTGAAGTGCAAGCGTCTTTTCATTCACAACAGATCCTTACAACCTTTTGTGATGCAAGATAATGCTTTCAGGCTGATTCTAGGCTCTACTATGTGGGCGTATTTTTAAACATTGAGCAGCTGGAACACATCTCTAGTCGCTAAATGAAGGGAGATTGGCACAGGGAAAGGGATATGTAAGGAGATAGCTAGATGAAAAGGAAAAAAAAAAGAGAGTGAGAGACAATACTTTGGCAAACTGCTGGCAGCATCCTCCTGATGTTGGTAGGCGTTTGGTGAACATAAGTTGCTTGTGAAGATAGATAGTCAATGAAGGGGGGGGAATAAGATTTAAGGATGGGGCCTATGACTTTGTTGGAGGATTGGAGTGCAATATATGGGTATGGAACTGAGCTGATGAACGTTGGCATTCAATGAGAGAACGGAGAGCTTAGCAGGCGGGCTTACAAGGAGGATTTAGTGATCCAAAGGATTTTGGAGGTGGAAATAGTTGAGTGTAGTGAGAAGGTTTGGTGGCCTGGACTGCTTTGGTGGGTTATGGGCTGTCTTTTGGGAGGCGTTAGAAGCTGTGCCAGTGCCTTGCAAGAGAAGAATGCTGGGACGAGCCACCTAAGTACACAAGTTACTTGGGAATGTCGAACTGATATATGTGTCCTTTGTTTTAAACTCAAGGGAGGTAGTGACACACTCATGCTGCAAAAACTGATCGGACTTCTGGAGTAAGAAATCATGGAACTGATGAGAAATCAAACTCCTGACTTGAAAAAAATGATGAAATTTCATAATTCTCACGGAGAAAACATTGTACTATAACTCCCTTAATGATTATGACTCATGTGATCATATAGAAAGATTTTATGAGTAAAATCGTGTGTAGTTTGGTACTAAGTTTGTTGTGCACTTTTTGACATTCTCAAGTATTTTACAAGTGCCATATATGTGCTTTAGGCATAGTGAACATTGGGGAGGGAGCTCTTTCTCGGAAGATGTTATATTTGCACGAGTGGGATTATGAAAAATAAATAGCTGGGTAGTTTTTTAAGAAACTTCATCCTAGATACCTTCGGCTTCTGTTTCCATTACATCTATGAGCCATATGATAGGATCATACGGTTCTTCCATGACTCTGCTTCCTTCTCTTCCTTCTGCTTCTGTTTCCATTACATCTCTGTGCTATATGATCGCATGATATGGTACTTAGGTTCCCCTTTCTTCATCTTCTCGTTGGTTGCTCCTTAGAAGTTGTACAATTTATTTTATGCAGAGTTATATGCCATGCAATGTCACTTATAACCATTTGGTGACTTCTGTGGCATCATTTTGCAGGTGTATATCTATCAATGGCAATTTCATCATCAATATGATACAGGTGATCATCCTTCACTTATCAGTTTCTGAGTTGGCACTACGTTTTCTTACTTGATTTACCCTCTGTAACATGGAATGACGGTAATTTGTTGATTTATTTTTTGCAGGCATTTGATCCACCCGTGGACATGAGCCAGGATATCGATTTTGATGAGCCTGAAAATAGAGAAAACGTAAATAGAGATGATACCTTGGAAATAACATCTGACGTTGAGAAGAATATTCAATCTGTCCAGTGGTCAACCAGGGAATGCAACTCTGTCTCTGGAAAGGAGCAGTCAACTTTTGTGGAAAGCTACAGGATGGCTGGTAGCTCTAATAACATAGATGACCATAGTGAGGTTGTTAACTGAGCTCATTGGAACTTATAAAATATTCCATAGAGCAGGTCATAGTATTTGTTATGAACAATATGGTAAAGGGTTATAAATGGGTTCTATGAATTCACTTTAATTTCAATAAGATGTTTTTCTTTGATAATGGATGAAAAATTCTCTGGAACCTTTTATGGATAAGACCATGTCTTCTCAGCATCTAGTACAACAGTTGTCCGTTGGTTTCACTGTTCAGATTGACAATATAGCTGGGCATTGCATTGATGCAATAGGAGATGAAAATTTAAGTTCTGGAAAAATGTGCCTACTCGCGTTTGATCTGATGTCATACAAGTAACCCGTTCAGAATTCTCATTGCAAGTTTTAGATGCGGCATGAAAATTCATGCTTCAGTGAGTTAATCATTGGATGAATCATGTAGGGTAATTTTGATTGACCTAGATTTTTGGGTTATATTCTTTTTGCCTTCGGAAAACTTCTTTTATCTTTCTTGTGATCTGTTCATGTAACCTAGATTTGAGGCTATTAGTGGCAAAGTAGGTGCTTTTTGCTTCCTCTAGTGGAATCGTCATATGATTTTTGTGACATATCTGGTACTGTTTGTTCTCTGAGGTTGACATTTACGATCATACGTACTATGCCTTTCCTTGTGCCTTTGTAGCTTTGAAACTTTCGGTGGCCAAAGTCAACCACGGGTCACAGTTTGATGTACGTCCTTAAGCTTGCCATATTTTTGACACTTTATACTTTTTCTGTCTTCTAGGCGATCCCTTCTCCAGATATGTGCAATGATTCTTCACTTTCGTTGAATGTGCCTTTGGTTGATGTTGATAAGGTACATCATCTTATTTATGTTATGCTTCTTTACACCATATGACTTGATGCTATTTATTGTATTGGTTTTTTAGCTTAATGTGTTCAACAAGCCTCCGGGGTACAGTCTAAGTGTGTTAGAACAAAGTTTCTAATTTCATGGAAGATCCGTTTTTCCTTTAAATATTGTCTATGCTATGTTTATTTGAATCTGTGCTGGATGGAAAAGGTAAAGAGCATGACACAGGATTTGGAGCTCAAGGCTCTTGGGTGCAAAGATGCCGTCTTTTATGCAGTTTCTTGTTTTCTCCTTTCTTCCCTTGGTGATCTGACACTAGAGAGATTAATGGAGACATCAACATATAGGAATTTGAGTAAGAAATTTATATTTGATACGGGACCAATTCGGAAAATCAAATTATCTCTTTGAATTGAGGTGTATCAAATTAGGGTTTGTAAAAAAAGAGGCTTTAAGACTTTCAAAGTGGTATCTTAAGTCTCTATGTCTAATTCCTGTAACTAAGGAAAGTTTGGATCATTTTAATTATCTTAATTAGGGTTATTCCTTTAATGAATCAGGGAAGACTTATTTCGGAGGAATGTATCACCGAACTTTGGGATTTAGTGGCTATCCTATGGATACTCACTTCTAAAGTAAGGGAGTTATAAAATTTGATCAATCACCATAATAATTTAGAAGTAAAGGTACCTTGTTACAAGACTTAAAAACTCTTGATGATTCTTTAAGTAGTTGGTTTGATCCTTTTTAGGAGTTTCACGCTTTTGAGTAAAAGATGAATGAAGAAAATAAAAAGAAGAAAAAAATAAAGAAGAAGACTGTCCTAAATTCGAAGAGGATGAAAAGAAGGAATTCAGTAGACAATGGAGAAGAAAGGGAAGAAGGGGAAATAGATGAGAGGTAAGTTCCAAATTATTCCAAGCATCGTCTTTAGATGGTATTCTATCTAACATTTATAGAGGAGGGAAGGAGATCCACGAAATAGGAAAGAGAGGAGAAGAAAGTGGAGAAATGATTGAGGTGGTTAGAGGCATTTCTTGAAGAGGTGGCTTCTCTTTGAGAGGGGCATACCTCAACCCTCCCTTATGGGCCCATGAGAAGATGGACCCTCTTCTATTAGGCTTTCCTACATGGGGTCTTCTTCTATAGACTCCTCTTCCTCTTCTTCTTCATGGGCCACAACATGGGATGGACCGTCTTGTTGATCCCTATGGATCCATGGGATGTCAATCTAAGGTTCCACTTGGGATCTTGTAATGGAGTTAGTAATAAAGGTAACTTCGTATGGAACAAGTCAACCGGAGGCTACCTCCATTGCTAGATCCCAAGTGGAACCTTGGGTTGACTTCTCATGGATCCATAGGGATCAGTAAGAGGGTCCATCCCATGTTGTGTGCCCATGAAGAAGAAGAGGAAGAAGAGCCAATGGAAGAAGACCCTATGGAGGAAAGCCCAATGGAAGAGGGCCCATCTTCCTATGGGCCCATAAGGGAGGGTTGAGGTGTTCCCCTCTCCAAGAGACACAACCTTTTCAATAGGTGCCTCTAACCACTTCAACCCTTTCTTCACTTTCTTCTCCTCTCTTTCCTATTTCATGGATCTCCTTCCTTCTTCTATAATGTTAGATAGAATACTATCTAAAGACAATGCTTGGAATAATTTGGAACTTACCTCTCATCTATTTCCCCTTCTTCCTTTTCTTCTCCTATGCTGGAATCTTCTACCCCTTCTCCTTCTCTGCCGAAATCCCCCTTCTCCTTCGTTCCCTCTATCTTTCCCCTACTTCCTCTTTTTATATCCCTCTCTTCTCCCACCATTCCACCTCCTTGCCGTCTGCCTCGCTGCCACCATTCCACCTCCTCGTCAGCCGCCTCGTTGTCGTTGTTCTGCCTCCTTGCCATTTGCCCTGTCGCTAGCCTGCCATCGCCACCATTCTACCTCGTCACCATCCACCTTGTCGCCACCTTTCTGCCTCCTCGCTGCCACCATTCTGCCTCCTTGCCATCCACTTGTCGCCTTTGTTATGCTTCCTCGCCATCCACCCGTCGCCCCCCCCTTCCCCCTTTTACTCTCTCTCCAATTGGTGCCCCTCATTTCACTCCCTTTTCTCCCTCTCCCACTAACGCCCTTCATTTTGTCCCCCTTTTCTCCCTCTCCCACTAACGCCCTTCATTTCGCCCCCCTTTTCTCTCTCTCTCTCACTGATGCCCCCTCATTTCGCCCCCCCCCCCGCCCCCCCCCTTTTTCTCCCTCTCCCACCATGGCCACAAGAACCTTTTTTTTTTTCCCTCTCCTAAGTTTCTTCACCTTCTCTTATTCTCTTCTTCCCACCGGCACTCTACCATCCCTTTTCTCTCATCTTATTCCTACTTCTCCTCTTTCTATCCTATTTCTTTCTTCTATCTCGCCTCTGATCTCAATCTTCTTCTCTCCTTATACCACTTCTTCCCCTTGTGATCTCTTCCTTGATCTTATCTCCTTTCCTTTTCTTCTCCATCGTCCACTGAATTTCTTCTTTTCCTCCTTTTCAGATTTAGGAGAGTCCTCTCCTTTATTATTTTCTTTCTTTCTTCCTCTCTATTTATCTTCTTCTCAAAAACATGGAATTCTTGAGGATCAAACGAACTTCTTCAAGAATCATTAAGAGTTTTTAAGTCTTCTAACAAGATATTTTTACTTCTAAATTATTGTGGTGATTGATCAAATTTTATAACTCACTTGCGTTATAAGTGAGTACTCATAAGATAGCCACTAAATCCCAAAGTTCGGTGATTCATTCCCCCAAAAGAAGTCTTATCTGATTCATTGAAGGAATATCCCTAATTAAAGTAATTAAAATGATCTCAACTTTTCTTAATTGCAGGAATAAGGCATAGAGACTTAAGATCTCACATTGAAAGTCTTAAAGCCCCTTTTTTTACAGACCCTAATTTGATGTACCCAATTCAAAAGGATAATCTGATTTCCCCAATTAGTCCTGCATCAAATTCATAGGTCAGCTTTTGAATGAAAGAGGTTAGACTAATATTTCCTTGTTTGTGGACAATTTTATAAACTACTATATACAGCAATTTCACATTCTTACCTTATTCATTCTAATAGAAAATAGTGGTTTAATATTTTTCAAAAATATATTTAAGAATTTACAAGCACCTATCTGTATCTTACATGTCTTTTTTTCTTTTGAGCACTAGGTTCGATGTATCATCCGATATGTAGTGAGAGATTGGGCTATTGAGGTATTTGCTAATTTTGATAAAGTGTACAGGGCAGTTGATCCAATAAAATTCTCTCCCTTTATCTTATTCATTGGATTATTTCCATATTTCTCTCTGCCGAATTTCCAATAGGGTAAAAACGAGCGTGACGAATGCTACAAGCCAATTCTTGAGGAGTTGCAGCGCTTATTCCCTGTTCGAAGCACAGATAGGTAACACCTTTTTTCCTAGTGTCACTCATATGTAGTGAATAACTCTGTCATTAGAAATCAGTGTGCCTTGTTCCAGATAGGTTCCAGATAGGGGGATTAATGGGTTAAATACATAAAAGAGGATGTTGATTTTTTATTATTCTTTATAAATATTTAACAGATTGCTTTAAATACCTTAAAATATACACTGATGTTTAGGTACATTTATAAGTCTTTACATGTAGTAGATACACTTTTGCATTAGTTAATGATATATCCTGCTTAGACAATGGTAAGGATTTAAATGTTGCATTGCTACTGGATTGTCTATTCCCTGACTTTGCTTTTACATATCATTATTGTTTGATAAGAAGAGTAATTTTCATGCTTTCGTCTCATCAGAAGTGGAGAGAATCTATTGGTTCTGTATGATTCCTTCGTTTACCTCTTCAGCCCTTGTTATTTTTCCTTTGTGAAGCTTGTGATTTCGAGGGTCATTGCACACTTGCTGTTTACAGTTTTCATTGAGATGAGCCTGCTTAGGAAGAAACTGTCGAAGACTGACCCAATTGAAAAAGAGAACCCTGGGACAATGAAGTTGATCTCAAAACTCTGTTTGATTGGTTGCTGAGGGAATTCACCATTAACCTTGGCGTTTGTGAAACATCTTTTGATATTTCTCTCTGATCTTGTTCATTTCCGGTGAGATAGTTAAGATATAGACAGAAATTACCTCATGCATTATTGTAAACTTCATCTCATCCATGGGGAGCAACCAGTTAACTGTTTTCCTTAGCATTTTTGAGGATTTTAATGGCCTGTTGACCCATCTCACTCGTCACAAGTTGATTGTCATGATGCTTATTCCTTGGTGAATTGATGCAAATATTTTGTGGAACTGAAAATAATACTCTTATGATTGTCATGGGTATCCCCTTTTTATTCACAGGCCTCCTCGTTGTCTTGTTCCCGGTGCTGGACTTTGCAGGCTTGCACTGGAGATTTCTTGTCTTGGTAAAAACAATATTCAGTAACTCTAAACCACTTCTAACTCCTTTCCCCCTCTCCACTTCTGCCATGTCATTTGACTCTCCATTGTGCTTTACAGGATTTCTCTGCCAAGGAAATGAATTTTCATATTATATGATAATCTGCTCGAGTTTCATTCTCAATCAGTAAGAAAGCTGAAATTTTCTGTCTATATTTCATTCTCCATTGTCTATATTTCCTTGATTCCTTGTACCTCGTATCTTATTTTGTAGCACTCAAGCTGCCGGAGAGTGGACAATCTATCCTTGGATTCATAACAATTCTAACTTTCTCTCTGACGATGACCAGCTTCAGCCAGTCATGTTTCCAGATATTCGTCCAGCAAGGTGATAATAATCATCATTACTTTATCCAGCTTCATTTATCTGATTTGATATATTCGGCAATAATTTGATAAATAGATGAAGTGTCTTGTAATCTGATTTGTTGACAAATTTGTGACGGTCAAAATTTGAGGCACTGAGCACATTTCTTGTCTGACGATCTTGGAGTGAAAAAGCCCACTAACTATGCTCTTCTCGGAGCATGTAGAGATCCCCACACGGCCCAAGTTCATTCTATACGGACCCAGTTTCTCCCTGGAGGGCCTTCACGATGCTCTTGGAGTTTGATTTTCTGAGATCAAGTTTAGCCTACTATTTATAGGCGCACAACATGAGGCATTCGAAGGGGTGCTCTTACATCCAGCCTAGAGGTCCCATCACCTCCCATAATTAATGGGCTAAAAGTAGTGAGAGTAGTTGGGGTATCTTATAGTATTCAATAGCCTCTAAATACCTCTAGAAACCACCAAAATAGTCAAAGATAACTTGGACTTGATGACCTACGAAAGTCAGCAATCACCAAATCCAGCCATTAATAACATGTAGAAGACAGAAGAGGGAGACTTTCATAGACTCGGAGAAACAGGATAAGAGAGAACAGTCTGAACCTGGAGAGGCAGGAGATCCTCTCAAATCCCATCCCCACCCCCCACTTCTCTCGTCCCTCTCTCCAGTTCGATAGAACCATGATTCTGGCCTTGTATCAACACTACACTGCTTCGTTCTGCTGGCAGGAGATTCTCTCAAATCCCATCCCCACCCCCACTTCTCTCGTCCCTCTCTCCAGTTCGATACAACCATGATTCTGGCCATCTATCAACACTACACTGCTTCGTTCTGATCCGATCCTTCCAAAGAGGGTCGTATATTTGAGCTCTTTTATTGTTGTAAATATTCGAACCTTCTTACTCATTCATCGTGGCTGATTGGATCCTACAAACAGTGCAGGCATTACTGAAGGCTTTTCAATGTGTGGTGGTGATTTTGTTGAAGTATACAGTGATGTCAGCCAAGAAGGTACATAAGATGACTAACGATTGGTATGCAAAATGGTTGCAATTTGCGTTAATTATTATCATTAAATCATAATACTACTTACTACTCATTTCTGTAGAAGTGGGGATTACTACTTTTAACTGCTGCTATAAAAAGGCACTAAAAGTGTGAATTTTTGCGTCCTATAAATAAAGCATGTGAATGCCTGATATAATTAAAGCAAATATTAAAAGGATTAGGGCTTTCAAGGAGATATTGAATGTTGTCCAGACCAGTATGGCACTGTGACTCTTGGGAGCCCAGATTGCATCAGATAGGTACTTCGCTGAGGATCAGAGGAAACCCATGGACAGAACTTAGAATGATAAACAGTGTGAAGCTCTCGATTTTTATTTTTTTTAATTATTATTGGGGGAGCTTTTCTCATAGTAGAAGTAATTAAATTCGTATTAGAAGCATTTTCTGTTGGGTCATAGCATGGTACCGACCTTTGTGATTATCAGTAGACCGGCTTAGACATCAGACACGGCATAAATGCTCCATCAAAGCTACAAAACTATGATCTTCAAATAAATAACCATGTTTTGTAATTATCGGATTAAGGAAAGATCCATAGTTTTCTTTTCAACATCACCATGTCCCCTCTTCACTCGATTTTCTCATTTCCAGATTGTTTGGACGATCTTTCAGGGATCGAGATGCTTTTTCTATGGATAACATGATCTTCTGATCTCCCCGCAGGAACCTGGGATGCCGTGGTGACTTGCTTCTTCATCGACACAGGGCATAATGTTGTGGAGTACATCGAAATCATATCAAAAATTCTGAAGCCTGGAGGGGTAGGTTTCGACCGTGGCTTCCTCTTTCTCCCTCACTCCTTGTCTCTCTCCCTCTCTCTTTCTATCTCTCTCCCTCCCTCCATCTCTCTCTCTCTCTCTCTCCTTCTCTCTCTTTCTCTTTGCTGAACTAGTATGGATCAAGATTGTTTGAACTAGTATGAAACCGCACGTTCCTCTCTGCTCATTATGAATGATCAGTTCTCCTGTTTCTCGTGGTCGGCAGATCTGGATCAACTTTGGGCCCCTTCTCTATGATTTTGCAGATCCGAATGGGCCCGATGTAAGCGTTCCGAAATCCCCCACCCCCACCCCCCTCCCCCTCCCCCTCCCCCTTTCCTTTCTCTTTTTTTTTCTTCATTTGGTCTATTAAATGAGATCCATTTTCCCTCCTTCCCATCCGCAGGAGATGCCCGTTGAACTCAGCTTGGATGACGTGAAGAGGATTTCATTCCATTATGGGTTTGACTTAGAGGTACGTGCAGCAGGAGAATTTTCTTTTCTTTTTCTGGTAATTTTCGGAAGCAACCCAAAGTGCTTATTTTTTGGCTCTTCTGATAAGATGGAGCGAACAGTGGAGACCACTTACTCCATAAATCGTCGGTCCATGATGCAAGTAAGCTCAATTCTCCTCCAATTAAACCCTGTAGTTCTTGAAAATTCCGACTTTGCCCTTTCCTCTCTACGTTTTGTCCTCTGCGAGCATGCAGGAATGTTTCTGATCTCACTAAACAAGGTTCTATCTTCTCTATATTTCTATACATTCCAAGAATAATTTTAGAAAGAAAAAAATGCATTCATTTTATATATGAAATCAATTTTCCTGTTGAGGAAAGACTATTAATACCTACACGTGCATAGACTCATACGGTTTCATCCATAAATAGGGTGAGATATGTTTGAGAACTCATGTGGAAATGCACCCAATATTTCCGCATCTGTATATAGCTTCTGATTTCTTCCATTCTCCACCCATGTGGGAGGTGGGTCCTGTGTTTGACCTTTGACCGGCATGGCCTGTTAAACCTGCAGAATAAATACTTCGCAGCCTTCTGGACGATGAGGAAGCGACCCCTCAAGGTATGACCCCCTCCCCCCCGGCCCTTGAAAAGGTCTGCCCCTTGATTTGGCCAGACGAATACATGAATACGCCTTCACCGCCGTTTGGGAATCACCGACTTCTGCATTTTACGAATATATGGAGTTATTTTTGGATTGCCCATAGATCCCATATATCCCAACGTCGTCTGCATCCAAATAAGAAATTGCTACCGTAAGAGTGATCGTTGAATCCACCAAAGAGAAAATAACAAGCACGGGCAAGATACCAAGCAGATTGATTTTTTCGATTTTCCTGTCCGGCGTTGACCACATGGACCCAAGATTCCTGTCCGGAGTTGACCAAATGGACCCAAGGATGCTTCCTTGAATTCCATTTGCCGTTCTTGGGTCCATCTGGTCAACGCCAGACAGGAATGAACGGCCGGCGGGTACTGAGTTCAGACACGAGCGCCTCCGTTCCGAGACGTCAAATAAGCCTGCGGATCTCAGTTTCAGAAACCCTAATTTGCCCAGCTTTTGCGCCCGATCACGGCTCGCTGGATTGATTGCCCATGGCCGGCAGGGCTTCTAGGGCCCAATGGACTGAATCTACTGAACCACAACTCAGAAATTGGTGCAAATAAGGCTGCGGATCTCAGCTTCAGAAACCATCCCCGATCACGGCTCGCTGGATTGGTTGCCCATGGCCGGCAGGGTTATCGGCCGCTTTGGCCCTCGCCTCGCCGCCGCCCTGCGCACCGCCGTTCTCCGTCCGGGGACCTCGCCTACATCTCCACTCTACCTTGCCGCCGCATCGCCGGTTCCCGGCGCCCGACCAGGCGGGGGCATCTTCCCCCGATACCTCTCCTCTCTCCGCCGCCAGCCGGCGCGGCCGAAGGCCGTGGACATCGCAGCACGAGCGCGCCAGCTCCAGAACCGGCGGCTATGGACGTACGCCCTCACCTTCAGCTGCGTCGCGGGATTCATCATCATCGTGCTGAACAATTTCCAGGATCAGTTGGTCTTCTACATCACCCCCAGCGAAGCCATCGAGAAATTCGTCTCCAACCCCTCTAAGAACCGCTTCCGGCTGGGGGGTCTCGTCGTGGAGGGCAGCGTCGTGCACCCGTCGGCGTCCTCGCCGGAGATGGAGTTCGTGATCACCGATCTCGTGACGGATATCCTCGTCCGGTTCGAGGGCTCGCTGCCCGATCTGTTCCGCGAGGGGCATTCCGCCGTCGTCGAAGGTTTCCTGAAGCGGTTCGAGGCGGACGGAGAGGGGAAGGCGGACAGGGAGGGCGCGACGAGGGCTTCGACCGTGTCGGAGAAGGCCAGAAACGGGGTCTGCTTCTTCAAGGCGACGGAGGTCCTCGCGAAGCACGACGAGAAGTACATGCCCAAGGAGGTGGCCGCCGCGCTCGAGCGGAACAAGAAGAAGATCGAGGCTGATGCGGCCAGAGAGGCTGCCGAGATGGAGCAGGGTTGAGACCCGATCCACAGATTTTGATCCCGATAATAATCGATTTACAGCTCTTTGGGGATTCATCCTTGGAATCCCATCGATTCTCCAGCTGATATTTTGCAGCACAATGAGGAGACATCCAGATTGTACTCCAAGATCATATTTTTATGCTTCTCATGTTAGTTCCATCGGTGGCAGCCGGCATCAAATTGCGCTCCAGTATCATATACTTTCCTGGGATGAACCATATATATATATATATATATAATGATTTTTACGGGTAATGATGGCCTCAGCCTCTGGATTCCATGCACACCAGCCATAGAATTTAGAACTTCGTAGATTGAAAGGGATGATCTTTTTACCAGATCTAGGCTGAGGATGGCGCATTTATTTCCCTTTCATCTCTCATAATCTCATACGGGGGGCGCTTGGCCCTCTGTTTTATAGCACTCACTCTCCTCATACAGTATAGGGTTTAATCTGATGAGGCCTCTCTCTGGTTGGTTCGAATTACATCTGCCAGTTGTTTTCGCCCATTATTCCATCACCAGTGTTTGCTCCCACTGAAGCTTCCAGCATTCTTAAATCACTAATTAACAGCCTCCTGCGACATCTAGACCTCAATAAATAACGTAATATGCTTAATTTGATTCTCTTAAAAAAATTAACATATCGTTTTATCTACTGATTATCATGCTTCCCTTTTCACATATCTTTTCTTGACCATTTCCAACCATGCAAGCTCTTCTGATTTCTAACATCTTAGTTTATTATTATTATTATTGACCCAATCTCCTGATCATAATATGCTCGTTGGAACCTTCCTTTTTTAATTTCCCGCCATGTTATTGCTTTTTGTTGACCATTTCCAGGCATGCAAACTCTTCTGTTTTCAAATGAAAGTCATCTTGTCTATCAGGCAACTTAATTCTGTCCTCATCAAACATTTTAGATTTATTTTTTTGAAAAAATGACATTTATGGCGGTGGGCTTTTTTTGTTCTTGAACCTTCCAATGATGACATCATTTTTCGTTGACCCATTCTGCATTGCGTGAATCTACCCAATCATGAACTCTAGTGGTCCGCCGGTTTCTAACATCGAGCTGCCGTTTTTCTTGAAAGAAATGTTCTTCATAGCAAGCTGTATACGGCACCTCGTGGGGTACGCTTGACAGCTGTTTACTGTCCGTGGAGATTGTCTTTTTAGTCTTTAAAAATATATATATACGTATATATCTCTTTTCTGAATCACATAAAATAAACAAGTCGAATATTTTTATTTTCACTTAATATATTTCAGTGAATAATAATCATACCATTCAGGGTAACAGTTTCACTCAGAGACGTCTAGACAGAGAGAGAGAGAGGAGAGAGAGAGAGAGAGAGAGAGAGAGGAGATCTCGTGACGAAGTAGAGTAGTTATTTCCGACCAGCTATAGCATCTGTCACAAACGAATGAAGGAGAAAGATCTGGTCGCGTATAGCAGCAATAAATATGGAAGAACTCTCGGCACGAATCGATAATCAATAATACATCGTCGACCCTCGAAAAGAAGAAAAAAATGGTAATGGTGATGAGAGAGAGCGGTAATACGACGCCGTTCAGAACCGCAAGAGGGCCGGGACGAAGGCGAAGGCCAGCAGGAAACACAACGTCATCGATGCAGAGGCGGGCGCTCCCGAAACCATGGTCGGCGCGGGCGACGGAGCAGCTAAGTCGATTTCCTGGGCAGAGACCGCTGCGGCCGCCGCCGCCGCGAGGAAGAGGAGCACCAAGGTGGTGAGGCTTGCACGGGCCATCGCTACGGTAACAGGGGGGAACGCGGAGAGAGCTTGGTAGCGCGGAGGAGCGAGAAGATAGCGGTGGGAGGATGAGAGAGAAGGCTCTGGCTCGTCGTCTTAGTTTCCCCCTCTCCGAGAGGTATTGGGCATTTATAGAAGATGGCGGTAGGAAAAGGAAGGAGGAGGGCGGCGGCGAGGAGGGGGTAAGCTGGCCGGTAGGACAGCTGTCGACGCCAAGCGAAGTTTTTTCCTTCCGATCTCGATCGGTGCGCCTTGACCGTTGCCAAATGGCAACGGTCGGTTTTTCAAAAAAACGAAGGCTTAGGGGAGAGGCAACCCATGTGGTACTTGCTGGCACAAGTCCCCATCACCCGATTCCGGAGGACTGGGCGCCGAGTTTCCAGTTCCGAAGTGAGGTGACTCGTTCCGAGTCGGACGCCTCCACGCCGACAAATCCCTACCTGCCCCAACGTCTCTTTCTGGCAGCGATTTCTCGTGGCAGGTCGGGTTTCTACGCGTGGGAAAATCGCTTTCTGGGAAAATTTGCGTCGGAGTATCTGGACCAAACGGGGCCGAGAGATTATTTTTTTCTCTCTATTTATAATATTAAACTCGTGGGAAAATCATCGTGGAGCCGAGCCCAGTGGGCCGGATTGGTCTAGAAGCCCAGTAGAAAGCCACAACTGGGCCTAGTTGGGCTCCGACTTGCCTTCCTCGTCGCTGATCGTCGGATATCGATCCGACGGTCTGTATTTAAAACCGACCAACGGGGTAGCTCAGTTTTCTGTGGGCGGAGAACAACCCCTGGTTGGGGGACTGGGGGGCTTCAAGATTCTCCTTTTTTTCTTCGTTCTTCCCGATAGAATCAAGAAGCTCGGCCCTCCATCCCCGTCGACCCGGCGGAGGAGACGGAGAAGACGCAGATGGCGTCCGCTCTATCCCGCAGGTTGGCCATCAGGGCCCTTCAAAACCCCAGCTCTGGCACCGTCTTCCCCCTGCAACTGGGCGGCTCTCGTCTGAGATCTCTCGAGGGTGAAATTTCAGCCCCCGATGCCAGATTCATCTCCCGCCCCATCGCCCCCAATCCTCGCGGTAATAGCATCACCAGATCCAGCCCCGATTTGGCTCCCCCTGCCCTAAATCTGCTCAAGACATGGAAGGCATCTTGCTCGTTAAATCCCTCCTGCAGCGTCCCCACTGTAGTCGCAGAGCTTGGAACCCTCCGACCCTTTCTCGCCAGGCAGCTCTCCAGCGGCGGCGCCGCCGGTGATGAGGCCCCGAAGGGTGAGCAGCAGGGTGAGAACCAGGAGCTCCGTCACCAAGAGATCGTCGGGCCGACGGTGGAGAGAGACGTCTCCGCCCTCGCCAACGAGACCCGCGAGGTGCTCGAGAAGATGAGGAGGAGCATCTACAACCTCAGCAGGTCGCTGGCCCTCCTGGGCTTGGCCCATCTCGGCCTCGGGGCTTGGATCGTCTACGCCGCAGCACCGCCGCAGGAGGTGACCGTCCAAGGCCTCGCGGCCTTCGCGTTCCCCTTCTCCGCGGCGTTCCTGCTCCGGCGGGCCCTCAAGCCGCTGAGCTTCTTCAACAAGATGGAAGAGCAGGGAAGGCTGCAGATCCTGACGCTGACTCTTCAGGTCTCTAAGAACCTCAACCTCTTGTTCTTGAGAATGCGGGTGGTTTCCTTGTTCTGCGTCGTGGGAATTTCCATTGGCTCTTCCGTTGCTCTCTGGATGCCCTGATCATCTCCCTGTGTCTCTTACATCACGGGGGCAATAAGCGTTGACTTTGTTCCATTCCCCAAGCCCATTTGAATGCTCAACCCATATAATTCTCCCCGTTCGTTTTCCATGAAAATTCTTATTTTTAGGCATCTCACACCTATGGTTGAGACTCGTTCCTAGCCAAGAGTTCCAAGTTCCATTCTTGGCGAAAGAAAACACTTCGAGTTTATAACTGAAGATCATCAGCAAACTGGAGCAGGCGGGGGAGTTCGCCATGCTTCCTCTTCCTCCTCCACTCTGAGCGGAGAATGAGAACACACACACAATACACAGCGGGGTGGAAGACGGGGGGGGGGGGGCGGCGGAGGGGGCGCTCTCTCTGCTCACATGGCCTCCCTTCCCTTGCTCTTCGGCACCGACATCAAGCTCTTCGTGAGCCAAATCGCCGTCTCTCTGGAGGACACGGTCTCCTCACCGAAGGGCTTCAAGATGCCGGCCAGTTCATCGAGCCTCTCGTGCTGGAGCAGCTGCGCGCACACTTCGAGCAGCGACTCGAGGGCATCGGCCCTTTGCTGGACGATCCCCATCCCTTCCCATTCAGTGTGAAGGTTGTCTCCATGCAGAAGGGTCAGAGTACTGACTGAGGAGTTATCTTCCCCATTTCCGCCTGCTTCATCGAGCTCGGTTTTGGTTCTTCCCAATGGCTGGCCAGCGGAGGCAGCCTTCCCCTCAGACTGCCCACGTTGTGCCGACGAACCATCGTCTGGTTTGCCTTCCTCCACTTTCACCGTCTCCATGGATTGCATCGGGTTTCCATCGTCGCGGATCTCTGATTTATCCCGTTCTTGTAGATGTTCCTCGTCGACTCCGCCGATAACTGCAGGAGCGGTCCTGTAACCTTGATCTTGCTGATCTCGAGACTGGACCATGTATAACCCGTTGATCTCCACAAGATGTTGATGTAGAAGGGAGAAGGCTTCTGGGTTGACGTCGACAACGGGAAGCTGCGGGCTTGCCATGTCCTCGTGTATGTCGATGGCCGTCTGCCTCTGTGGAATCTCCCCATAGCTTCCGGATTTAGGCCTCTTTCCGTATGACGGCCTGCTGGTGCTGCTCTTCGCCGCCCTCTCCGGTGAAATCATGTCCTCGTTTTTCTTGATCGGAAGTAGGAAAGGCGAAGGGTTGTAGGACTTGGCGACGTATTCTTGTAAGTAGGGCTGCCTCAGTATCTCCGCAGCCTGAAACAAACAGCTCCCCCTATCAGCATCTCTCTCTCTCTCTCTCTCTCTCTCTCTCTCTCTCTCTCTCTCTCTCTCTCTCTCTCTCTCTCTCTCCCCGTATTCATGTGGGGTTTTTGAAGCTCACCGTGGGTCTGTGCTCCGGGTTCTTTCTCAGCATGATCTTGATCACTCTCTTCCTGATATACGGAAAGTCACAGTGCGAGTTTATGTGAGACGGATGATCTAAAAAACCCAGAAAGCTTTTGTGTACAGTAGGGAATCGAATTAAATTTATTTAAAATATCGGAAATTTTAAGGATGAAAAGTGCATACGAGGGAGGAAGGGCTTACAGCTCTGAGGAGTAAATGTGCGGCATTGGAGAAATGGTCAACCTGGTGATCTTGTTCAAGAGCCCAGCTATATCCTGCAATAAGAATTTGCCAAAAAAAGAATATAATGTCAATTCTATGTCTTATTATGAATATTTATAATTTTTTTAGCTTGATTTAGCTAAAATTGTACAATAAATGGAGGTTACTTTGTTTTGCGTACCAGAGCCCTGAATGCCGGACGATGCGCCGCGATCTCGAACATGCAACACCCTGGAAGGTTGACCAAGAAAATCAGGTCAACTGAGAGCGTGCGAGAGGGGGAGAGAGAGAGAGAGAGGGGGGGGGGGGGGGGGGGGGGGGAAGCTGGCTAGTCCTTATCAAACACGAACTGGGTCAGAATAGTCCAAAAAAAAAATCCTAGCTGAAAGAAAATGAAAATGGATGGACAGAAAGGAGGTAAGTTGTAGGCTAACCCAGGGACCAGATATCGGACTTGTAACCATAGGGTATGTCTGCAAGCAGCTCGGGGCACATGTAGTTGGGAGTACCCACCACCTACGCGAAGAAGAAATGGGGGGGAAGCGCTTCAGCAAGCTATATATCACAGAAATAGATGATTTCCCATGGTGCATGAAAACTAATCATCCATGGCGGGAATCCATACTGATGAGGTGAGATCCTGGCTTTGGAGTAACTTTGCCAGGCCAAAGTCACCTGGATCAGAAAGCATCGTCAGACTAGAAAGCCCAGATAGGTGAGAGTGAGAGAGAGAGAGAGAGAGAGAGAGAGCTCTTACCGAGTCGGATGTCATCATCCTTGGTTATGAATATGTTAGAGCACTGCGGGGGCAAAGAAGAGAACTTGAGAGCACCCGAGAACAAATCCGTAAGGCTTCAGGCGAGAGGGAATACATGGAAGACTCGCTCACCTTGAGATCTCGGTGGAGGACCCGGTTAGAGTGGAGGTAGTCAACGGCGAGGAGGAGCTGGGTCAACCATTTGCAGAGTCTCTGCCAATGAAGACCATTCAATGAGGTTCTTTGCCTCAGGCAAAGGCCTAGAATCCTGCGCACGATTTCATGGAACTTGACTGACCTTCTCGCTGAAGAGGACGCCCCTCGCCTTCTTTATCTTATCGGCACTGCAGAGAACAAGAGAAAACCGGAACCCTCAGTCTTTCGCACGTGCGACACACCATTGGTCAGGAGCTACAGCGATCCCGTTCGCTAAAACCGAAGACGGAATCGATGGACTCGACGAAGCCAGGCTTTTCAGACAGTAAATGAATAGGGTGGAAGATATAGCTTGATGACGTACATGTCCCCGCCCTCACAGTATCCCGTCACGATGCACACGAAGTCCTGCAAGACAACAGAACGGGTTACCATCGGTAGATGGATAGAGAGAGAGAGAGAGAGAGAGAGAGAGAGTCACCTTGTCTACCCACGAGTCTTTGTACTCAACGATGTATGGGTTACGCAGCTTGGAGATCAAAGCCATCTGGTACAGAGAACATCCCATGCTTTAGAGTGATAAGTTGGATAGGTCTTCATCCCGGTCCCCCCGTCTTCTTACCTCCTGATGAGCAGTTTGCTTAAACCTTTCCGTCTGCTTCGCCAGCCGGATCTTCTTCAACACGTACCTAAACGCGAGAAGAAGATTTGAACAAGATCGGGGAAAGAGCGAGCGGGCGAGAGAGAGAGAGAGAGAGAGAGAGAAGCGAGGAGTCTGTCCTACCTCTTCCTTTCGGCCTTGTGAAGGACGAGGAATGTTACCCCGAAGGCTCCTCTCCCGATCTGCTCAACGATTTCATAGTCCTGCCCACGCCCGCTCGCCATCTCTCTTTCTCCGAGACGTTTCTTCTATCTCTCCTCCGTCCCAGCGACCTCCTCGCCCATGTAAACACCCCGCAGAGCTCTGCGGACAGAATGAATGCTCGTCACGAGTTACACCGAGCGTACGCGCCGCCCTGTGCCCTTCTCACCCCCCTCCATGCATTTGTTACAGTAGAGCTAATGCTGAACAATAATGGCGGAAAAAGGAGGTAAAGAAAAACGAAGCTTCAAGACCAGCAGACGGTGCAGGTGGTAGACCTTTCCATTAGAGGGAAGACGAAGAGGTGGCGAGGCCGCGGACCAGTTACATTCTCTTGCTAGCTCGATTTGTAGCACCGGTTCCCTCCAACCCGAAATTAATCAGAAAAGAAGGAAGAGAGAGGGAAGACCGTCTGTCTCCCTCAGATCGTGAAAGGACGCGACGGAGAAGTTCGGAGGTCGCATTCCGGCGACCCGGCGCGCGGTGACCGTGCGTGTGGACGGCGGTGACGCCGACACCAGTAGTGTATGAGGGCGAGGATAAGCTCACCAGTCCTCTTCGTTATCAGAACTCTGAGGCGGACTCGCCGGCGGCCGGCGACCGGCGGCCCGTGGCCGGGGACGTCTCACCTTCCGGCGGGTCTCGTGGCTCTCTGTTCCAACGACAAGGAATCCGGTCCACACGTCACCTCTTTATGTCGGATTTCTCTACGGTGGAAAGCCAATCCAACTCGATTCCACCGGAGGAAAGTGCGTCACAGGCGACGATCTGACTCGGATCCTGTCGAACTCGGGCCCGACCGGACGGAACCGAAGGGCATATTAGAGAAATGCTCCAGCCTTCAACGGCTCCCTTTTCCTCTTCTGGGTTCGGTCAACGGGGCGACATGAGAAGGCGTGGGAAACAAACAAAGGTTTCTGGTGGGTGATTAGAGCGCAATTAGCTGGCCGTGATTCGGTGTTAGGCGCTGGCAGCCGAGCATCATCTCGACAACTGGAGATATTTTTTTGGTCAACCAACCGGGGGATAAGAACGTGGGTTCCAAGTTGTCTAATAAATCCACCACCCCCACGTCATCTATCCACTTCCGAAAGAAGACTCTGCGGGACCATGGTCAACGATGATCAACCATGAACGATTCGGAGACTCCGGACAGATTCTGAAGACGGTGAACCTGATTGGATGCAGACCTCCGAGGGTGAATAGAGGAGTCAGAATCGGGAAGAGCGTGGAAAAGGTGAGAGAGAACGGCTTGCCCAAAAAAAGACGTTTCTGGAAAGAGGTCAAAGCCACACGTGTGAAAACACGGCTCGGGCCTAACCCTGGTTTCCACCCACTTGGATTGACCCAGGAGTGCACACCACGTTGTGCAGACTTGCATCGTTGACTCTTTACGAACAAGTTGACCGTAGAGTCAGAACTGGATCAAGAAACCGGATCATGTTCGAGGAGACGGGGTTTTCTTACTAATTTCAGGAGGTGCGAGACCCGGCGCGGATGAGATTATCAACAGAATTAACAGCGGAGGAGCAGATGGGGTACCTTTCTAGAGAGAGAATACGGGTCAGTGTTTCCTCTTCAGAGCGTTCTTGTTGCCTTCCAGCCTTTTCCTCGCCTTCTGAAACTCCTCTTCGGAGGGTTCCTGGTCTCTGCTGCCATTGCACTTGTCGATTATAGAAGAGAGAAGGGAGTTCAGCTGGGCTTTTCTTTCGCCGCGGCGCTGGGTAATAACCGCAAGCAGATCATCGGTTGACTCTTTCTTCGAGCTGGCAGGATCAAGAAGAAGAAGAACTGAGTCAGATAGAGCGCGGAGCGCGTGCACAGATGAGGAGCGGAGCTGCCGGGCTCCCACTCACTTTCTTCTCCGACCCAGGGGATCTGTGGGTGGTTTGACTTCAGAGACTTGTTTCGCCCATTTCTGATAGACCTTCGTCGATTTCAGCTCGCCTACAATACCCAAGAAAGATTAAGTGAATGTTCAGCCAGTGTTGAGAATTCAGATTATTAGCTGAATTATTAGCTGCATATTATTATTATTCCATAATCAATGCCCAATTTTAATTGCAATACCCAATTATTAGCTGCATCGCCAAACAATTCTGTGCTGTAAATGGAGGACACCCCAAAAATCATGTCAATAATTGCGACAGACTACTTCCACACCACCACCATCTTAGCGGCGTTGGTCAACGGGTTCTGGATAGAAAAATAATGCGAATATTAAAAGTTCTATGAAGAAATCAGAGCAAACCCAGCTGCAATTTGTATCCACTGTCAACAAAAATTCCGCCAGAAACATACGTCTGCACTGGTATCTCCAGCAACCTTCCATGAACACTTATCAAAGTCTATAGTTTTGATAAAACAGGAGGATTTTACTTGTATGTTCTTGTCATCGTATTTTCCATTGTTTTCTATTGATTGTTTGCCTAAATTCGTCAGAAGAAAACTCGTATAGAACATAATCAATGGACCATGCGATACATTAAGCTTTCCCTTCTCCTCGTATCCTTCTTGCTCTCCTCTTCTTACATGCTCTAACGAGTTGCAGAAAACAAACAAATCGGAGCAGAGAACGAACTAGGTGGGACTGAGAAGAACGATTAACGGAATTGTGTTCACTGTCTCCTGGATCCAGAAGCTTTGTTTTCCACAATTACTCATGAAACATGTAAACTTGCTCGGTTTAAATAGGAACTTTATGAAGGAAAAAAAAGATCACATCATTAAAAGAAGCTACTGCTTCTTCAACACATACCTTTAGCAATTGCTTGGTCAATGATATCCTTGAAACGATGTGAATCAAGCTTTGGTTCGGAGCATAGCATAGAACAGAAAAGCCTAAAACATACCGTACTGTGAGAAGTTGCACGTCATGGTAATTGTGTAGAACACTACTTGATCATAAATACCTGTTCATATTGCCCTTGAATTTATTGTACAATTCTTTTAGATCCTTCTCCTCTGAATCTGATCCTCTATAATTGGCTTCAAACTCTTCAATATCAGCTTCCGTCACCTGGTTATATTTCCAGGAAACACTCCATATGCGTCAGCGATTACAGAAGAGAAGTGTTTGTTTCTTCTGCGAGAGAGAGAGAGAGAGAGAGAGAAAGACCATCTACCTTCTTATATGTCGCTCTGAAGAATTCCTGAAGGTCATCAGCTCCAGCCCCCACAAGATCCTGATTATCATGATAATTACATGCAGTATACAAAATAAATTTCAAGATTCCACCTGATTGGCAAGTAAGAGTTAAAATGAAAATTTGAGTCTTCACAAAAACTCACATTGTCATCAACAAAGCCAGTTTGATCATAAAGTGCCCTTTTCTCCTCGTCCCCAAGAATTGATATGACCTTCTGCAAGAGCTGAAACTTTTCCTTGGCCTCCTGAAAGGTAATTATCACCATTATGAGGCATAAATGTTAAAAAAGCTAACGAAACAGTAGAACTAGTGATAAATTAACCCAGCATATTACCTCATCCCCTGGATTCTTATCGGGATGGAGCTTCAAGGCCAACTTGTAGTATGCTTTCTTTATTTCCTGTTGAGAAGCTGAGTTTTCCACTCCAAGAATCTATGTGGAAACACATTACATAAGGAATCTTCTATTCAATGAGCTGTGCAGCGTGACTAAACAGCAGACAAGAGAACAGAAATATGATTGACTTCTGCAGAATTCGTAATTTTCAGTTATCGTCCGGATCGATGATCATCTCATCAACACTCCCAAAACAAGAGTAAGGACTATTATTCAACATTTTGTTTGCGTTCCTACATCCTGATTTAATTTGAAATCCATTCAAGGTTTCATTCAATAAATTAAACTAATAGAGCTGCATAAAAAAAGTCTATACAGGTGGAATTCCGGCATTTTTTGTCTGATGGTACAACTAAACTAACTAGTGCGTGAAAAATAATCAGACGCATGATGAATGAAAGCAGTCGGTGATGTTACCAGATTCATCTTCTTCCCTAAAAAAACAGCTACTGAAATTTCGGAACCAACGTTTGGCATCAGAAAACCAATTTTACGATCATCACGAATACATCACTGGGATGAATCACATAAAATCTTCCAAGCAAGTTAGATGGAGATTGAAACTCGGTGCCCTGATTTATCCACCGATTAGATTGATAACAGTTTTTTCGCACGAATTTCATAAATTTAATGCCGTCATTCGTAGAAAAATAGAACATCCTCCGAGAATAAATTAGACGATAAGAGATTAGACAAGCTAAGTAGTAGCATGTCGTCTTCCAAGGTTGGTGTCTCCGCTCTCTAACGACCAGCCACAGCCAAACTGACATTACACTATGGAGAAGCACTGTAATTCAAGAAGATGCGTGTGGCGCCTCAGGTGCCCACTCCAACCAATATTTTACAGTTGCAATCATTCGTCCACCTATTTGCAGTTTAATAAAAAAATACGCAAACAGTTTCTTCCAGGTAGTCAAGGATTTGCGCTAATTATATTAGAAATAAACGGCTTCATATCTAACTCGATTTGTGAGCGGGAAATGTTTCTTGGTTACGGACATCAGCATCCTACTATTGGTAAAACTTTCACTTAGGAGCAAATAGGGAAAATATGCTCCCAAATGGGTCATCTAATTAGGAAAGCACAAGGCGCAGACAATAAATCAAAGTTGCATGAACAAGCAGGTATTCGGGGTGCAGAGAGCCGGCAATAGATTGAAGTAAAATCAACATGAAGCGAGGGATGCGAAACATCGTAAAAAAAAAGAACGCAAAAGCGTAAGCGATCGAAGGAGATTAGATTAGATCCTACACCTCGTACAAGCTCTTCTCGCCCCCACGTAATCCATCCTCGGCCGCCACTTCCTGCTCTGCGGCCCTCCCTTCTTCCTCCACTGAAGGAGAAGCCCTAGATTTCTTCTTCCTGCCCATCGTCCAAGGAGGGAGAGAGAGAGAGAGAGAGAGAACAAAACACCCGAGAGGAGAGACGAGAAACGGCAGGCGCTTCGAATCTCAGTAAACCCCTTCCCGGTCGCTGACGCGATCACGAAGTAACCAGAGGACTCAACCCCAAGGTGTCGTCTTTATTCGTTTCCTCAGAGGCAACAATTTTTGGAGGGAAATCTCAACTTTCCCGCCCTGTCAGCTCCCCCTCTTCTCTTCGCTGCCTCCCCACCCCTCCCCCGAACGGGATTGGGAAGGAAGACCAGACGGAAAACATGGGTGACCGTACGATTCCTTCCGCCACTCGTGACCGTCCGATAGAGATTCTTTTTCAGATAAACCCGTAGAAACTTCGAAACAAAAACTTAATCAAAAACATATGAGAATTACTCCATACCCCCTATTGGGTACCCTTTATTTACGCGTAAAATTACATATTAACCCGCCTGCCCCTAAAAGTCGTTGATCTGCAATGTCTTAAAATTGCGGGAAGTTACGTGAGGGCTGACGTCGGAGCTATTTTGTGCAATTTCATTTTTACCCCTACTCTATTGTTTCCTGGCTTGGCTTCCCTGTGATATCTGTGTATCACCTTCCAATCTTCCCCCTTCTAGGAGATTCGTTCCGTCGCCGGAAGCTAGTCCTAAAACCCTAGACCGCCGACGGACGGAGTCACCTCGGTCGCCGGCAGGGAAGTAATGGTCCGAGCTTACACTCAGGAGCACGTCTACCGCCACCCGTGGGACAGGGTAACCACCGCATCGTGGCGGAAGTTCACAGATTCTCCGAAGGTACTCTCCCATGTCACCGACGTGCACACTCTCTCCCGCCGCCTGGATCCGGATCAGGGGACCCTCTGCACCACGCGCTCCGTCACGGTCAGATCCCCACAGCTGCCCTTCATCCTGCGCCGGATCATCGGCCAGGACTCTGTCGTCTGCCACTGCGTCGAGTCTACTGTCGTGGACGCCAGGAACAGATCCATGGAAATCGTGGTGCGGAATGTCAGCCTCCGGAACATCCTCGAGGTGGAGGAGCGGTCCAAGTATTCCCCTCATCCTGTCCATCCCGACAGGTGGACCGTGTTCCAGCAGGAGACCAGCATCCGGTGCAAGCCGCTGAGCGCCCTGGCTGCCGTCGCGGAGAAGGTGGAGCAGCGCTGTGCAGAGAGATTCTTGCAGAACAGCGCCAAGGGAAGGGAGGTCATGGAGAACATTTGTAAGTACCTTGAGGCCGAGGCTTCCTCTGCTACCTCCTCAGCGGCCGTCGGGATCTGAATTCATTGCGACCCTGGGATGGCGGTAAACGTCCGATTATCGGATCGGGCCTAGATCTCCCCATTTGACTTCCATTTGTCATGTTCTTCTTGCCTCTGAGCAAAGATCATGAAGTCAACCCACCCACAGATGTTTACGTCTTTGTTTACTGGAGCTGAGATGGACTTGTCTTCTGGTCCAGAGGAAAGAACCGGAGATAGGTGGGAACTGGAGCACCTTGTGTAATGAAATGATGTTCCCAGCTCGTTCTGTAATAACCAGGCTTTCCAGATGTTACATATTCTGGTGACTACTGCTTCATGTTCAGGATTCATGAAATGGGGGAAATCCAAACTTTTTCCTGTAATTATTTGCCTAAGGAATAAACGACACCTCATGTTGCCATTTCTGATCAGCAGAAAGCCAGGTAGCTCTGATGCCACGAGTAACTGTGAACATTAGTTTAATGGAATCCAAGTACTTGATAAGCTCACCCTTAATAATTTATTTATCAGTTAATCACAATCATATCTGTCAGTAGATCGTCAGAAGATTTTCGTTCTTTCAGTTTGTTTGCCAATTTTCACTTATGAAGATATCAAATCCTTCCATTTTGTGTAGCACATTACTGAAATGTATTACATTTCAATAATAAACAACTTAATTGAATGATACGTGACGCAGTTCATATTCATAATAATGCCAAGATTTCAAATTAAATAAAATTAAACGATAATATCTTTTATTTTTTATCTTACCCGTAGAAGCTCATTCGGTCTAGGGATGATGAGAAGTGATCTTATGCGTTTATTGAGTCCCTATCACTTGTCGTGTTTCATTATAATCTGTCAACTAGTGTTTACATTGCAGTAATTCATACCAAAATCTGTAGAAATGGATTCCTAGTTACTTCCGTTCATGGTACGTTTGGTGAACATGTGTTGCCTTGTAAAATTAGATTCCTAGTAGAGAGACAAGTAGGATTGGATGTCAACCTTTCTGACAGCAATTGACCTTAAAAACCTTCTTTGTAGACAGTGCGATGTGTACACCATATGCTATTTACAGGCTAAGACTTCAATCCCCTCAAGATCAGATGATAAACATCTTCCTTATATCGAGATCTGGGAACCCACTCTCTTTAGAATAAATAGGAATGAAAACCCTCTACAGAAAACAACTTTGGCCCTAAATATTCCAGTTTTTATTTCAATACAAATGCCCCAGATGATAGCTTGTGTGATGAGCCGACAAACCACTTGATCGTCTATCTGTGTGTGTGTGTATATATATATATATATAGATATATACTGATCATCGACATCACCTGTTTCAAGATGTATAGTTTTTCAATAAAAGCAGTATCTAATTGACAAGTAATCTAATGGCTCTTTCTCCTCCTACTTAAACTGCATGAAACCGTCAAGTCAAGCATATAACGAACGACCCAGTCACAAATTTGAGTTATTTCCTATGTAATTCTCCTTGAAAAACTTTACCTCTGATGGAGAAGCTGATCCCCAGATAGGAGAGCCATACAATAAACTTACATGTTACAGGGGCATTGCAGAACCAGGGGCATTGCAGAGTGAACTTTGATCCAGTCTCTGTCTCCATGTTTTAGATAGATCTTTTTATGTGAAAGACATAGATTATAAAGTTGTAGACCTTTTTCTTTCTCTCAAATTTCTTTTGAATCTTGGACACCAACCTCCTTCCACCTATTAAAATTGATGCTTCGGTAGGAAGAGTACCCCCCCTCCTGTCTTTCCTAACGGATGAAGCTAGTCTTGGAGTGATGAAAGCCACCCCATTTTTCAGTCCAAGGACGAACTCTTTGACCATTGGATACACAAAGTTTTGTTTCAGTCATTATCACTGCACAGCTTCCTTCAAGAATTTCTCACCTGAACGATTAAACATTTTTGAAAGTTCTTGCTTTGATGTCTGAAACGCTTGCTCTCCTCTGGTACTTTTGTTTTACCATAACTCATTATTTCCAATGACCATTGGTTGGGTAATGCTACATTGACGCCCCTGATTTTGATGGTGTCATTCCATTCCCTGCATATATTGATGTCCCTAGTATCCCTATTGTTGAATATTGCTATATTGAAGTCCCTGATGCTTTATGCTTATATCTGCATAGTCTTTCTTAAAACATATCATTGTATTCTCTGCACCTGTCTCCTCTAGCATGCCAGAAAGCAATCTAGTTCCACTTGCTTCTAGTCTCTCAGCTACTATATTTGGAACTTTTGACAAGGATAGGTAGTAAATGAGTAGGGTAGACAACAGAGTATTGCGGAAAACGATGCTCCTCCTTGGGAAGATGTTCTTCCCATTCCACCTTGTCACCTGTCTCTCGGCCATTTCGACAAACAGGATGAGTGGCACCTCCAGCATCAACAGGAATCGCCAATTCTCACTCTAGATCGCAACTGCTCTACTTCCATTGATCGATCACCTTTCATTCCACAGGAAAGATTGTGTCTCAGCAAGTTGAATGCAGGATGCCCCCAAACCTCAGTAGAAGGAGAGATACCTTTGTCTTCTCGTTTTCCAACAATGAAAAGACTTTGTCTCTCTATTGCCTGGCTTTAATCGTTGAAAGCTCAGGTTCATATATCAGAGTTTCCATATGTTTCTTTTTATATCCCATTATTTCAGAAGCTTCAACCTAGTTAATTATGTGCTGGATATTATTTTCCATGGTGCAGAAGTAGGATGGAGTAATAATCCCCAAAAGACTCTCTCCAGACATGAAATGAAAATAAATGCGGGCGAAGCGCCTCTGGATGTGACTAAATGTTAAATATTACCCTTTGAAGATTTACTCTGAAAATTCTATTGCTGAATTGGGAATTAGAAAGATAAATTTCGGATTTATAAACTTTTTAATTTCGAAACTTGTTAAAATCATTCAAAGCTTTCTGCGCCTCTTTTTTTTCTTTCTTGAAATTATGTGAAGTCGATACATGTCAGAGCGAGAACTCTGAGACAGTTACTCTGAAATAGACCTACTTCACCTGAGGCAGCTCTTGAAGAGAAGTGTTCTTGGCGACGACAAGATAGATGGTGGATGGAGTGAGAGAGAGAGAGAGAGAGAGAGAGAGAGAGAGAGAGAGAGAGAGAGAGAGAGAGAGAGAGAGAGAAGCTTCCAGTTAGCCACAGCAGCAGGCCTTTGACAAGAAAGACGGCCCAGATTGACAAGAACAGACCAGCAGCGGAAGGTAGGAAGCCACCGAGTATAGTGCCCAGCATACATGTAAGTACCCCTTTACTATCTATGGACTGTCGTTGGGTCTTCATAAGTTATATTTATCGATTATATCTGCATTTATGAAATTGCTTGTCAGCCTAAACTACACCGGAGGGATTTGAATTTACCGTCTGTTTTCTGATTGCTCGAGCACAGAAAAGTCTCGTATTTCATGTAAATTCCAGAGTTGACTTGGAACTAAACCCTAGAAATTGCTATCAAAACTGATAATTGGCGATTAATAATTGGTGATTTTTCATAACTCCTAATCAGTGTTCCCATCGACGTATTGATACCTTTGTCAAGAACCCTAGCAGCCCAACCTCTCTCTCTCTCTCTCTCTCTCTCTCTCTCTCTCTCTGTGTTCATGATAAGAACCCTTGACTTGACGAGGCTTTTCTAGGGTCTGACCTCGATGCCTAGAAACCATATCAATGCGCAGAATTATATTCGTCCTTTTTTTCTATTATTAGGAAATTTTCACAATCCCCGATTTCTTCCATGCCCATCAACGTCGTCTCCACTGTGTCACCAAAACGCGTTCAAACCAGGAGTTTGCCCAGGAAGATGGAGCCAAACTCCTCTCGAGAATTCAAACGTTGACTTGGCTCTAGGAAATATCTAGAAAGCAGATCAAAGGTTCGACCTTTGCACCCAGGAAGAATACCAGTGAATAAAAGTCTCCATCCCTCGGGCTCCCCACAAGACTGCTCTTTCGTTTCCGTCTGCTCCTGTTCTTGATTGGTGGAATGCTTACCATGACGATCATCTTATAATGTGGGGCGTTTTTTGTACAGATCATGAAGAGAGAATCGAGAAGAAGTAGAACAACCATGTTCATATCGACGAAACCAGCGCATAGATTAAATGCCAGAATCACAGGGGAGAGGAGAGAGGGGAGGAGCAGGCACGCAGGACTTCATCACCATCACCATCACCATTACCAAGGGAATCGCCGAGGTCGCCCGGCCAAATCCATGCCCTCCTCCAAGCTTATTATGGCAACCAGAGTGAATGGGGCATCTCAGATCTTATCGAGCTTCTCTGCTTTCACCACTGGATTGGCCTTGACGATGGCATCACGACCAGCTCCCCGGTAATCGAATTGGCAGGCGTGTTTGTCGGAGTAGCGGTGAAGGGCACAGAAGATGTTCCCACAGCGACACTGGAAACCCGTCAATCCTACTCGTTTCCTGCAGGTGCCGCACCTGCTGGGACCTTCCCTCACCTTCGCCTCGCCGGAGTCGCTCGAGGCCGGAGCATCAGATAGCGGGGAAGCGACGGTGGCCGCTGCCGGAGGGATCTCGAGGTTGACTTTTCCGGTGATTATGGGATCTTTCATGCTGCTGCTGGCGCGGTTCACAATGTTCTCGATCGATGAGGCGGCGAGCTTGGCCTGCTCCTGCTTCAGCACCATGTCCCTGTGGCACTTGGAGCACATGTTCATGGTGGCGGCGCTTCCGAAGAAACCGCAGTTGTTGACGCACAGGGTTGGACCTTCGGGGGCCTGACATCCGGTCTCATCGTGCTCCATCGCTCCTCCTGCAAACCACCGCCTCCGTCAAATCTCAGAGAGAAAAAAAAAAGGACAAGAGAAGAAGAACGAAATGAAGGAAGCACTGCAACTATCTACAGATCTTGCTGAACGGAGGCTGAATAGCCGGAGTTTCGTAGAGATTTCGCATCAAAACAACAAAACAGAGGAGAAATCAATTAATGCTCATCAGACCACTGGACAACTCGCTTCCAAGATCATCTCACACAAGACTGAAACTCTTCTGGCGAGCAGATACTGTTCCAGCGGAAGAAATCATGGCGATCGACAGAAATCGAGCCACATATCTTCAGAGAGGGAAGCACCATCCGGCAGAATTTACAACAGGATGCATCCGGCATAATCTGCTCGAAGAGAGACCTTCAAAAATCGGCAATCCCGCCCGGGATCAAGATCCTACGGTTCTACACAGCCCTATCCCGGCGGTTCATCTCAACTCAGGGGAAAGAGGAGCACCCGCTCCTCAGCTCCCTCCTCAAGGACTGGAACCCTAACCAGTAACCACAGAGCAAGCGCACCGAAATGCGCGACAAAACCCCCCGCCGAAGCAGCGAGTCCTCAATCCCGACCGACGAAGATTTCTGCTCCCGGAGACCAACCATGCTCTGGAATCAAGTGGAAGAAGACGAAGAAGATGAAGAAGGGAGGAGCAAAAGGGTCGCGGAACCCTAACCTCTGTCGGGGGAGGATCGCCTCGTCAGCGCGGATCCTCCCACCGGAAGCCGGCGGTGGGGAGGACGATGACAACAGATAACCCAAGGACCGTATGGGAGAGGAGAGGAAAGCAACGAAGATAAGCAAGGCAAGGCCTAGAGACAGAGAGAGAGAGAGAGAGAGGTCATGATGAAGAGGGCCTGCCGTCTATTTAATAAAACCTTCCCCTCTCTGCCCCCGGAGCGAATGTCCACCAACTTTTTTGCCAACAAGTTGGGCCCCACTTGGGCTGCCGTTTTGGGAAATGGGAAATTTCGTGCCCGGGTGCGCATCGCTGTCAACGGAGCCCTTCCGCAGCAGACACGGGCTCGGATCGTACTAAGCAGGCCCGGGCCCCGGCCCGACCCCCAGCCACCCGTTGACTTTGTCCCGCTCCTTTATAAAGGAATTATACTAGTTAAAAAAATACGAGTAAATCTCGTCACGTGTCCCCCGAGTGGCGACAAACAACGTCACGGAAACTGATGTATGACGCTTTGTCCGCGGATAATCTCACCTTCGACTATTATATCAATCAATCATTCCTTCCTTTCGGGCCGGGCCGGGCCGGGCCGGGACTTACGTATGCCGATAGCGGGCTACGGGCTGGGCCGATTCGGACCCGATCTCCTCGAAAAGGATACAGCATGATTTGTCGTTTTCATAGCCGGCAAAGGGTCCCCACCGGTCAACTTCCGGTGTCTTCTAGCGGGGTCAATGGTAGGTCCCAATTTCCAAGTAACGCATAACGATGCACGATCCTCACCGCTCGTCGTCTCTCTCTCTCTCTCTCTCTCTCTCTCTCTCTCTCTCCCCTTCTGACGACAGAGATGTCAGATGTCTGTCACGGGGTGGAGAAGCCGATCTCTCTCTCCTGCCAGGCACCCCACGAGAAGGGTGGAGAAGCACATCTTGAGATCTTGGGAGATCGTAGAAAACTCCTTGATCGCTTCCTTTCTCCAGTCTCCCCGCTATCCCATGGCCGCCGGCATCTCACCGCCGGCCATCATCCTCGGCCTGCTCTTCATCCTCTCCCTCTTCTCCACCTCCGTCTCTTCCGCAGAGGCGGAGGAGAACCTTCTGGCCTTCAGGTCCTCCCTGGAGGACCCCACCAACGCTCTATCCGGCTGGTCCCCCGCCGCCGGCCATGTCTGCAACTGGACCGGAGTCACCTGCGATCCCAGTTCCGGCAGGGTGGCGTCGCTGGTCCTCCGCAGCCTCAACCTCTCCGGCGAGATCTCGCCGTCGCTGTGCCGTCTAGCGGGTCTCTCCGAGCTCAACCTCGCCGGCAACTTCTTCAACCAGTCCATCCCCCTCCATCTCGCGCAATGCACCTCCTTGCAGGCGCTCAATCTCAGCAACAATCTCCTGTGGGGAACGCTCCCTGACCAGATATCACAGCTTCGGTCCCTGACATCGCTCGACCTCAGTGGGAACAAGCTTGAAGGGGCATTGCCGATCGGCTTGGGGGCTCTGGATCGCCTCCGAGTTCTGAACCTCGGAGGAAACATGTTCACAGGCGCCCTCCATATCTCCATTTTCGGCAACCTGAGCGACCTCGTCCACATCGACATCTCTCAGAACCCGTCCTTCTCCTCCGAGTTACCCCCCCAGCTGGGTAATCTCAAGAAACTAAGAAAGATTCTGATGCAGAGCGCCGGACTTCGCGGTGGGATCCCCCAATCCTTCGTTGGACTCGGCGAACTGGAGATTCTTGATCTCTCTCGGAACAACCTGAGTGGGAAAATTCCTGTGGGTTTCGGTCTGAGACTCGCCAAGCTGGTGTATCTGGATCTCTCTCAGAACAGACTCTCAGGTTCGTTTCCGGGGGAGATTTGCAGTGGGATGGTTCTCGCAGAACTGAATCTCCACACCAATTCTTTCTCCGGCGAGCTACCCGAATCCATGGGGAGCTGCTCCAACCTGGAGAGACTGCAGCTTCAGAACGGTGGGTTCTCCGGAGAATTCCCATCTGGATTATGGGCTCTTTCGAAGATGACGGTCATCAGAGCCGAGAACAATCGGTTTTCAGGAGAGATACCCGACTACATTAGAACCGCCTCTCGGCTCGAACTAGTTCAGATCGATAACAACAGCTTCAGTGGAAGGATTCCCCCTGGTTTCGGGATGATAAGCTCCTTGTACAGATTCTCCGCATCCATGAACGGGTTCTACGGCGAGCTCCCGGAGAACTTCTGCGACTCGCCGGCGATGAGTATCATTAGTTTCTCCCACAACTCACTCACCGGTTCCATTCCATCGCCTAGAAGATGCAGAAAGCTTGTTTCTCTGTCATTAGCGGGCAATCACTTCACCGGGGAGATCCCCAACTCTCTGACTCAACTCCCCGTGCTGACGTATCTCGATCTCTCCGACAACAATCTCTCCGGCGAGATACCGCAGGGGCTCCAAAACCTGAAGCTCGCCCTGCTCAACGTCTCCTTCAACCAGCTGTCTGGAGAAGTCCCTCTCCCGCTGATCTCCGGCCTTCCGGCCTCTTTCCTCCAAGGAAATCCGGGCCTCTGCGGGCCGGGTTTGGCCAATCCATGTGGTGCAGAAGAGGCGCAGAAGAGGAGGAACCTCTCATTGACCTATGCACTCATCTCCATAGCTTTCGCCGGCGGGGTCATTCTAGTGGCCGCTGCCTTGTACGTAAAGAATCAGTCTTTACGGCGGAAGGCTCGGAGGGCTCACTCCGCGAGCTGGAAATCTGTACTCTACTATCCTCTCCGGATCACAGAAGACGATCTCCTGATGAGATTCAACGAAAGCAATTGTGTCGGCAGAGGAGCATTTGGTGAAGTCTACGCTATCCGCCTACCTGGTGGGGAGGTCGTCGCCGCCAAGAAGCTGATCTACCCCACCAATCTCTCAATGAGATCTCTGAAAACGGAGATCAAGACCCTGGCCAAGGCGAGGCACAAGAATCTCACCAAATTGCTGGGTTTCTGTTACTCGGAGGGCATCGTCGTCTTGATCTATGAGAGTCTACCGAAGGGAAGCTTGGGAGACGCGATATCCAGAAGTGGATTCTCCATGGAATGGCCCACGCGGCTGAGAATCGCCATGGGCGCCGCCCAAGCCCTCAGTTACCTCCATGAGCACTACGTCCCGACGCTGCTCCATCGGAATGTGAAGTCCAGGAACGTCCTTCTCGACGTCGACTACGAGCCCAAGCTCACGGACTTTGGACTCGACCGTGTCCTCGGGGAGAGCTCCTACGGCTCGTCCATGGCGTCTGAGCTGGGCTCTCGCTGCTACCTAGCGCCAGGTAAAAATGGAGTAATCCCCTCATCCCGTCACCTTCATCACCTTGAAGCGGCTCGCCAGCTCGTAAGACTCCTCCGAGCTTGAACCATAGATAGAGATCTCACCCTCGTGATGATCGCAGAATGTGGGTACTCGAAGAAGGCGACGGAGAAGATGGACGTCTACAGCTTCGGCGTGCTGCTGCTCGAGCTCGTCACCGGCCGGCCGGCGGAGCAGCCGGAGCCCAGAGACTCCCTCGACGTCGTCCGGTGGGTTCGGAGGAGGATTAACACCGACAACCGCTTCCAGATCTTGGACCAGAAGATATCTGGCACGGCTCTACCGTCGATATCGGGTGCCCTAGACCTCGCGCTCCGTTGCACCGCCGTCTCACCGGAGAAGAGGCCGACCATGCTCGAGGTGCTGAGATCGCTCCAGTCGCTCGAATCTGCGGCGGATCCGCCGCCGGTTCTCTCAGCTGACACTTCCTACTCCGGCAATCCTTGAGAATGTCGCATCATTTTTTCATTCTTCGATGCGCGAACTTCATGGGTCTGGTTAAATTCACCAAAAAAATCGTAACTAAACCGATCCGCACGTGTGGCTCCCAACCGCGTTCTCGTTCTTTAACGTTTGACCTTCTGAAAATGGAGCATCATAGTAAATGACGCCCAAAAACAGGCTTAGCGGCGTCGTTTTCTCCGGGTATTGTCTTGATGGGGTCCACTTAATTTGACTGCCTGCATGGCACTTGCGGCATGCATGACGTCAAGTCAGAAGAACTCGGGCCAACGTGCATTTTCAACGCGCCCCCTTGCTTAATCCTCAATGCGTGATCTGTCTCCCGACCAGACCCACCGTAGGTTGACAGATAAAGATGGACGTCTGCATATCAATAGACAGAGAAAGAAAAGAGAGAGAGAGAGAGACGGGGAACGCCCTTGGGCGGCTAGCTCGCGTCCCATCCAGGCAAGTCATCCAATCACGTCGGATGCACAGTCCCGGCTCGGACCGGTCCACGGTCGTCTCGGGGCGACGTGGACGATTTCCGTAAGATGAAAAGTCAACCCTCAGCCTACCAGAACCGAACCCGACGACGGCGGCGGCGCCGGCGAAGCCAGCGGCGGTTTCCTCTAATGGTCGTATACATTAAAGACCGTCGGAAACGGAGAGCTGACGCCATCAATTTCAGGGCAGCTGGCGATGAGTACGAGCCGGATGAAGTCGACGGAGCATCGTCGGGCGTCAAGCTTCGAGAGGAAGCTCCGGACTTCACGATTACTTAATTGGTCGGTTCGACGGCGCCGACGGGGCGGTGGATCGAGGGCGCCGCCGCTGAAATCCGACAGGCACACTTGGCACGTGCAATAACGCTGCCACACGTGCGATGAGCGACCAGTGCTGGCCACGGTGGGCTCGGTCAGATTAGGCGGCTGACCCTGTGGAGGCCCGCGGAGGTGAGGCCAAACGAACGACTCCTCCTCCTTCAGGCGGACAGGACGACACTACCAGCCAGCCGAGAGGGGGGGCTCTCATCTGCCGGGCTTCCTGCCGCCGACTAATCTGCCATGTACGTGCCCTATTATTATTCTAACCATTTTTCTTGTATAATATCTCCCAGCCGCCCATGATTTCGCCGCCCATTCAACAACTTTCAAGCGCTGATTGGCTCCCCAGATGATCTGTCCGTGGCGATAAGCTGCCGTTGATTATTATATGCTGGGGGACATAGATTACTTGCGAAATTAACCCAAAGTTTGTCCAATGTAGATGGTGGGCAAAAATTAATGGGCACGGTGGATTGATAGTTGGTGTAAAAACCGAGCCTTTTTTTTTTGCTACCAAGAACAGAAAAAACAAGAAAAAATGTTTTTTTTCCCATTACCCATCCATATTTGGGATTTTGATGGATTTTTAAATTGGGTATTAATTATCTAATATTCCAGTCAACCATAAGCGAAGAACATGGAGCAAAGAACGGAGTGCATGGTTTTTCAATAATGCGATGATATTGGCTCCATTTGGAGCGCCAGAGTTCATACCACCAGGTTTCTCTCTTTTCTCCCATTTAATCCAATTAAAAAAACATAAATGTTTTATTATAATATAATTAAAAAATAACGCATTTTGCGCTAATTTTTTTACAATACAAGATTAGTGGTAGCCCTACGACTCCGACGCCACAAGAATACCCACCCAGCTTCTCTTTGGTGAAGATTAGCCCCGGAAGAGCCACGCATTTTCCAAACCAGAGCCCGATCGATCGGAGGGTCCCGATCGATCCTCGGAGGATTGCCGATTCCATGCCGATTAGGACGGCTAATCGGGGGGTAGTTTCGTAAATGTAGCCCATATGGACTCATACGTATTCGAAATGCGAGCCTTGGGGCAGTGGGGTCCACACGGCTCCATCACTATTACCGACTTCTCTCTCTCTCTCTCTCCCCTCAGCCGCCTTTAAAGGCCCCTTCGCCCCATTGTTCCCACCCCCAAAATCCTCATTACGCCGCTTCCTCGCCGCCTCATCCGCTTTTCCTCCTCATCCTCTTCGCAGCAGGAACAAGAGGCATCTCTCGGCGGTGCCCAGCTCGCTAGTCATGGCGCAGAGGGAGGAGGAGACGGAGCTCAAGGTCCCGGAGAACGTGACGCTCTGCCCCAACAACTGCGGCCGGCCCGGAAATCCCGCCACCAAGAACATGTGCCAGAGCTGCTTCCGTGCGGCGCCGCCGTCGCCGCTCCTCAATTCCCCGTCCTTCTCCGCCCACGACAAGCCCAGATCCGCCCCCTTCCGCAAGGCGGAGAAGAGGCCCTCGGAGGCCCCCAGCGGCGGCGACGCGGAGGCTACCAGCGGCGGCGCCGCCGTGCCGGCGGGCCCCAGCGGCGCGACCGCCTCGGCAGCGAGGGCGGTGAACAGGTGCTCCGGTTGCCGGCGGAAGGTGGGTTTGACGGGTTTCCGGTGCCGGTGCGGGGAGCTCTTCTGCGCCGAGCACCGGTACTCGGACCGGCATGATTGCAGCTTCGACTACAAGGCCGCAGGAAGGGAGGCCATCGAGAGGGGGAACCCCATCGTCAAGGCCGCCAAGATCGTGAGGATCTGAGGCGGAGGCGGCGGCGATGGGCTGGCGGCGCGGCCTGCCCTTCTTGTTCTTCCTCCCCATCTCCACCACCGCCCCCTCCTTTTGAGGGCCGGTACGGAGATGCCCGACGGTGACCGCATCTCTGGCCGGGGCGATTACCAATGAACGGCTGGACGGCTGAAAGATCGCAGAAAGGAGGGCTTTTTACGGCACCGTGTTGTTGTTTTCCGACAATTATATAACAGTCCCTGAATATTTACTCCATCTGATTCCTGCCCCTCCAAACCATCGTCAACCCACCCGAGTTACATCTTATTAAGCGGAAAATGACGGGGGATGATCGTCATTTGCGGAATCTTCAAGGTTCCGCGATCGGCGGTCGTCGAGATGGGATCGCACGGTCATGAGGTCACCACGAGTCGGACATCCAGCATTGGGCTCGGCCCACCACCATGATGTCGCGGCCCACCTTTGGGACTTGGAAAACGCTCTGCTTTCAGCCCATTATCTCGCTCTTTCTCTCTCCTTGTCGTGGGCCTATTAAAAATATTGGACTTCTTTATGGCGGCGTGCCGGCGGGGAACGCATCGGGGGCGCGCCGGGGAATAAAGAAAGCGGCGCGTGGGCTCTAATGACGAAGCGATTCTCCGTTTTTAACGGTTTAAAAATGCCGCCTTTGTGGGGTTGGCTGGACTCTCTGGCTCAACGCTCTCGTCGTCCTCGTCCTCCTTCCGTGTCTCATTATCCCTCTTCAATCCCGCCGTCGGTGGGCTGGGAATCTCCAGGTTTCCCGTTGGGCTTCCTGTCGTCCGCAGGCGGTGGAAGCTGCGGCGACGGGGACTGGAGGGAGCCACGACGGCGCCGGCGAGAGGCCAAGCTTGGTCCGGTCCTCCGCCGCCGTACCCCGGCGACGCGGGTCGACTGCCCCCGAAGCTCAGGACATCTGTCTCTCATTCCCTTCGAGCTGACCGATGAGTGAAAGCGGTGGAAGTGGGGCAACATATGGGTTGACCCCCCCGCGCCTCCGGTGCAAACAGGAAAGAAAGAGGACGGGGCCCGACACGGGCGGGACTGTCGGAGAGGGGATGGAGGAGGGTAGATGGAGCAGCGGCGAGCATCTTTTCTTCCCAGAGAAAAAATCGATAAACTCGGCAGTCGGATTGATTTCTCACCGTCTGTGGGCATTTAAATCGGCACTTTCTAGACAAAAGGGGATCGATACGCCCATAAATACGACGGCGCAGGATACGGTGGCGCTCGGATCCGGCGGTCCCTCATCCGATTTCCCAGGGAATTGTGATCCCTCCCCGATCCTCCGCCGCTGTTTTCCCTGTCACCATCCCCCTCGCCCCACCACCGCCACCATCTGTGACATCGCAGGTGCCGCCTTACATCTAACCTGAAAGGAAAAGAAGAGGAAGAAGAAGAGATCATCCCAAGGCCACTGTCCTCGTCGTCGACAACCCGACGACTGTCGCCCACTTAACCTCCATGCAAGCTTCGGGGATGGAGGGAGGAATTGCATTCGGATCGGGTACTAATTAATGAATAAACATCAATTTAATTATCCGTATTATAGCATTTCAGAAAAAGGAAATCTGGTTTTCCCATGAATCAACTATTCTGATCACTACCCGAAATCGACAGCCGTCGCGCGTCGACAAATTCCCAGCTTCTTCTAAGCTGGTCAGAACCTCTCAGGAGTCCTATTTCTCGAAATAGATCATAAAAAGTATCACCAAAATTCAGCCCAAAATCCAAGTTTTTACTGTTAAGACCTCGAATGGTCTCCATCCGAGAGGACTGAACCACCCTTCTGAATGACCTATCACGAGCAAAGTCAGAACGAGAGGTCCTACTGAATCCCCGTTGCGGTGGCGACATGTACGTATCGTCTTCGTAGCTGGATGATATACAGCGATCGATCAAGAATATAGGTTAACAGTTTGACGAGAAACTTGGAAATTGGTAGACGAGGGCTGGCGCCTCCTCCGAAGACGTACGGGTTTCATTTAATGCCCGAAAAAGTAGTAGTCCGGCATCTTCGGTCTTACGCCGCTGTTAATGACTCGATCTTTGACGAAGACGTTTATTGACTTCTTGTTCGGCTCAGCCACCCGTTAGAGGTGAACTAATGTAGAGCGTAGCTTCTTAACCTCGGGTAACTCTGGAAAAGGATGAACCCCCGATTTCAGCCTTCTTGTCGGAGGCGGGGAGGGAACTGGCTGTGCTCCCCTTTCATCGCGGCGTTGTCTCCAGTAGACCCCTCCGGCACTTCATCCATTCATTAACCTCCTCCCGCTCCTCCCACTTGAAGAATTGTCGGGCGAGACAGCTTCCCGGACACCAGGGCCGGGAATAACTCCGACGGCGGCTCTGCACACATTCAGAGAGAGAGAGAGAGAACATGCGGGTTGCCGGAGGGAAAAGCATGCGGCATGTGTGCTGGGGTCGCAGAGGAACTGCACCGATTGTCCGTTTCTTGCACAGGCGGTAGATTACTCTTGAAACCACCGCCCCTCCCGTGCCGGACCCCTAAATCCAACTCCTTGCCGCCCTTGTCAGGCGACCCGCTCTCCGCTTGTCGTCGCCGCTGAGCCCAAGAAACCGAGGGTCCAGGGTGAAGGGCCGTGCATTGTTACTCAGACCGTAAGAGGGCCGTCGTGGGAAAGAGGGGGGGGTCCCCCCCACCTCCTTCGCTAGCTTATCTCCCCTCTCACTGCTTCCGGGTCAACCATCAGTTATCCCTGTGATCTTAGCTCGTGGAGATGCGAAATATTAGGCTAACCATGACATAATTAAATTCTCAAGGGCATCGTAACCTAGACGACGAACTCGGGGCTGTGGACTGGAGACGTTCTGCCTACTATTAGTTTGGGGTATATTATAAGCAAATTCCGCTTCTCCTTTCTCATGTATAGATTAGATGACGACGTTCTGCCTACCGTATTAAAGAATGCTTCTAGTGGTTGTTCTACTGCAGCCGTAGTCCCCCGCCTTCGCGTCCATCTCCCTTCCGTCGCCATCGTCTCCGGCCCGCCGTTCCTCTCTCTCTCTCTCCCGATGGAGCTCGATCTCGACGAGCTAAAGGCAGTGAGGGTCCTCGGCAGAGGAGCCACCGGCACCGTCTTCCTCGTCGCCGACCGTTCGCGGGGGGTCTCCCATGCGGTCCCTCACTGCTTCGCTCTCAAGGTCGTCGAGAAGTCTCCCTCGCTGGCCACCGAGCGGCGCGCTCGTTGGGAGGTCTCAGTGCTGTCTCGTCTCTGCCATCCGTTTCTTCCCACCCTCGTCGGCCGCCTGGAGACCCCCGATTTTCTAGCCTGGGCCGTTCCCTACTGCTCCGGCGGCGACCTCAATGCCCTGCGCCAGTCCCAGACCGACGGCGTGTTCTCTAACTCCGCCATCCGCTTCTACGTATCGGAGCTCGTTCTCGTCCTCGCCCACCTCCACTCCCTCGGCATCGTCTACCGGGACCTCAAGCCGGAGAACGTCCTCATCCAGGACTCGGGCCACATTACGCTCACCGACTTCGACCTCTCCAGGCAGCTATCCCCAGCGTCGTCCTCGCCCACCTCCCCCCTCTCGCCCCCTCCCCCGGAGAAGGCCAAGGAGCACCGGCGGCACCGCTGGCGGATTTTCTCCGGCGGGCTTCTGTTCGACGACCAGAAACTTGACAAGAAGAAGGCCAAGTCCGTCCGGGTGACGCCGGCGAGCAGGAAGGACTCGAGCGTGGAACGGTCCGACTCCTTCGTGGGGACCGAGGAGTACGTCTCGCCGGAAGTAATCCACGGCGACGGCCACGAGTTCGCGGTGGACTGGTGGGCCCTGGGGATCTTGACGTATGAGATGGCGTATGGACGGACCCCCTTCCGGGGGCACAACCGGACGGAGACGTTCCTCAACGTGATAACCCGGGAGCCCGAGTTCGTCGGAAAGCAACCGTCAGAGCTGACGGACCTGATCGCGCGGCTCCTGGCCAAGGATCCGGCAAGACGGCTAGGGTTCCACGGTGGCGCCGAGGAGGTGAAGGCCCACACTTTCTTCAACGGGGTGCAGTGGAACTTCCTTCCAGCCGTGATCCGCCCTCCGTTCCTCGCCGACGACAGCGAGAACCAGACGGCAGCGCTGGAGTGCGGCGGTGGGGGCTTCGACGTGCGGGACTACTACAAGAAGCTCCGGCAGCCGCAGCAGCAAGCGACGGCGCCGGGGTCCCCATTGAGAGCGTCCACGTCCTGGAGGGAATTCTGACAAAATGATAGGTTAGCGACTGTTGTACAGTGTGATCTCTATTGGGGTGAAGCACCTTCTCTTCATAAATGAAGCTGTCGACTGGTAATTCGAATTCCGACCTCGAAATCATTCGACGGAAGCTCACGGTCTCGGGCGCCATGTCAGTAGCTGCGGTGGGTTCGTCTGAGGCGGCTCTATTGGCTTGGCTTCACGATGAGAAACGGACCCGCCGTCCTCGTTCTCTCTCCCTCTCTTGTCCCTGGAAACTGTCTGGCTTGGTGCTGGAACCTCAGCCAACGAGTAATGACAGCCCAGGATCTGGCCTGCAGACCCCATAGACCTACCCCCGCGACATTACTTCCATTGATCTGCCGGACCGGCTAACAGAGCTCCAGCTACAGTCGTAGCCAGTGAGAAGCCAGTATAATTACTCTCAAGGGTCCAATCATTCTGGACCCGAAACACTGTAGGCATCAGCTGATCGCTCGCTTCCGTTACCACTGGTATGGAAATCTCCGTACTTCACCAGTGAGGTCGAAAGGTCGTCTCATTCAGACAGAACAACGGCATAAACTGTCGATCAATGACGTACTTCCATTGGCCAACTGAGGAGTCTGATAAATATTCTGACAAAGAAATAATGAAGACCAGTCTCCACAACCTCACTCGATAAGAAACACCAAGCGTGACCACGGAGAACAATCTACGTAAGAGATAATCAGATCTTGATCTTAACTCATAATTTGGAACATCTGGTAACATTCGACCCATGAGTACTATTTGGGTAGTCATCTAGCCTATCATGCGAGTGTGCCTCATTTTCTGGTTTTGCACAACATTTAACAAATTCATAATGTCTCTTAAAAGAAGAAAGTATTGGGTCTTGCGGTATAACAGGATGCTCATCAGATGAGCATTTTACAAAGAGGTCAATTAATTTGTACCTTATCATTTGCAGTGCTCATCATATTGCAGAATGTTGGAGAAGACTTCAAACGCAAATTCGATTATGCAGTGTAGTGTTTGCAAAGAAGAAGAATGGTATGATTGGCATGGGACTAAGTTGTATTTGAAGTTGTCCCTGAGGTTAAGCCTAGCATGAAATCCTCTTTGAATCTCAATGATATAGATAATCATATCCTGTTACAATCCTTAGATAGTGAAAAGCCCTTTTTATCTTCATGACAATGACGATGAAAATCTATCGAAAAATATTGACTACTTTGAGATAAATTTAAGCTCTAAATTCTAAAAAAATGGCAAATCTTTAAGACATTAATGGTAGTGGGCTTAGTGGCAGTCTACTTCTACATTGGCCATTGAGCTTAGTTACAACATTATTTTATATCCTAAATATCTAAGTTGGCTTCAGCAAGCAACGATGAGATCTTCATAATTTTAATAAATATTTGACAACATGTTTACTCAATTCTAATAAAATATTTATAGGGGGATTATTATTGTTGCCAATCGTCAACGAATTCTGGATTACATAACTTCCATTTTCTTTAAACTCATGTAAAATATTTAAAAAACTCATAATTATTATGAATTTCTAATTATCAAAATAAATTTATTTTCAACAACCATATCATCAACATATTCATGGAGAATATCTACTCTAGTACATTTTCATGTACCATATAATGTCTTATATGCCTTGTTTATTAACCAAATTTATCAGATTAGAGTGTTGGGGGGAATGTTGATGCCCAACCTTTCCATCATACGTTTCCCTTTATAAAACATCATGAGTGCATGATGCTTCTTCATGTACTTCATCAATTTTTCATTTTAAAATGTTTTGTTTACGTGAAAATCATAAATTCTAATAAAAATTATTCATAAGTTACAAAAGGATTGTTAACAATTTAGGCCTAGACATCAGCACAAGAAATTCTAGAGAATCAATCTCCAATGTTCATGTGAATCACAAGAGATTGGCAAGGGCTGGGAGGAGCTTATGATGTTGATGCTGGAATGTCTAAGACTTCAATGTTTTCTCCATCCAAATTTTGGTGACATAAGTATGTCTTGATACAATATTGATGAAATAGAGAGAGAGAGAGAGAGAGAGAGAGAGAGAGAGAGAGAGAGAGAGAGAGAGATTTTCCAAGTTATTGAATCATTTTTTTTTACCTTTTAACCATGATGGTAGCAAGACATATGTCTTGCACAATACTCTGGTCAACTTCCAAGAGTTAAGATCTAGATTGGAGAAACTAAAGACGATTAAATACGTGAGGTGCAAGATAAATAATAATTAAGAAGAGGCTTATTCCAAAAATATTGAAAGAACATGATGTATATAATGCAAGCACTAGCACAAATTCACTCAGCTAAAAACTTTTTTGGAGGCTATTGAATTAAGAAAGCATGAAAAGCTTGCAACAAATGTCTCTATGGTCCCATTTTATTGAGAGATACATGAGGAAGATTGTTAATAAATATTATTTACAAAAAATAGTGATAAAAATGATTTCTAGGTCAGATAATAAAAATTGAAAAAAAGGAGAGTGATACATGAATAGTTTAATCTATAGCCTCATTTTCAATAGGAAATTTATATTGTAGAATGGTGCAGTAAATCAAGTGTTATATTAATGTATATTACGTGAAGAACATTCTTTCAAGTCTCATATTTTGGCTTACGTGAAGTTTTTTCATGGAATAATGTAGTATATCAAACATTATTACTTAGTATATGAAAGAGATTCAAAAGAAGAAAGTTGGATCTAAAATAAAATAAAATAATTTTTAAATCAAGCATTTTGCATGTTGACTTATACTCGACATACAATGAAAAAGTCAAAATTCAAGAGAGAGAAATTTGTCATAAAAAATTGTGTGATAATTCAAATTTAAATCCAAAATGATTCGTATTAATCTAAACATCTAGAAAATAAAGATTCTCTATGAGAATCCAATCTTCATGGTATCTCACATTACATCGACATATCTTAGAGTATCTCCAATCACATGCAATAAATCCTAAATGATGTAAGATAACATTAATTGGATAATGTTTAGGTTAAAAACTCATCAATGGAGTGGGATCAGTGACAAAATATTATGTTGGTGAACTAAGAGGTTAAGTATTTATGCTCAATTAGTTTTATTTGTAGCTCAATCCTTAATCTCATATGTGAAAGCACTCTAAGAGTGTTAGTAATAAGAAAAAATCTATGCTATGCTAATGATCTCTTGTCTAGCAAGGAGAGATAAACTCATGAAATCTATCTTTTAAAGTGATTGGTTGATCTTATGAATTTCAATAGGTTTCTTGGATAGAATATTAAAACTAATTGTATAACCCCCTTAGTAATTGGAGATAAGTCAAAGCAGACCAAAACCATTATAAAAGAGTGCACCTTATTTTTTGAATAGTGCTTCAACCAACACCAAAGTAGTTAACTCAAGATATTGATAGTCATAGGAAAAATGTGAAAGGTCTAAAATTTTTATATAAATATTAAATGACTAATTCATCCCCTCTATTAGAAGGACCTAATATAGTCCTAGGACTAACAAGTACATGAAAATTTATATTACAAAATAATAAATTATATAAAACATATTAGTTTGTATCAAAACTATGTTGTAAAAAAATCAACACAATAGCAATATACAAAAAAATTCAAATATCAAGCACAAATGGTATAACAGGAAACTTACATGAAAAATAATGTCTTAATAAATAAAAAATATATTATGAAATATAAGTGTCTAATTAAGGAGAAATATATAAATACTTTGGAATACCAAGTATAATTTATAATAAAATATATTATTATGTTAATATCTTAAAATAATATAATTTAATATTTTTAATTTACAATGTAATTGTATAACATGTGAAACCACATATCTCAATAATTGGAATCTTCATTGTCATAAATCAATAAGAAGAGTGACATGTATTTTCATATATAATTTATTTATTGAAATCACATTTAACATTTATTGTAAGAATCCCAAGCCCTGATTTTTTGTGCTCACAACATTTTGGGGAGAGGTTATTTGAAGTAATGGTAAAATGGACAGCTTACTTCACTTAGGGTTCACAACCCCTTTAAGTATAAAGGGTAGATTTAGCCAGTTGGTTACAAGTAAGAAAATGATTTGAACTAATAAACATAAAGATAAGGAAATAACTAAAAAGATATTGAGAGTAAATGCAAATTTTAAGAAATATCTCATCTCTCAACACTCTCCCTCAAGTGGGTAAATGAATATCTTTTATTCTAATTTGCTCATCATTTTCCACATAGTGAGGTTGAGGAGTCCCTTTGTAAACAAGACTGCACATTAGTCCTCTAATTTAACATTGGAGCAAAGAACTCTAACTTCAATTTTCTCTTTGATGATATGATGATCTACTTCTATGTGTTTTGTTTGTTCATTATGCACTAGATTATTTGTAGTATCATGACATACTTGTTATCACAAATGAGTTTGATGAGCATTACATATGATTTTATTAAATCATCTAAGATTCTCTTGATCCATAGGGCCCTTGTGCCATAGCTCTAAGCTCCAATGTACTTGACCTTGAGATAATTAGTATTTTCCTACTTCTTCATGTAATTAGATTTTCTCTTAAGAATGAATAATATGTTGATGTGAATCTCATATCCACCATTGATTTGACATAATCTACATTAGTAAAAATTTCTAAATTAGTATTATAATTAGGTTGGGACAAAATTTAATATATTATTCTCTTTAGGTATTAGAGAACATTACGAGTTGCTCAATCATAAATTTCCCTTTGATTGTGCATGAATAGATTTCCCATGACTTACACAATATTAGGCATGGTTTGAGAGAGGTAGATTAGTTTGCCTACTAATTTGTTAGTACTTTTTTTGATCAGCTAATGGGTTATCTTTCCCTTAGCCTAATTTTCCAGTTAGTGGGTGTAGCATCTAGTTTACACTCACTAGTACATGTTTCTTATAGTAAATCTAATTTATATTTTACTTGTGATAGAAATATCTCTTGTTTAGAATATTTTA